AAGGTGAGATCCATTGCGGCTGATCAGGTCTTCGATCCAGTTAACAGTGGCAAGTTCGGTACTGAGGAACATAAGTTGATCCTTCAGGGAGTCGGGGCTCTTTGACATAGAGCTGATGCTCGCATGGTCGAGGAGTTTCATGGTAGAAGAAAGGTGCAATGGTTGTCTGTTAATTGGATTGTGTGACTGAAACTTGCTTGAGGTGAAGAGAAAAGAAAAAGCAAATGCAGAAGGTTACCTGGTGTAAAAAGGAGGTTTTATAGTGAGGAACTGGAGAGCACACTCAAGCCACCACAAGGAGGCAGCATCAGTTGAGAAAAGGCTTACCTGGAAAAGTCGCAACAATTGGGGCAACCAGCTTTTGCATGATCACCAGCATCTCTTTAAAGTTTGAAGCACGGAAACACCACAAAGAGCACCTTGAATCCGAGCGATGAGTTCAATGCCACTTAACGCACTTGCTACCTCAGTTTAGACGTCCACCGGGGGTGGCCGCGTGTGCTGCACAAGGTATCTTAGGTAATAGTCCACTGGAAACAGTGGTAATGCGAGACGCCATTCAGAATTGTCATCGGCCTGAGAAAGAGGCGGTCAGACCCTAACCCTTGCCCTCTCATCTGTTTGTTTTGTTGGCTTACATAACGAAGGCCATTGGTGCACTTCACAAATTTTGGGCACACTGCCCCACAGCACATATCATGACATGTCACTCACTGTTCAGGTTCGCATATTCATAATCCAAAAACTGCCTCAAGATGATCAGTCAAGCACCCTCCCCATCTGGGACTCAACCACATCTCATCCCCCCACCCACACCAGTCATCACCGCCTCCACATCCGGGAACATCCGTCATGAATGGCCCGCAATAGGACTCACCCTCGTCCACGAATTCATCTCCCCAGCCGAAGAACAAGAGATGATCTCTGCCTTCCACGCCATCTCCCCCCTAAGCCCGGCCGATTCAAAAAGACGAATAAGCCAACATTTCGGTCACCACTTCGATTACACCACCTTTGGAATCGACGAGTCAAAGCACAGCCCTGTCCCAGCTTATATCACAAACTTTCTCGACAGGCTACCGGTCGACACTGATGGGAAGGAAGCAGGACGAAAGCCGGACCAGTTCACCGTGCAATACTACCCTCCAGGCGCCGGCATCCCGCCACACGTGGATACCCACAGCATGTTCGGGGAGGCGCTGTACAGCCTGAGTTTTGGGAGTGGGGTGCCGATGATTTTCAGGATGAGCGGGGAGAACGAGGCGAGGAAGTTGAGGCTGCCCAAGAGGTCACTGCAGGAGTCTTCAGATGGTAATGTGAATGGGAAAGTAGGGGGAGAGATACTCGACAAAGCTGAAGGAGTCGTTGTACACCCGGCTTGGGAGCTTATGCTGCCGGCGAGGTCACTTCTTGTCATGAGGGGGGCTTCGAGGTATGGGTATACGCATGGGATTCGACCTAGAAAAACGGATGCGGTGGATGGAATCACGGTAAAAAGGGAAGGGAGGTATTCAATAACCATGAGGAGTGTCAGGAGGGGCGAGGAGATTGGCTGTGACTGCCTGTTTCCGGGGGTTTGCGACGCCCGTGTGAGACAAGAGCAGGAAGCTGCGTTAAGGGCTGGGGGTATCAAAAAGGCAGAAGCCCAATAAGGATCACCAATAAAGTATTCACCGGCCAGTCAAGACCGGCAAACGGACACAATCCAATGGAAGATGCAAGACAAATGCTGCTATTGTCATTCGTGGGAGAGTCTTGGCAAGGATTGGCAGATACCCTTGATACATCCAATTCACAAACGGCCCTCAATCGTCCTGGTAAGACCATGCTCCTCATTATTCCTCCCGCCAGCTGCTGATGAAGGGAAGTAATACGGCAAAACATTTCGCCATGATCAAGACTAACCAACTGCTCGACAACAGTTGTGCCCTTCCAGCAGGAGATAGCAGCAGAGTGAAGCTCCAGGTTGAACACGCCATATCCCCAGGCCATCTCACAATACCTGCATGCACTCAACACAACCCAACCCCGCAGATTTGAGCTCAACATCAACTGCATCCAACACCGGCTCGAAATTGCCACGGCCAATGGCGCCATCTCCAAACAGGGCCGTTGAAGGCTGCCTATACGACACCCGAGCATTTGGGACCAACACCCTCGTGTAGCCTCCCCCAATATCAAGAACACCATCTCCGTGGACCAGCATCAACAGGATTATCAATCCGCATGTACGGTACCGACTCGGCAGCCCCCCACGGTTTGGTGGTTGCCAGCGGGAACATATCGAGGTCTGGTCCCCTACATTTGCCATCAACATTGACGTTGTCGCCATCAGCCAAGGGTGGTATCACAGACAGTCACCCAACCAGAGCCCAGATGAATACAATGGCGGAAGATCTTGGCCATTTGACATTATCGTTCTGGATTCACTGGCACCTTCACACCTGCTTCGAGGTGCATCCGAGGAGTGACACATGGGGGCCGGATTTTCCACGGCCACGGCAGTAATATAAAATATGGAGATGTTTAAAAGTTACACAACCGCTCCAGATGCACATCAGCGATAATCTATGGATACACCGTCAGAGGGCTTCATTTTCAACCTTGTTGCTTCTCTCCATCATGGCACCCAGCGGAGACTCAGACACCAAGGACAAGATTCAGTCCTCGACCGCACTCGCCTCGTCCATCGAAACAGCCTCCAAGTCGTCCAGGTCATCAACCAACGAAAAAGAAAAGGAATCGCCAGAGGCTATCCGTCAACGCATTCTTGACCAAGAGGCCGAGTTCCGCGCCTCTCAAAAGCCCACAACCAACCTTGCCTCGTTCTGGTCCTGGAAGAAAAGTGAGAGCCGCCGCCCCGAAGATATTGCCACCCAGCCTTCTGTCTTCGACAACCCCGAACTCGCCCCGTATTTCCAGCCGACCGAGCGCTATGAGAATCGTCACCGCTTTGATCCCTCCTTCAAGTGGACTTGGGCAGAGGAGATTCCGTTGATCAGAAAGATAGATTGGAAAGTCACCGCGTGGAGTTGCGTTGCCTTTTTCGCCTTGGATTTGGACAGGAGCAATATCTCACAAGCCAACACGGACAACTTCCTGGACGACCTGGGGTTGGACACCAATGACTACAACTTGGGCCAGACTGTGTTCCGAATCAGTTTCCTGTTGGCCGAGTTGCCTTCGCAACTGATCAGTAAGAAGATTGGTCCTGATCGATGGATTCCAGCTCAGATGGTTCTCTGGAGTATCGTGAGTGCGGCACAGTTTTGGCTCAAAGGACGATCATCCTTTTTGGCAACGAGAGCATTGATTGGATTGCTCCAAGGCGGCTTTATTCCCGATGTGATCCTGGTTTGTCTCCCACTCTTCCGGTTCTGGGTCCGTCATGATAGGTACTGACCACTGTCTATTAGTACATGTCCTACTTCTTCAAAGGCACAGAACTTCCTTTCCGCCTGGCGCTGTTTTGGATGGCAAATCGATTAACAGATGTCATATCCCCCCTATTGGCATACGGACTCCTGAGATTGAGAGGATATCATGGATATGAAGGGTGGCGGTGGCTATTCCTCCTGGAGGGCATTCTGACACTGGTGATCGGTATTTGGTCCTACTTCCAGATGGTACCTTCACCAACGCAGACCAAAGCTCCCTGGCGCAAGAAGGGATGGTTCACGGAACATGAAGAGAAAATCATGGTCAATCGTATACTGAGGGACGATCCTTCCAAGAGTGACATGCATAACCGGCAAGCCATCACTTTCAAGCTACTTTGGTACGTCGCTTGCTGTCCCTCGCTTGTTTGTGACCGGGGGTACCATGACTGACTGATTTTGACTCCAGGGAATCTCTTTGTGACTTTGACTTATGGCCAATCTACCTCATCGGCCTTACTTTCTCCATGCCTGCCGGCCCACCGGATCAATACTTGACTTTGACGCTCCGGCAGTTGGGTTTCGATACGTTTGACTCCAACCTGCTCAGCATCCCTTGCCAAATCACCTGCACCATCAGTGTTCGTTACCCCACTAATGCCCTCTAATACTCAGGCAACGGCTAACGTAACCAGATGCTCCTCATCACATATCTGTCCGAGAAGCTGAACCAAAGGGCCTTCATGGGAGTGGTGATGCAAGTGTGGCTTCTGCCATGTGTTGTAGCCCTCTATCTGCTACCAGCCGACGCATCAAGATGGGCAGCATACGCCGTCGTCACGGTATTGCTGTCCTATCCTTCCACTCACGCGATGCAAGTGGGATGGTGCAGCAGAAACAGCAATACCGTGCGCACACGTACCGTCTCTGCTGCGCTTTACAACATGGCAGTCCAAACCAACAGTATCATATCCTCCAACATTTACCGACGAGACGACCGACCGGAATACCGACGTGGTAACAGGGCCCTGATTGGCATTGCAAGCATGAATATTGTCAATTACCTGCTGGTCAAGGCTTATTACGTATGGAGAAACAAGAAGCGAGACGAAACCTGGGACAGGATGAGCCAAGAGGAGCGGCGGAATTACTTGGCTACCACGACGGACAAGGGAAGCAAGAGACTGGACTTTAGATTCGCACATTAGTCAAGAGAGACGGGGCTGAGACGGGATTGCTGTACCCTGGAAATGTAATAGCTCGGTGTAGGGAACTCTCGGACGTCAGACTGCTCAACGAATGACCATGAGAGCTGATGTTATTTTACCCCGCTTATAATTCGGCAGTCAAGTGCATCACTTGAAGTTTAATCTCACACATAACTGGAAGTGGGGGACTTAACATAGGGCAGGAGCACAAAGAAGTGGACTGCCGGGCTGTTCCTTGCTTCCCTTTGCGTGCCGCTTAGACCGTCTTGTGGCAAGAACAAGGAAAAGTCGACAATGCCTTTGTTGGGACAAGAATAGGTTTCTGACCCTCAAGCTGTAAGCATTAAAGACGGGCTTTTGCTCCCATTGGCATCTTCTCTTAGATTCCCTTCATCCTCACAAAAACCTTTCTCTCACAACAAGTAAGACGGAGGCAGAAAGCACTAACAACAACATTCAACACGTCATCCTCACTCACCATTGGTAAGCTTTTCATCCATCCACTCTTCAAAATGAAGCCAAATAATAACGATGATATAGACTGGTTGGACCTCGTAGCATCCCGGCCCTGCTCCGTCACCCCAAGCGAATCCGCCAGCCAGGTTCACACACGGCGGCCCCCCGCAACTCGGGGCAGCAGCAGCACCAATAACAACCGCCGCTCCTCTTCCTCCCTCCGCCCCATCCAAGAAGAGGAAATCCGCCTCTTTTCCACCACCCAATCTCAACTCCGCGAGGCAACCTCCCGGCAAGGACACCCCAGCAGGTTACCACCCATCCCCGAATTCCAAGAATCACCCTCCAACCCCCTCGTCCGGAGCGACGACAACCTCATCCCCCTCGACGACGCCATCGAGCGGCTGCGGGACTGCAAAGCCCGTCTCGCCACCACGCACGAAGGCTGGTTGCTAGCAGCCAAAGCCCTCATCCGCGCTGACCTCGTTCCTGCCAACCAAGCCCTGTCTGTTGAGCTTAAACGCTTTGGGGACGCCATCTGCGAGCGGTACGCCGCTGCGACGTTTCTGTGGAACACGCTTTTGGGTTTGGACCCAAAGGAGTGGTTGGCGAGGGGGAAGGCGTTTGATACTTCGCTTAGGAGGATCAGGACGCTGAGGGGGCTGGAGGGGAGCTTGTGGTATTGGGAGAGCTTGACGCTGAGGCTGCTGGAGCTGGTGGATAGGGAGAATGAGAGGATTCGGAGGAGGGAGGGAGAGATTGGGGAGGTTTTGGGACGGTGGGGGAGGGGGATGCCTTCTAGGCCTTGAAATCAGGGGCTGATGAGGAGGGGCGTGTCTTGTCTTTTCCGTGGCCGTTGAGTGCTTACCTTGCCTACATAATTGTGAAAGTATAATCCCATAAAGTTTTTGACGTTTATTACCTGTGCATCATGACAATCATCTGTGATACCTTTCGTGACTCGTATTTTGAACATGTTATTGGACCCCCTTTCGACCCCCTTGTTATGGACCAGGCAGCACTGACAAGAGGCGGGTTCGGGGAGTTTGTTTGTTCCTAACCAATCACAAGTCGCCAGTGACATTCCTCCTCCCCATTGCCCCACCATGCATGATCCGGCATCATTGCCGGACGAGGTTCTCTCGTCAACTCTTGCAACGATTGCAATGAACAGATTCCTCATATCAACATCTCTTCGTTCGGTACGCAGCTTTCCAAAATCCAGGACAATCCGACCTCACCAATTGCACACCTACTCCCTCCGCAAAATGTCCACAGACACTCCTGTCCCAGCGCCCTGGCACGCCGCCTACCCCGCCCCCTCTTCTCAAACCGTCTTCATCCCCCGTGACGAGGTCTTGTCCATTCTCGCCAACGGGAGAAAAGATACCGTGCTGGTTGACCTGAGAAGAAACGACTTTGAGGTAGGTGTTTCCCATTTGCATCCTTTTTCGCCGCATGAGATCACGACGCTGAGATAAACAAGGGCGGTACAATCCGTGGCTCCATCAACCTCCCTGCTCAAAGCCTCTATCCGACTCTGCCAACGGTGTACTCCACCCTCAAGGCTGCCGGGCTCAAAAAGGTCATCTTTTATTGTGGTAAGCCTTCACGAGGTCGCTCTGTCTTTGAAATGCCCCCCCAGATTGCTGAACGCTATGGACAGGCTCATCGACAGGTAGAGGGAGCAGAGCAGCCAGTTGGCTGGCGGACTATATCTCGTCCCAAAACGACAGCGAGATGCAGAGTCTTGCTCTGGGGGGTGGGATTAAGGGGTGGGCTGCCGCGGGGCCAGAGTATGTCAAGTGGATGGACGAGTACGATGAGAAGGTCTGGGCCAAGTACAGCACCACTTAGACAGAGGCTACACAGCTTGCTTGCCTTCCACCAACGCATCAGAACTCGAGTTTCGTGATTTTGACCTCAAGCTCCACCCATCAGGTCCCCTGCGTCTCAGCCGGTCCGTGGTGCCCCGCCACAGTGTGCGTAGGTCATGGTACACAACACCGGCAATGTCCCATTTGTCGGCTAGCCAGATGAGGGAAATGGCGAGAACATAGGTGATGACGCACACGATGATGGTTGATGTCTTGAATCGCTCCACGGTTTCCTCTTGAGACTCGGCTTCGAAGAGTGGGGTGCCAAACAGGGCCTGTGTCATGTCAGCAAGCTGCTGAGCGAGAGCTTGGCATGGAGGGGTACTTACAGAGGTGAAGCTAGGGGGTAGGTACAAAACAGTCATGATGGTGAAAACAATGACATATCGGTTCATTGTAGTCGCCCTCGAGGCTTCCCGGAGAGAGGTTGCGTTGAACAGCTGCAGCACCGTTAGCACAGGTTCGTCTACCGAGTTGCTCCAATCACCACCACTCACCCCGTCTCTCAAACTGGTAATCTCCTCCGTCTTTTCACCAATTCTTCGCAACAGCTTTTCTTCAGTTTGCTGCTGAAAGTCGAACAGAATCTTCCAGTTGTTCCAGAGCGCCTTGTCCTTGAGCGGGTCCTGTTTCAAGAAAGCCTGGACATCGTGTCCAGCGCGCCGGAAACTCCCTTGGATCAGCTTCTCGGGGTCCATCTCTTGCAAATCGCGGCCAGTTTCCCGAATGGCGTCGGCGAAGATGCGAAGCATCTGCAGTGTCTTGAAGTACACTCTGGAGCGTTCAAAGGAAGTGTCAAACATGAGGCGGGAGCTGGTCTCATCGTCGAGAATGTCGAGGAGCTATGAGTTGACATGTTAGTAACGTGTGTGCCATGATGAGACGACCATGGCCGAGAGATACTGACAGAAGTGTTGACGTTGCTCTCCAATGCGTCCAAACAGTGGCCCCACTCGGCTTCCCAAAACATGAGCAGACGGTGGATGCTGCTTTGGAGCAAATGATAGCCAGCATTCAGCCCCTCAACAGCAAAGTGTCTATCTCCCCAGTCGGTAAACAAGTCATTTGACACATTGATATCACCATCTTGTTGCATGGTCATAGCATCGGTCAAGGCAACAATACGGAACCCATGGGGGGGATAAGTGTAGTCCCAGTGGCACAGAAGACTCATTCTCCGTTCGGTGAAGGAAGAGGATGAGCTTGCAAGGTGAGAGGGGAACTGGCCGGATTGTCTGACACATTTCGCATGAGGCCTCAAGCCAAAAATGACCTTATCAGACCTGCTGGCGGGGGAGAAACAGCGGATGGTGTGTTGGTAAGTGGTGTCCGAGTTTCCTGACCACCCGGTGTAATTCATGCGATTGCCACGTAGGTAAAGAGGTTTCCATCCGGCACAAAACTCGTGAAGAAAGCGGTGGGCGATGCCGGTCTCGGTGTTGGGTTTGTTCAACACCACGGCGGTTATGAGTGCGAGGCGGTCAAGAGCCATCAAACCGCCGCCGAGCAAAGGAGCAGTGCAATGCCACAGCGAGCCGGGGCTGGTCAAGTGATCAGGGGCTGCCATTGCTGAGGCGATGGGCTTCCAGTCCTTGTCAAAGACGGACCTCGCCGTCACCAGCTTCTGTGCTGGCCCTTGGCCAGAGTAAAACAGTGGACATCCAATGATGGCTCCCTCTAGGGCAGGACTCTTGCCGATGATCCATCCTGTCTCACGAGAGTGAGAAAAGGTCAAAGCATCGAGATCAAACCTTGAACCCCATTGCTTGGTGACATTAGAGACCTGAGATGCGTCCATGAGGACTCGGTGAACGGGGTCCAACTTGTTCGGTCTTTCCCAGTTCCAGTATATCTCTGTGAGCGGCCCGGAGTGGTTGTCTCGTAATGATACAAAAATGGGGACGTATGCACCGGGGCCATACTCTCCTTGGTGGCCTTCCCTTGGCTTGTGTGAGATGCGTTCCTCGATGAAGCTGCGAATGAATCTCTTGATGTTCGAGGGGTCCGCGGGACTGAATGACTGGTGCGCAATGTCACGGACCAACTCTCGAACTTTCATCTTGACCAGATCCGGGTCACTGTTGGAGGTGGTCTCTCTTGACAGTTGAGAAACCGGCGATGCGGGCACATCCGGCTTGTGAGCGGCCAACATGAGCTTGAGAAGCCGGTTGGTCTCTTGCATCTCGCGAAAGAGATCAGAGATGGATGGGGAGTTGTCTGATGGTATTCCTGGTGTATCTGGCGCTGCGGCATACATGACTGTCGGGCCAGACTGTCCCTTGCTACTGGAGACATGTTGGCTGGTGTCATCTTCGCTTTCTGATGAAGGAGGCGGCATACTGGATATCGTCAGAAACTGAGGAGAGGATATGTTGCAAGAGACTCTCATTCCAGGCACATGTCGCCTCTATTTAGGGAATGGATCTGAGAGTGAAGCTGGCGGCTTGGCCCCCATCGTGCATGAGAAAGGATTCAAGGGGCTCGTCGCTGAAAGCCAATTGGTCATGTTTGTTTTATTTGGGGCCATCCTGTCGTAAGTGATGCGCTGGCTGTTGGAATGAGTTCACACCGGGCGACTTTCGGCGGACGAAGTAGCTAGGGTGTGTATTAACTCGCGTGGCTTTGCTGTTGAAGATAGCTATGGCTCGGGTCGACGATAAGAGAAGAGGTGAAGCAAGTGCCAAACGGCACTTTTGGGGGATGGAACTGCCAGAGGACAAGCGCCCAGTACATGACCCCACCATTACCCACTGCCTGCAGGGTTCACAGCTGAAACAAGGGGCCAGAGCTTCCGCCAAGCCACTGTAGCGACCCCACGCAGGTACCTTGACGGAACACCGCCAAATCCCAAAACCTGGAACCCAAACATCAACATTCCTGTCAAATACCAAGACACACCTCCAGCAGCAGCCAACATGTCGCGCCGTCCGCCGAGAGGAGAATACATTGAGACCGTATGTCAATGACCTCGAAGCATCGGGATGAGGAATCTAGACTCACATTGCGTAGGACACGGGCAACAAGGTCGCTCGCAAAGCTACCCTCGTCGGTACCCAAAACATTATGCTCGGTGGGAAGACAGTCATCCAGCCCGAAGTCATGATCCGTGGCGACCTGGTCCGATCGATCCAATCCTCCTCCAGCAGCAGCAGCAGCGGAACACCGAACAACACGGCTGTAGCAATTGGCCGCTATTGTTTCCTCAGCCGAGCCTCGTGTTTACGCCCGCCAGGCCGATTCTATAAGGGGTACTGTGCCACCATATAGCTTGCTACACTATAAATCTCTAACTTGTCCCTTCTACGCAGTGCTTTCACATACATGCCCCTACGGATGGGTGACCACGTCTTTGTCGGGCCCTCGTCTGTTATCCAAGCCGCGTCGATCGGAAGCCACGTACACATCGGAGCGAGAGTGGTGGTGGGCGAGTTTGCCATTATCAAAGATTACGTACGGGTGCTGGACGAAACTGTCATTCCGCCCAACATGGTCATCCCAAGCTTCTCCATTGTGGCAGGACAGCCGGCAAGAGTGATTGGGGAAGTGCCAGAAGGCGGCCACGAGGCGTTTGAGCTGAGAGATTTGTACAAAACAGTTGGCAACAACCCACAGCCGCCCGCGTCCTGAAACGCCAGACCCGAATAACCAGTTGACGATTTACGGTTTATTACGATTTACGACTACAGACAGAGAAGTGTATTATCGGTGCAAGACAGAAGCAATCAGTTCGGGATAGTGGAAAGCTTGTGATCTGTAACACCAGGCTTCTCCAGTTACAACCAGCTCTTTGCGTTGTCCGCCAGACTCTCTTTCAGCTTGCGCCATTCGCCATTCCGGCTCAGTCTGCTCAGCAGCTCCTTGCCAACAGCCGTGTCGGCCACTGTATGGTCTTCACCGTAGTTCTCAACCTGGGCCATCTTGTCGGCGTGCCTGGGAAATATCTCCTTCAGCATCTCGCCCATCTGGTAAAAGCCGTACCTGTCCCAAAAGGCATAGATGAGCTGCTTGTCAACAGCAGGAGAGGAAAACCTACGAGGTTGCATCATACTCAGAATGCACACGTGTGCATTCTCCAGACCCAATGCACCATCCCCGCCGTCGACAGGATGCCCTGGTTCTTTGGGTCCAGGCACGGCCAGATCACCTTATCCAACAACAGGGTGTTGAACGTGAAAGGCAGCTGCTCTTTCTTCTCCTCCACCCAGCGCCAAATCCTTTGCTCGATCAGCGTCTTCATGGCCATGAACCTAGCCATACCCTCCTCGCTGGGACCGGCATGCTTGCCCCTTGACAGTTTGACAGCCTCCATATTCTAGGGGTTTTGGTCCAACGTCGTTGCTCTTTGCGACCGAGGTGTCCAGGCCGCCGGTCCGCAAGATTCGGGCATCTCGGTCTTGACTCGTTGGTCGAGCATACCGTCGGGCGTTGCATAAGTGTGGGAGGTTGAGATGCATGTCCGAGACTTGGGCATCATCGGCTATGATCTCACTCCTCACCCTTTCTCGTGGCACAGGGCTCCACATACATGCATTCGCCTCTTCTCCGCGGCAGGCGCAAGATGTGTTTCGAGTGTCACCAGGTGGGAGAGCCTGGCTATTTCCCTGTGTTTTGACAAAGGCATTGTTGTCAGCGCCGAATGGTAAGATAACAACTCGACTTAACAAAGAAGCTGTTGAGGCAGACCCACTGTCCCCCTGAACACCTTTTTCTTTATTTTGCAGCATCAGGAAGATTCTAGACATGTGGTAGCACTCTTGGATTGCCCGCCGCATGAACTGGTTGCGCAGTTGTTCGTGGAACATCAGTGATGAGAATGTAACCAGCTCTAGATAGATAGGATATTTAATTGGAAAGTGTTGCTGGCGGACTTGTCTTACTCTCCATCCCCTTTCCATTCATTCATCAAATCAATAATCCCATCATGTGCTGGCCAACAGTTCCAAAGCACCCCTGGTGCGATTGCACCCTCGATGAAATTCTGACCATCGACGGCAAACCCTCATGCCCACACCACGTTTCGATATCTCCATATAGGCTGTTTTACCACCCAGCTGAAATTTCCGAGGCGCTCTCAGTCATCATCCGCCCAGACATCCATTGGATTCCATGTGACTTTTACTACAGGGCTTCCAGTTACGCAGGAGTGCTAAGCCATAGAGAATGCTACCGCATGCAGAGAAGCCAGCACAAGCAGACTATTCCACCACCGGGTTACAAACCATTTCTTCTATGGGACGGACTTTGTGCTCAGTGTGGTGGATGGGGGGCTGGAAATGGGTACTCTCTTCCGTTGATACCGTTGACTTGGGCCCAGGTTGGTGAGCGCGGTCAGGTCCGGTATCGTTATCAGCTTCCCGATGGTTCACCACTACTTGACCGTGAGGCAGAGGCTGCTTTGACTGGTGCGCAGAGAGAGGAGGCGTCGGCTGATGAGATTGTATACGTAAGTATGGATCAAGCTACTATTTACATGCTGCCTCTTGGGCCTGCTCCATTGCCGGACAATGTCATAGAGAGAATGGAGAAGTCTGAGCGTAGAAAGTCAAGGGCGGATAGGCTTGCGGATGTTTTCAAGAGTGTCTTTCGCTAGTGGCTTTCATAATACCTCACTGACAATGTAATGCCTTGGTACCACTCCAAGGTCAAATTAATAGATAATACCTGAATAATTCGCAATTTTCATACCTGTTTGCCCTTGGTGCATCTGTTCTTTCTTGCTGTTTATGCCCGCTACTATTCATAAATAAAAATATTCAACCTTCAGATTCAAACTATCTACCTAGTCTAGGCCCTTCCATAAAAGAAGCCAACATTTTGAGTGCCGAATGCCTGCCGCTGAATAAGCGCTGTGTGACGTTGCCAGCTATCCATGACCCCCTGTCTGGAAAGAAAACACACAATGGCGATAAACACTGCCGACGAATCACCTCGCGGGTAATTTCCGCTGTCAGCAAAGATAGAGTGAGCCACGACGTCGATATGAAAAAAAAGAAACATTCCAAGGCTTGGGAGCTCGGCTGGCTCAACCGGCCTTGCAGCAGTGATGTTGGCAAGAAACAAGTCTTTTTTACCCGCAGCGGGCGGCACAGAAAAAATAGTATAGCACCAACCCCAGCATATATTGCTGCTTGTTTCTTGCAAAGAAGCACAGAAGCAAGCTCTAACCAACAGACCGGAAGAAGACAAAACCTTGCATGGCGACCCAACAACCGGAAGCCGGCAAAGGTCCTCTCGTCGAATTGGACGTGGCGAAGGGTAGTGTTGTACCACCACAACTGCCGAAAAAGGGTTCCGAACATAAATGCAAAAATGGTTCTTGCTTGCTTGGGGCTAGAATCATCTCTGGGTAAAGCGGATGGGCGTCGTCATGCTGTGGTTACACGCGGTAGAGTAAACGTTGTTTGGCGACCACTAGATTGTATTTACCCGTGCGTTTAAACACAACCCATTCTCGCCGGACGACCCGATTCGTCCCCCCATAGAGAGCACACTGTCGCGAACGGAGATTAAAAATCCGGGGAACGCTTGGCGGCAGGCTTCGCTTGGCTATCAGTCTGGTTACTCGGCCCAATCACGAGTGCTGTATCTGTGTTCCGGCAAGCTTGAGTGGGTATGCTCATGTAGATGAAGCTATACCGGTGATATATATGTTGCCCTCGTGGACTCGCCGCGGAGGCAGTGGCCGTGGTTGAATGCTGGTGATGCGACCTGGATATTGATTGTCGCATCACTCTTTCTCGAACCTGCCCCACGGAGAGAGCCGACGATCCGGCCTGAAGGAAACCATGGCATGCAGCCGGGTCACAGTCTCGCAGATGGAGAGGGGAACGCGCCACTCTTGGAAGTAGATATCTTCGGCTTGAGCCGACCTTGGATCTTGGCCTGGGGCTCATCTCCTCTTTCTCTTGCAGTTGTCGTGTAGAACGTACATTGACGTTAACCACCATGGCCCTCAAGAGTTTGCTTTCCTCCCTGTTGCTGGCCCCTCTGGCCTTGGCCCATCCGGGTCACAAGGAGGCGGTCCACGCCCACCGCGCTCTTCCACTCGAGCGGAGGTCTCTTGACCACTGCAGCAAGGAGTTCAACAGCCCCGAGTTCATTCAGCGAACCGTCGAGATCAATGGTGCCGAGATCAAGAGGTTGAGGCGTGCCTTGGGCTACGAGGTTGACGAGAAGCCCAAGATCACTCCCCGCGACTACCTTTCCGTCTCGAGAATCGACCACAAGAGCAACAAGACGGTCACCGAGGGCATGGACCTTTCCACCCTCTTCTCCAACTATGGGGCTTGCATGCTCATGCCTGTCGTTGACGAGGGACCGTTGTGTGAGTGACTTGGTCGTTGAAAGCGTGGATGCTCAGGTATTGACTGGTTGATAGACGTCAAGGGCGAGGAGATCCGCAAGAACATCACCAACGGCGAGAGGGGTATCAAGATGACGCTTGCCATCCAAGTTGTGGACTACAAGACATGCCAGACCGTCCCCAACGCCTACGTTGACATCTGGAGCTCCAACGCCACCGTAAGTAGCCGCAAAGCGCGATGGAATGCTGGTGAACCCAACTGACATCGTGCAGGGTATCTATGTTGGTGTCCAAGGCTACCCCGGCATGGGCGACCCCAACGATGCCTCCATCCTTAAGGGCACAACCCTTCGCGGCGTGCAGCCTACCGACAGCCATGGTGTGGCTTCCTTTGACACCATGTTCCCAGGTCACTATGACGGTCGTGCGACCCATATCCACGGTAAGCAGTTCCAACTGCAGCAAGTCAAGAGACAAAAAAGCTGACCTCTGATGCAGCCATCGTCTGGCTCGGAGCCACCAAGCACGCCAACAACACCCTGACTGGCGGTCGCGCTGCCCATATTGGTCAAATCTACTTTGACCAAGGCCTCATCACGGCCGCTGAGAGGAACGCGCCCTACAACACTAACCGCATGCCCATCCAGCAGAACACGCGCGACTTTTTGTTCCAGGCCGGCGCCAACGGTGACGACCCGATCGTCCGCTACTCCTTCATTGGCAAAGACGTCTCCGAGGGTCTCTTTGCCTGGATCCGCTTCGGTATCAACCAGCAGACCAGCCGCCCGCTCAACCCTGCTGCTTACTGGACTGCGAACGGTGGTGTCATGAACCCCACTGGTCCCATCTCCAAGCTTCCCGGCGGTGGTGGCGGCGGCGGTGGCTGGCCCGGTTTCGGAGGCGGTTGGGGCAAGCGCTTCGCTGAGAAGCTTGGTCGCAAGGTCGAGGCTGAGGCTGAGCTCCAAGAGGATGCCGAGTAAATTGGTAGGACCAGTCGCGGATGGCAATGGGTGACGCGGGGTTGTTTTGACGGGGTCGTTATGCTCTGGTGAAAATTAGGAACAGTACCGTACATAAGAAGAGATTTGGACGACATACCTTTATCTCAATGCTGATGAATTCTTTAATTTTACCGATTGGATATGCTGAAAGTGTTACGCGTGTTCGCTTTGGTGGAACTATTCAAGGTCGCTATTCTGTGAGGTTTGGAGGTTGGTGTGAGGTAACGCGAATTGAAGGTGCATGTGCTTAAAGTGAGCGAACTGTCAGGGGAGAAACGGCGGCTCATCATAAACACAGATTTTGTAGCAGCCGGCAAGCAATTCGCTACGACAGGTGAACACACCTGTAAATCTTCCGTAGTATAGTGGTCAGTATGTGAGCTTGTCATCCAACAACGCTCGAGACCCGGGTTCAATTCCCGGCGGGAGAGTCAGTCCACATCATATCTTTTGCTTTTTACTTGCCATCTTCTTTTGGCAGATGGCAGCTGAAAGATTGTTGATCATGTGGTCAGGCATTCTTCCTGACCGAGCCGCCTCGGACTGTGCCGAAGATCCTGTGTCTTGAGATCACAAAGTCCGAGGGTTCTTGCCCCACTCAAGCCGAGATTATGGGTCTGATCGGCAGAGGTCCGGTCCGTCAACGGGAAGGTGGGGCACAGAACGCCGCCGCATAGCCGCGCTTCTCCCATGGCTATATTGGGCCCACGGGATCAAAGTGAATCATTCTTGATCTGGCGGTCTACAGACCGGGCTGAATTACCTCATACTCTCGCAATGGTTGCATATCATAGGGCTGTTGATTTGTCCTCCCCTTCGGACCAAAATCTGTCCGATCAGCGAACCTCGGGCCCACCTTCTGCCTTGTGATGGGTGCTTGCTCATGCACTGCCTCCCTACAAACTGATCCTCACGCGTGCGGCTGAAGGTGGTTATATAGTCTTGATCTTGCTACTCCAGCATGACTGAGTCTAATCTCTCCTTGGTTGTGGGATTCTCACTCTTGACGTATATCAACTTCAGGTTCTTGCTCAAGTTAGGCACCTGTGTTCAACCAATCTTCTGACTCTCCTCAACTTGCAGCATCATGCTAGCATACGCTTACAAACCCTCGACAAACTTCTATTCCCCTCCAAGCTACATAGTTGCTCCAGAATATCCACTAGTACCGTGGGCTCTTGACACTCGGTCAATATTGACAGACACTGTCCGACCTGGAACACTTGGGCCGTTGGAGGTGCTGAAGCTGACACCAGTCGTCGTGGACTTGGTGCAGGGCGTCGCACAGGATATGGTGTTGGTTGCTCGGTAATGATCAAAATGTTGGACGTCTTGTCGTGTTTTGGCTAGATAATGGCATGCCGGGCGAGGGAAACATTGGGGGATGGTTACTGGATAACGGTGGATTAGAGGACTGCGAGCATTCAGGGTTTCAGGAGTCACTTTCAATAAAACAGGCACCTACCATATCCCTTCTTCTTACTGTAACGGCGTTATATCAGGGTTGTTTCTACAGGGTATAACGATAGATGCGTCATGTGGGGCATGGGTTATGGGGTTATCTGGAGTCATCAGGAAGCACTGTGTCCCTTCTTTTCTTTATGTTCAAAGCCTTAAAAACCTCGAGATGTTTGCTTACTTATGAATAAATGTTGATTAAACACGTTGAGAGAAGTCCTTTGTTTTTCAAGTGTCATTGTTACAACGAAAGACATGCTTCTTTCATATTGATCCTTTTAATTTATTATGCACTGTTATTCCCAAGCAAAAAAAAAGTAGCCGGAGATCCGGCAGGTTTCTGACCTTCCCCGCGAAGATGATGAGGTGGCTGAGAGAAGTCCGTTGGCCCCATTGTCAAATTACCCGTATCTAGGCTTTCTGCCTCGTGTGTATATGATACCTGATTTGTGGTCCGATGTTATAGATTCAACTATCTTCATCACATTGATCGTCCCAAGGATTTCTTGAGGGGGGATAGAATTGACATGTCCAGCGGGCGAGGCCGAGCAGATTCACGTGCAAGTCACAATGGCGCGATACTTCTAACAGTAAACTAGGTGCCTGTATCAAACCAACTTTAAAGTGTGTGGATTGGCAGAGTCCGGACTTTCATCAAGCAATGACTCGCCCAACACTATTTTCAGTTCGGCTGTTTCGAGGTAAGCGTCAGATGCCATCACGGTGTACCCGTCCAGCGCATCGAGATCTTGTGAGTTATTTCTTGCCCAGCGACATGCTTAGAACACAGAAGAATTCCTTACCTACTCACACTTCCCATGCCGTAGGTTTGGGATATGATAGTTAACTTTATACCACCTCCACTTCCATACACACCAAAACCACTCATTTCGTGAAGAAACAAACAACAAGAAAAACATGTGCATAAAAGTACTCACCCTAACGGTCTGCATCTGCCCTCACCGAGACGACTCGTCTCTATGCCCTCACGCCACCAACGTCCGTCTTTCACCCTTGGAGATCCTCGACGAACCATTCACTGCTCAAGGATGGGCAACTCGGCTGCCTACTGTTCTCCAAGGCCACGTGGACTGGAAGTTTCCTCAAGATCAGACGCAATGGGAGCATTGTCCTACATACAAGGCTCGTAATCGACACTCTTCTGACCATGGAACCAACGGAAGCAAGATAATCGCCGGAAGAGAGATTTCTTGCCCTGAGACCCAGGAGCTTGCTGGGAGATTGGATGGCCAGTGGACTCGGGTAGTCAGAAGGTTGTGTGAAGAGTGCGAGCATGGGCATGGGGTGGGAACGCCTGGTTTGCTGCCGCAACCACAGAAACAACGACAGGATAACCAAATGCCGAAGGTGGCATTTGAAAAACAACCCGTCGTGGCGTTGGATGCTGTCGGTGTCAGGAGAGCTGCTATCAGGAGGAGAGCGAGCATGATTCCGACTGCTGGCGGTCGTGAGAGATTGTCGGTCGTGAGCAAGACGACTAGTGTTAGGAGTGATGAGTCTTGCATTCGAGAGGGTTTGAGCGGTCGTATTCCTGTTCAACGAAAAGCGATCCATGTCGATACAGGTGTCACGACTGGACTTCCTCAACAGGGTTGGAATCTTCGCGGAAATATGAATGCTGGGTCTAGCAATGGCGGGAGGTTGGGTTTGGTGCGGAGTATTGTGGGAAGTCAAAAGAAAAGTCTGGTGTGGCAGAAAAGGGAATAGCGGTAATATATAAAATAAATAGAAAAGAGGCAAAAAATCATGAACAGCTTTCGGGTCCTAGACTGAACCAGGTACTCAGCAATGCGTGTCAGCATCGGTATGTTGGGATCTCATCTGGGCTTCGGGAGTGCTTATCAAGCCGTTTGTCGGAAACCGCGTCTTTTCTTTAACAGGGACTTATGATAAGCCTCCGTCCGAAGTGGTACCTTCCACATATTCCCTCTCCGCCGGTGTTCTGTCGTGGTCGTCGCGTTAACACTAAGGGTCGAAGGGGCACTTGAACCGTCGCCCCCCAGACTCGAACCCACAGCCTCTCCTTTCGAGGGGAGTGGCTGTCCCAGGGACCATTTTATAGGACCACACTTTCGGTCTGAGACGCGTCGCTTGGTGACGCTGCACTACCACAAGCTGTTCTGTTGAAAACAGGAGACCAAAGCGACCCTTATAAATGGCCAGTGGGTGGGAGCAACTCGTGAGCTGACAGCTTCAGCGTCAGACGTCGTCAGGTGCCGACAAAACTCCAGCCAGTTGGCGGCCTGCTCCTCGCTCCTTCCCTTCCATTGTTAACTGTTCCTGCCAACACCGAGACTCAACACCGCTTTCCCCAAACTTTGCCAACAACAAAGTCCCAATGCCCTACCTCTGACGACACACTTCATTCATTCTTCGACCACATACAACTCTGTCTTTGGGCTCCTCTCCCCGGCTTTGTCGTCAAGGTTTACCAAGTTGTCACAAAACATATTATTCCATTCAATCACAACCATTCAAAAGAGAATCCCAAAGTTGCAAAGCAAGTGTATATCTTATTTACTTCATCAGCATCATTCTATGTACAAGTATGTCCTCAGCTCATCTCATCTCTATCATGTCCCTCTCTGACTCCCTCCCATCTAGCTATATACCGTCCACATCGTCATCCCCCCATTCCCTCTCCTGGTCCTCCGGCTCGAAACCAGCCGCTTAGGAAGCGTTCTGGCGGTAGCTGGTCCAGAAGCTGTTGATTCTGGTCTGCTGGCCGGGGGTGAACTCCTCGTAGCAAGAATCGATGGAGTAGTCCATGTAGTTGTGGATGGGGTCAACACCGGCCTGGCTGGGGCAGGAGTCACGGCCGACAGGGCAGCCGGAAGAAGCGGAGGCCTGGGCGGGGGTGTCGGAGACGGAGTCACCGGCACCGGTGCAGCCGCCCTGGAAGGTGTGGTAGAGACCGAACCAGTGACCAACCTCGTGGGTGGCGGTGTGGCCGAGGTTGTAGTTGGTGGAGCTGCCGCCAGGGGTGGTGCTATAGAGGATGGTGCAGCCGTCGCGGATGTAAGCGGTGGAGCCGGGCGAGGCAGTGGTGGGGAAGTAGCAGTATCCCAAGTTACCACCCATCTTCTGGAGGAAGTAGAGGTTGAGGTCCTTGTAGGTGCCCTTGCGGAGAGCGCGCTTCATGGTCATCTCGTAACCCTTGGAGTCATCAGCCCAGTTGGCGTTGACGGTCTTGTCAGTGCCGGCGAGGGTGAAAGAGATGCCATAGGGGGCAAAAGCTGACTGGAGAACGCTGAACTGGTTGTTGATCATGGTGTCCTGTTGATTTGGTTAGCTACCTGGTGCTGACACCTTTCCAGGGCCTCGAAAGTCGAGCACTTACGGTGAGGTAACCACCGCTGAGGGCAGTGGAAGCAGCCACAACGTGGATATAGACCTTGACGGAGATGGCCTGGGCGGTAACATCACGGGCAGTGAGGTTGCCGGAGCGGTAGGACTCGGCGAGGGCCTGAGCTTCCTCAACAGCGAACTGCTGGGAAACCTGGAGGAGCTCCTCGGAAGGCTCGGGGGCACCGCAGCCGAAACCGCGGGAAGGTTGAGGAGCCGCAAAGGCAGTCTGGGCCAAACCGGCCGCGGCGAGAGCGAGAGAGAAACGCATCTTGAAGTTGGTGCAAGAAGAAGGACCGAGAGGAACAGGCAGATCAGAGAATGAGTTGAAGAGCTGAGGGCTGATGCTGATGCTGCTAATGAACTTCAAAACCGTTCGAGGGGGGATCTCGTCGTCCTTTTATGCTACCCGATCCTCTCTCTGGCCGTGAACCGGACGAGCGATGTTCGGCCTCGGAGTCGCGCGCTGGATGGAGGATCTGGGGGGCAGCTAGGTCCAGTATCGGGCCCATGTCAACAATGGGAAGGTGGACTGGCCAAGACCGAATAGGGGCCCCCCCGAGCTGGAGGTGTGAATACCTGGCAAGTGGTCACGCCTTGATCTGGGTCAATGCAACACTGATTGGGGAACAAGGCGAGTGGAAGACGACTTCCTTCCTGATCGGATTCTAGCCCACCCTACTAGAGAGGAGAAGCACACTAGAAGGGCTTCGCTTGATAGGTCCCGGCTGGGCTTGTGGGTGTGTGGACATGGGACTGTGGGTGCGTGTAGCAGTTCCAGGACCACCACTCTTTTATTCAGCTTTGCCTCTCTGGTCCGTCGACATGAGCTGTGTGGCTGACCACCCATTCGTGCGCCTCCTCCAGCTTCCTGCTGGAATGAGTCCTCGCCAACTTCCCCTTGGGTCCAAGTCATCCGTAGTCCTGGATTGATCCATCATTTGCCCCCTGGGGTCCATGGTGGGTGGGTGGGAAATGGGAAGGGGCGTGATAAGCGGGTAAGCTGTCCAATCCAAAGGCGGTGCTGAGCAGTTGGACATCCACGACATCCTCCACAGGTCCCCAATGCATGACATATGCGGTCAATACCGAGATTGTCCAACAGGACCGGTAGTTGGGGACCAGTTGCCCAGGCGTGTGGGAAAAAAGAAAGGAGCGTGGAGAGATCGGAACGGCACTTGGCTGGGACGCCGGGGCCTGGCTTGGCGGACTTGGCTGCGACCTCCCTGATCGGGAAGCTGCCGATACGAATGGGACGAAAAGGAACGAATCTTGTGAATGTTGGAGATAAACCCCCAACAGCGCGCTAGCCACTGTCCAGGCAGGAAGGAGTTTATGCGTGTGCGGGGTGTGTTTCGTGATGCTTGGCTCCTCGTGCTCTTCTCCTGGCGGCCGTTGTCAAAAACGGACATGTCCACTGAAGATCGGCAGTGAGGGGAGGACCAGTCGAATGGCATTAGTGCCCGGCCTTCCATGTTGAGAATCCCATGCCGGAGCTTCTGCTCAAGCCATCACACATTCCACGGCCAACTTGTTTGAGCGATTTTCGACTTGCTGTGATTCGAGGATGCATGTCGCACTTCGCGCTGATGCCATCCGGGGTCCAGATGCACTGTAATCGTTGCCAAGGCGCTTCGAGTGGGATGCATCACTGTCACTCACCCACACTGCCTGCACAGAACTTTTCTGGAATGAAATATCACCTTGGGCTTATCACGACCACTTCTTCATTGATGGTCATAGAAAGCCAAACCCCATCTGATAACAGAACGCCTCGCCATCACTCCAGGTCAATCTGGTGGCAACGTTCCCCCTGTTGAACATGGGCTTAGGGCCAACGGTGGCCTGCTAGTGTCCAGTCTGCGGGCCGCATCCTTCGCCTTGAACGAAATAAGCACTGTATCTCCGTCCATCTTGGTGCTAGTCTCAACCGCAATGCGGGGGTCGTGGGTGGACCGCGGGCATTGTTGCCCATGATTCACGATATGAATCTGCTTGATATCGAACGCTACCAGTGTTGTAACAGATGATTAGGTACCTATCAAAACTGCTACCTTCTACATTCTGGCTGTTTGGCTACCGCTGCTATTGATAGTACTGTGACGAACTGTGGTGCCAGACTGTGAGCGGGTGATCTCCGTCATTCGACAGAAAATTGATTGCTCTGCATGGATTTGCGCAGGGACTTGGATTCTTGTCTTCAGCTTTTCCGGGAAACCGGGATCCGATCTGGTCTGAGACTTCATTACACGCTGATTCGTGACTGGAATGTATCGATGCAATTTCAGACATTCCAGCCCCGACAACCTTGAATTGACCCAAGACATGTCTATAACAGGCGAGACACAGCCCAGTCGAGCCCAGTTCGTCGGATTTCCATGACGATTTGGGATCGTGAGTCATGCGCACAGAACAGTGCCTGAACCACACGAGCGTGGGACGGTTTTGTCTCGAGTACACGCCATAAAGAACAGCATCCGGGATTCCCAACTTTCAGTTGTGGATTACCTTAGGTACTCGAAGCCTTCTTTCGATAGTTGTAGGTAGAGTGCATCCAAAATGGCAGGTGATTATGTACTTTCCTATTCTTCTTGGTCCAATGGCCTCAGTTGACGGAAATGGGGAATTAGGTACCAGTGAGAGATAGGTGCGGATCTTGTGGAACTGTCAACACGTCCAGCAGCCTCTACGATATCTTTAGATAAGAGAAGCCGAGGTGATCAAAGGACAGCAGGACTCGGACTTCCACGATTGGACATTGACCAGGGCGGCGCTGTACTACCCACAAACCGTACGTTAGATACAGCGTGGGTAGGCCTCTGTCGGAAGAGGCGTGGGGGCGGGAGGACCCTTTGGCGTAGTGGGCCAGGCCCGTGATGCAGTCATTTCCGTCTCACTGTATGTGAAGCCAATGGTAGGTAGACCTGTGGGTGACCTGCCTCATGCTCTTCCCGCCCACCCTCCCAGCAAGCCACAGCTGCGCGGGGGCGGCTGCACTTGTGGAGGGCTTCATGCAGGACTTGGCAGGGGCGGGTTTCTGCCCTCCAAGCTCAACTCATGTACTTTGCTGCTATCGTTTTCACTTCTGCAGTTCAGCCATAGACCATTAATGGCACAATCAACTGCATGTGTCCACGACTGCTGGCAGGCATTGCTGATTAGGTGTTGTCGTTCTCAAGCTCAGCTATCTCGAATTAGCAATTACACTTGTCATCAAATCCTATCCATCAGGTAAGTTTATGACTTTGATGTAGATATGGGTAGACTGCCTGGGTGGAGCCACTCTGGTAAGTTGGGTTATATTCAGTCTGCATAGGCGTAAAAATAGAAGCTAGGTGGTCTAGACCCAGGTATGAAGTGCTCATTCTTCAGCTCCAGGCAAGCACCTGTCTCGTGACTGACAGGTAGTAATTCATACTAAGGCCGAGGTGCACGAGGGAAGAAGCCCTTCATTAGGCCCAAGACATCATCGAGGGATGCAATATCGGTCGACTGCTTACCAAACCGCACTGAATATCACCAGAGTTTATATCAGATGCCAATTGGAAACCTCAGCCACATCAATACTGCTCTGCTCTGCGAGCGCAGCAACGTTCCGATTGCTCGAGCTTTTAATAACACCAAGAAATTAATCTGGAAAGCAAGAGATATTTAAACAGTTGGTGGCCAGCGTCATTGCTTCATCCCAGACCCTCGCCAAGCCCATGAGCCCCTGAACCCCTGAAAGTGATCCACCCAACCCAAGCATGCACAACATCAACATGGCAACATAGGTAATCATACTTTCTCATGTTCCGCCACATGGCTCTGCTTGTCTGAGTCGTGGTGCATAACAGTCTTTGTAACCGCAGCTTCCGCCCTCTGGGCGAACTCCTCCTTGTCCTCAAACACTGTTGCAAACTTGTTAGAAATTTGAACTGCAACACACTTGAGAGTTTTGGGGCACATACAGAACGCAAGCTCCTCCAAGGACCTGCCGGAAGTCTCCGGCCAGAGGAACCAGATCATAATTGCTTCGGCAAAGATCCAGCAGCAGTAGACCAAGAGATATTTCCATCCGATGGCTTGGGTACCTTGGTCGGGTTAGTCTCTGCCATGTTTGATTGGTCGGAGTAAGGACTTACCGATCGGGTTGACATTGGTTCCGAAGAACTGAGCGGCCTTACCCCAGAACTGGAAGATGGAGATGCCACGAGCTCGGTTTGCGTAGGGGAAGATCTCGATCAGATATGCTGCCTTTTGTTAGCATTAAGTTTTGACCTGTGAACTCGAGAACGAGGCTTACTGTAAGTCAAGGCGTTGAAGCAAAGATTGTACGCAGGACTGTAGGCGTAAATCCAAAACAAACTCATCTTGGCCGCCACGTCAGACTTGGTATCGATGAAGATGGCTGTGCAAGCTGTCCAAGCCACATAGACTGCCAAGATCGAAATGATACCCGTCAAGTACATCGTCCGCCGCCGGAATCTCATCACCACCAGTGCTGCACTCACGCCGCAGATCAGAGACCAGCACTGGTTTCCCAGGTTGTACTTGGCCTGGAAGCTGGGATCAGTGTACCCGATCAGCTTCAGCACATCACCCAAGAAATACGAGATGACCACATTCCCGGAGAGCTGGGTGAAGAGGCCGAGCAACGATCCAATAATAACCCTGCGACGCATACCAGGGGTGGCAACAAGATCCATCCATGACCGTTTCGAGTGTTCGAGTTCAATCTCCAAGGTGGTGCGAATTTCAGCGATTTCAGCTTTGACAAACTCCGAGTCTGGATTGCCTTCAGCGTGATACTTGATCAGCACTGCCTCGGCTTCCTCGAACCGATCTTTGGACATGAGGTAACGGGGGGACTCTGGCAGGAAAAACACAAAGGCGACTTGCAGCAGAGAGGGGGCCATCTGCAACAAGCTCGGAATGCGCCATGACCAGTCGTTGTTGATCTGTTGCGTTCCAAAGGTACACCCCGCGGCAACGATAGCTCCGATGAAGTAGCAAGCGTTGAACAGCGAGGTAAGAATGGGTCGTTCTTTTGGATATCCGAGTTCTCCGATGAGACAGGAGCCAGCAACGATGGCGTAAGGAAGGCCGAATCCGATGATACCTCGAGCCAGTATGTACATAGGTCCTTTGCCACGTCAGCCTAGATGGGGAAAACCGCCAGTAATGATCGAACTTACCATTGAAAGCAAATCCCTGGATAATTGTCCCGATAATCATGATCACGCTCCCAAACATGATGCACCACCTCCTTCCAAACGTATCATTCACAATAGGGATAAACGGCAGCCCTATCACTGATCCCAGTGGCAGAGCTGAAGCGAGGATACCATTGTATGCACCAGTGGGGTTGCCAAAGTCTGCTTTCTGTCAGCACAACCACTCGCTCTCAGCCCTTTGACGATGAACCGGCTTACAGGCCTTCCAAGCTGGAAGAAGTTGCGCCGCGTTGATGATTTGAGAGTCGAACCCCGATGTCATCTCGATTCCGATAACGCAGGGAAAGAGTAGCAGGTACATTGTTCTCAGATTGGGTTTCCTGTACCATGGGATGGGGTCATCCACCGCCATGCGATGGATGAGGTTGTGGTCACTTCCACTTGTGGCGCCGACCATCTTGCTGCTGCCTTGGGCCCTACTCTGGCCCTGAGTGAGTGTAGTGTTGAGGTGAGGAAGGTGAGTTTTCGGTCGGTTCCAGAGGTGGTATCTGGGAACTGGACTGCTTTGGTGGATGGGGGATGACAGACAGGTATATGGCACTCAAACAGAGGAGAGAGATAAGATCGGAGCTCTTCCTGGGTCTCCTTTTCCGACCTCACCAACTGAACGCTGACAATAGCCACTTCTCCACACGCTCCCAACGCGTCGCCGTCAGATTTTCCATATTGATCCTTCGTTAATCCATCTCCGCTTCATATTGACCCCCAGTTCTGTCGGGCCGACAAGGCTTACTCTCCTCTACTATCCAGCAGAGATATCCTGTAAACCTCCAGACCAGTTCACTCGGATCTGACAGCCGCGCAGAAAGCCTTGATATCAAGAGGCCTTTAGCTGCGGGTAAATTCTGGCCTCAACTCCGATGTCTGCCTCGAGTATCCTGAAGCAGGGTGTGAACAAGTAACAAAAGCGGGATGGATGCCACCAGACCTGCAGATGGGAGAAGCGGCACCACAGTACCACTTTAGCCGAGATCGATCACACCACGCAGAACCACGCATTTTAGGTGCCGTAACTGCCGTTGAAAGGGGGAATCAGCGGTTGGAATCTCTGGGCGGATGTCAGTGGCGTCGAGAACAAGAGATTCCCGGCAGTGGAAGGAGATTGCCCAGCCGGGAGCATCCGAGGTTTTGACTTGGCTTGATGCCTCTTCAACGTCTTGTCTTGGCTGTGTGTGTAAGACATGCTATATTGCTCTCTTTTTCGTTACATTTTCGAGTGTCTGTTAGTCTGCTTCTCGAAAACATGAGACAGGGGACGAACAGAAGCCGGTAGATTTGACTGGTAGCCGCACCAGTCAAGGTGAGGGACTTGAGTGTTTGCGGACAAGCAGGATGAACTGTTGGAAGCCAAAAGACCTGTTTGTACAACATCAAAATCATCTGATTGCAGACTTCCATCCAGATGCAGTCGTCTTTGCTACCGCTGTGGGGCTGCCGGGTAAGCCAGGATGACTGGTGAGCGCAAAATCTTCCGTCGTCCCAACTCAATCTAAAGACTGTCAGGCAGAATCACGTCCGGCGTATTAACGAGTCCACTCGGCCAAATATTCATGCAAGCCCCTGTTCATTGTGTAATATTCTAGAAGATCAGAGCTCATTTGGGCATGGTTTGTGATACTGTAAGAAACTGCGTCGTTGGACTGATTAGTTTCTCCGCCTATGATTATCTGCAATAATGCTGGGAAGCCGAGTTTATCATAGCTCTACTCATCCGGTATGCTCTGGATCAAGTAGAATCAAGTGGTGTGCGAATATGCATATATTCAAGCATTTAATAGGTATTGGCCAGTGTACGAATCGGATATCATCAAGATAAGTTGTTATAGACCAAAGAAACCTTTGAAATCCCCACAGGACGCCTGGCTGTAAGTCTTGTAAATGGTGCCAGTATCAACACCATCCATGGGGTCCTATATCAAGGATTAGTAACCCGAAAGCTCAGTCTCATATCTGCTAGTAGCGTTGCGACTTACATTGCACTAGCCTCGTCTAACATCTCCCACATTCATACCAATCGCAAATACCTTCACAGATGTTGGAACACAGACAACGTCCGTTGGTACAAAATCCTGTTCCGCCTCCGCAAGTTCCTCGTGCTGTTGGGCCCATGTTGGGGAGCATATCGCCGTTTGGCAGGATGACAGGGGCAGGTATGGCGAGCCCAAGTGGAATAATTAGCACCAAGGCCAATCTAATCATCGTGTTCATTTTTGCGTGCTTGAATTTGTCGAAGGTTTCGTTGTTTGGGCGGCGAAAAAGGTGACTGAAGCGTCGAGTAATCGGACTTTCACACCATCAAGACACTGAGGTCTCTTGCAAGAAGGGCTTTCAACGAGAGAGCTATATACATGAAGATGATGGCAAGCGGCCTCCCATCAAATTGTTGTATGTTGTGTTACAGGGCCCAAAAACTAACCCGCGTGTTGGTCGCGCCAGGTCTGTATTCATCCAAATGCCTTTCCGGGTGGTGAGGAGAATCAGTCTTGTATGGTACCGGCAGTTGGGGAGACTGCCACAGACCTCCTTCATGTGGATCCGACTGTGTTCCTTCATTCTCTGCCTCTGAAGGTCCATGCCCGACCAGGATATCCGAGGAGCAACAAGGCCACACTTGCGGCATTTGGGACCGGCGCTCCACTACGAAAATTGGGTCAGCCATGTTCGCTGGTAGTTTCCATTGTTCGAGATCATATCTTTCCATACCCAACTCCTCCATTCTGTGATTCAAGCCCTCTACCCTCTTTCTGTCATTGCTCCGACAGGTCTCTCGAATATCATCCTCAATACCTTCGACCTCACGTCACATTTGTGGTTGCTCCCACATTTCTGGCAGGCCCACACACGTGGGTTTCTCTGTGATTTTAGGGCTTGTCTATCACACACTTCTGTGGCTTGTTTTTTCTCTCTGTTAGATTTCTACCATCATCACTTTTCTCACCACTTTTGCCTCAATTTTCGCGTCAGCGACCACTGTCCACTGTCCCACATGATCTGATCCAATCTGCGATCAATTGTGTGATCATCTTGACGCTGCGCCGGCTTCTTTGAGCTATTCCGGGGGTCAGGCGTTGGCGAGTTATCACGAGATACTGGATTTATGGCAGCTTCCGAGTTCTTCTTCTATTGTCCACTGTCCCTCGACTTCATGGCGTGAATCTGTGTGCTGACCAGCTCAAGAAGTAAACGCTCTTTCTCCTGCTGATTGAGGCGCTCCTGTTTGCGCTCCTGTTCGCGCTCCTATTCCCGTATTTTTTGCCTGAATGGGGTAGGTTTTCCTTCTCTCGAGATGAGGATGACAAAGCACGCACTATCATGCACCCATGCTTGGATGTCTGTGCACGTTTGTGTTGGACTTGGCTCACCGAAGCGTGGTTTTGTGACAAGGGCTGGAATTCTGGGCTTGGAATAACACTTGATGAGGAATCCTTTCGTCCAACTGCTCTGCTCTTCTGCTCGTGTATTCATCTCTCTCAAAGAGGTCCTCGCTTGTGATAACCTTGGCCATCTTCTAATAATACATCTGCTGCTGCCGTCGGTAACACGTCACTCGTTTCACTTCCCAACAACCGGCTCAGACATTCCAGTTTGAGTGAGCCACAAGAGAAAATGCAGTCTTGGCTGTGTTTTGTGGGCGAGGCACGATAACTCGCTTGAGGTCGCTTGATTGTTACAGATAGATCCGGGAAGCAACAGGGACTGACGCTAGCGAGCAACCCCCCTGACTTCCGATGCTTCCCGGCCAACTTTTGTTTCTCCAAAACGTCAAGGATGAAGCTTTTCTTTTACTTTTCTTTCTTGCTCTGGTAAAGAGGATAACCCTCAAACATACCGAGACATAATTTGACGCTATACCTGCAAATGAAAGAAAAATTATGTGTGGCCGCTAAACTACTCCGGCATCGACCCTTTCCTAACAGTCTTCTGCATCTCGTATCCGCCTTCCTCATCACTCATGCTTCTTTTCCCATTACTGTATGTTGAAACCACCTCGACCTCATCAACCCGGCAAATGCGTTTTGGGTCGCGGCCGGTGCTCGATCCCAAAATCCCTGTGTCGCTCATATCATCTCCGCAACCAGGCCGCTCCTCCTCCATGTTTCCCTCGGCCTTGACAGTAATGACGATCCCAGTCCGATTTGCACCATACTGGGGCGTCGTAGCCTGGTAATACTGTCTGCCCTTTGTGCGGACCGAGGTGCGCACTTCGTTGAAAAGCACGCGCAACGCAGGGATAGAGGCGGCCATGATGGTGACAGAGATTTCCGCAGTGTCGTAGATGTTGAGCTGGGCGGTATAGAACGAGTCCATCTTGAGGAGATTTTGAAGCGAGACAGTCTTGACTATGGCCATAATTGCGGCGCTGTGGCAGTAAGACATAGGTTAGCGCACGTCGGAGCACTGGAGAGAAACGAAAGAAACACAGACATGATTCCCATGCTCATGGCGATGCCCACGCCTAGTTTCTCCTTGGTCCGCATTTGCAGCTTCGAAATGATCATCCACGGCAACAAGGCTAACACAAGATCGCAGAGGGCCGAGTATGCCCCGGACACATATGCAAGCACGAGTGAGACGTTGAATGAATGACATGAACCCTCGACGCTCAGGTCCCACGTCTTCTGGATCGGTGTGCAAAGGAGCCACGGGACCATGGCAGAGAGTCCGAAGGCGATGTTCATGCTGATGATGATGAACCATACGGCCCACTTCATCCAACCCTCGGAGAAGCGTAGCATGGTAATGGCGAAGGCTGTTTTACTCCAGGACATTGCAGTGATGGTAAGGGTCGCTCGCGGCATCATGAGAAGGAGCTCTTTGGTGGAAGGTATTGGACTGACACCGGGTTTGTCCCAAGGATGCTTCCCGTAGCCCATATCTGCCACCAGCGTCGTCATCAAGCAGGTCGCTACCAGGTGGATGACCTGTGATGCGATCAAGAAGTGATCATCCCACCATAGCCGCCGGCTGCCGATGAGCTTGCAGTAGACTCTTGTGCCTAGAAATAACCCCGCCGCGCACCATAGTGACCAACCGACGGCGAGGAGCTGGGGGCCGGCATTGTCATGGGATAGAAGGGCCGGGTCGCCATAATCGATCATTGGAGGACCCATTGCGTTGCCGCCGTCAGTCGAAGGAGGTCGTTGTACTGATCGGTCCATGTCGTTCGGGAATGGACTTCAGGTTAGGTACGTGACATTCCTGTAACGATAAACATGAGGAAAAAAATAAAAGAGAATATAATAAGAGAGAAGAGTCCGGGGAAGGTCACATTAGAGATAAAGTATTGCAGATCGTTCGATTCCACCAGGGGGATCGGATCTGCAATATGGAGCCATTCTTTTCAGGGGAAAGGAAGCAGTGGAGTCTAGACCCGAACCACGGGACTGGTTTCGCGCACAGAACCTTCGAATCTGCCAACAACGGCTGACACTAATACACGACACACAGACGCACACCTCTTGCCGAATCCGTATTCGATGCTCGGTCTCAAGCAACTTCCTTGGTAGCTGGTGTCGTTTTACCTAATAAGCGATGAGGATCTCGCAGCTATCACTTCACTCCCAGTGGAGCGCTTAAGTTGGCTACATGCACCTCATCCTTTAAGGTAGCATGTGCACCGACACACCTGCATCTATTCGGCCATTCTCGCAAGAGTCTAAATCAAGGAGGTTTGATTGATCAAAGCGTTTTTACATATTTTATTATCTTTTTTGCCAAAAACCTCGGAGACATACAAACCTCAACAGTAGAAATCATCTAATACCTCATGATTCGCCAAAACCTTTCCGCCATGGCTTCTCCGCGACCATGGAGTCTGCTAGCTTGGCGCGCTGCAGGACTGCCTCAGGAACGCCTGGACAGGAGTCCATCATCAGGCTAGGGGGTAATCCGGTAGGCAAATAGCTCAAACCTGTGGAAGCAAAAGGACATCCTACCCACAGGGTAGGCCGGGTGGTATGTATCTCTACAAAACCGATATCCATATCCTGCAATGGCGTCTGAAAGAGAGTGGTCTTCCGGTTGCTTCAATTAGGTAAGCAACCTGAAACATCTTTGAACAGGGAAGGTTTACATTGATGCGGGAGGTACTTCCGCTTGGCAACTCGCGAATCTATGGTAGGACTTCAGACTGTTAAGTTCATACTAGGTACCTATTCACCACACAGCCATCCTCCAAAGTCAATTGTAAACATGAGTTTGGAAACACCCAAAAGTAAAGAGCACAGGACGCCCAAAGTTCTTCGATACCTTGGGAAGGTCGATGTCGACTGCAGATACCGGTGGAAAAAGGCACAGTGGGGAGTGTTGGATACTACCGAAAGGCCTGCTGGGATTGTCTACATGGATATCACCTTCAAGCAACCACCAGGTTATTGGCTTCAGAGCGCAACTGTTTTTGTCACGTTGAGCCAGGACGCAACCTTGAACACACGACGCCAGCACAAGTCTTCGTCCGCTTAATTCCGACTACTCCGTTCAGATGACACAACAGTTTAGACCCAAGTCTTTGACTGGCACACCGACTGTTCAGTGGGAAGAGAAGTCAAACTCCTTCATCCCAACCTTCGGCGCTATGGGGCTTCGAGCTAGTAGGTGTAGGCCACCAGTCTACCACCTCAATCAGTCGTGTTGATCAACGGGTGTTCAAAGGGACTGTAGGAAGATCAAAAAACCCGCAAGATTACTGCACGTTGGAGTGGGAGTTCATCGGCAATGAGCTGGACCCCAGCAAAGCAAACAAACAGGAGTACAACACGGCTTTCTCCTTTGAACACAGCGGAAAGCTGGTCATCATGCAAGTGGATATCCGTCAGGGGAAGGTACAACGCAAGAGCCCTCTAATTAGACACAATTTTCTTACTAAAGTTTTCAACCCAGTTCGGGGAGAGTGGTAGCTCTACTCTCACCCACCTCGACCTTAGCAAGCAATGGGACTTAAGAAAGTTTTTGATCCAATCGTCGATGGTCTCGACATGGCCATGCATATGGAAAATTGTGGTAATTCTAACACAGTGGTTCCGGACGCAGTTCCAGCTCAATTCCATCTCCTGAATTGGCAAAGCCCGAGTAACAGTATTCACGGCCCACCCAATGCCCAAACACAAGCCCAAAGCGAAGTCAACATCACAATCAAGCCAACGGCCAGGAGGATCGTCAAAATGGTCCACAGCCGATAAAGCCGGAAGAGCCCCAACAGCAACAGCTGAACACAGCACCAAAACAAATATAAGGACTTCCGACAGAATTCTAACCGCACCGCGCAGTGAAGCTCTCGAGGATGCCATCAAGGAGTTTGTCTAGGTCCCAGGACTTCTCATTCTGATTACCTGAATTCTCTCGTTGCCATTACCGGGTGGCTTTCCTCAAGGCCGGAGCCACCCGCTTGCAGACCTTCACAGCACCAACAGAGAGCATGGAGGGAGAAAAAGACCGAAGACTGTGGACGAAGCCAAAATGACGTCTGGGAGTGAAGCATTAGGGATTTCTGACAGTCTGGTCTGGGAAGGCTCGCCTGATACGGCCGCTAAATCAATCAAAAGCGGAGGGCAAGTAGGAGGTCACGGTGCAGGTAGATCTTTTCATCCAACAAAAGTAGCGTCATCAACAGGAGGAAGAAGGCCTATGACACACTAGTATTAAACATCGGACGACTAGCGGGAGAATGGTTATCATTCGGGAGTTTTATTTGCGGATTAACGACCAAAAGAGTTCATATTTTACCTATGCACTCATACCATGAGCGAATTTTCATTCCAACAAAGAAAGGAAAACCGAGGATAGGTAATGTGGTGAGGCCTATATCATATACATAGCCATCCGTTGCATGCAGCTCGGCTACACGTAGCACAAATCGTACTTTGTCTCAGCCTCAGACAGACATGACTTCATAAGTCAAACTCACAAGTCAAACCCGGGTACGTGGTAAGCCAATCTGAATCGAGTAAGCTGGATCGTTTGACTGGATGTAGGTTTCACTCAAGCTTGCGCTCATCGTTGCGACCAGGGTGCACATGTCGGAGTCGATATATAAGGCCGACCAAAAGATCGCCGTTCAAATAACTACTGGTGTTTGTAGTCAACGGACTATTAGCTCAATCCTTCATATTCAACTCGGACACCCTACCTCCACCTGATATAACGCAAACGCTGCCTGTAATCTGTCTACCACGCGGTCATATTAAAAGTGTAACTATGAACGGGGGTTTTTCCACGTTGTCTTGGGTCTTTTAACCTTCTTGGCGTCCAGCAAAATCCAAAGCTTGTCCGTTGATGAGAAGCAGCGCTGGATGTTTTGGTTGGAGAGGGGGATCTTCGGATAGATTAAGCTTTTTTGGATGAATATGTCTGGGCCCGCCGCCAAGGCCCTTACCGGATGATGGCACCCCGCTCCGAAGGGTCCCTCTGTTGCTTTGCGATGAATCCCATTTATCGATCCTTGGTTCTCTATCTGGTCCTTTAGTTTCCGTGGGGTAAGTGACCACAGATCCGGCCGCATGAATGGGCATAGATACCCATCAAGACAAGCGTGGCGACGCGATGACGATGAAGGGCACCAACCCGGTAATTAAGTACGACCTCGGGAGTAGGGAGCAGAAACATGGGAATAAATGAATAGAAGGAACGAGTGACATAAGAAAGGGAGGACCTGCCGCACCCTCCTACTGTGTCTCGGATGCTGCCGAGCCTTTCTCCATTCCTTCCAACTGTCGTGTTGTGGCATCCAGAACCAAAACAACGAGCGAGAGGGAAACACTCACAAGAGCAAAGATGGGCCATATCATCAACACCGTCGCGAGCGTCGCGGCTTTGACCGCGCTCTTCATCCCCGAAGTAGCTGCTCAGTCATGCCCGGGCGTCAACAGTCGCTTCCAGCCCCGTATGGGTTCTGGGTACCGGTTCAGCTTGCTTGCTACCGGGCTCCGCCAGCCCAGACACATAACCATCGATAGCGCCGGTAACCTCCTTGTCGCTGAGGGTGGTTCTCAGTCAGTCAGACGCTTGGTCCTTCAGGATCAGGGCAACATCGTTTGTGTTCAGTCCAACACCCAGCTCAGCGGTACCAACGTAAGCCACCCCCATTGCAAGCAAGATGGATATGAGGGTGGAGCTGATAAGGCAGGCGACAGACCAACCATGGTATTGCTCTTTCTGCTGATGGCAGGACACTCTTCACGTCCAACTTGGCCTCGGTGAACGCCTACTCCTATGACCCGGCCACAGGACAGGTTGGCTCCGGACGCCAGATTGTAAACGGAATGTCCAACACGGGCACTCACCCGACCAGAGCCATTGCTACCTCCAAGTGGTCTCCAGACACCATTCTCGTGGCGCGTGGTTCTCAAAACAACATTGATACCACGACCACTCAGACTTCCTCTGGTCGTTCGATGATCAAGACCTTCTCCATCTCGGCTGGCACGCAGTCAACCATCAACTACAACACGGGCGGCGAGGTCCTTGGCTGGGGTCTCCGCAATATCGTCGGCTTGACCGAGGACCCTGCCTACGGCGGCATCTGGTCTGTCGAGAACCAGATGGACGACCTCCGACTCAACGGTCGTGACATCCACAACAACAACCCAGCTGAGCGCCTCAGCTACCACGGCGTTCTCAACGCCACCACCAACCGATACAAGGGTCTCAACTACGGGTACCCCTCTTGCGTCCCGGCATGGGACCCCCAAAACGTCGGCATCAACGGTCTGGTGGTGGGCTCCCTCTTCAAGCCCGACTCTGTCCCCAACGCCAACGACTGTGCCAACCGCATGACGGGCCGCCTCCATTTCCACGCTCACACTGCTCCTCTTGATGTCAAGTTCACCGCCAACGGAACTGCCGCATACATTGCGTTCCACGGCAGCTGGAACCGCAACCCTGCTGATGGGTACCGTGTCATGAGGGTGGACTTCCGGAACGGCGATCCAGTGGCCGACGTCAGCTCGACGACGGCGCAGATTCCGGTCATGGAGAACAGCAATGTCGGCGGCTGCCCCAACAACTGCTTCCGTCCGGTCGGTCTGGCGTTTGATGCCAAGGGTCGCTTGTATGTGTCGAGCGACACGACCGGTGAGATTTATGTCATCTATGGCGCTTGAGCAGGGTGAGATGGGTCAGCCTGTCGTTTCTGTGTATCTACCTGGTATTGAGTGCGGCCGAGTTAGACAACGAGGATCAGGTTGTGTCACCTACATGTCGTTACAGTGATCGATGCGAATGTGGTTGGAATGCAGAGAACCGTGGAAGGGAAGATGTCAAAAGGCTGGGCGCAGCATGTCAAATAAAGCCAAGCCCAGGTGCCAAACAAGAGCGAGAAAAAGAAAAGAAATTGGCGGAAATGGAGCAAGTGCAACTACCGAAGCTAGCAATTGAGCCAGATAAGGGCACGCAAGCGACAAACCTCTCATTCTTTTCCGTCAGGCAAATCAATTGCCAGTCAAGTCAGATCAAGTCATGTCTCACGTGGAAAAACATCTCCGAAATGAAACAGGCACTTTTGGGGAGCCCCAGAAGCCAAGAGTGTGGGGAGCTCCACTAAACGACACGCCAAGAGAGCTTCGGCAACGGGGCATGCGAGGGACGTGGACACCAACCCTTGGCATCGAACTGTTGCATCGTCACCATTCACCCGTCCGAACACATATTAGCTGATATCGCCATCATTTATTGGCCTCGAGTATCCTCGAAAATCCCTTGCACACCGTAGGACACCACTAACTCCACCTGGCCGGAATATTTCGTCCGAGTACCTTACCCAACCAACGCCTTGTGCCGGTTCATCAGCTCGCCGTTTGACCTCTTGCTATATGAGCAGACCTGCTGATAAGCTTCACAGGCACTTGTAAAGTGGAGGTTTTGTGTTACCTTGAACACCACCGCTCTTGTGGCCATCAAGTCAAGACCGCCACCGCCATGTCACAAGGGAACTTTGAACCAGCCCTACAACACCTACAACTCCTACATGGCCTCTTAATGAGCTTATCACGTTCGCCATACGTACAGGTACACTTTAGCCACATTACCTGCAACAGGGACTCTGGGTTATACAGCTGACCACATCATCCACATGCTTGTTCGGTGAGGACGACAATGACATTGTTTCGAACCTATGAAACTATTCAAAACCATACGGCTTGGTCACGCCATACACCGATATGTTCTGTCCCCGCTCTTTATCACTCATGAAAGCAACCTAATAGGGTGCCTCAATCCGCCAACATTGATGAGCGCATAATGCTCGCTGCAATACTCATGCGAGTGGTCTGGAGCAATGATAATCAGGCCAATACGAAACCGTCCCAACCATCCGTCACCATGCATGGAAGCACAAATGCAGACTACGTTCAAAGATCCGAGTACTGTTCACATTTGATTTGGTTGGGAATGGCTACAACGGGAGTTTGAATCTACAAGAAGTAGTAAGTCTGATCTTTGTGCGTTCATAGGTACCAAGAGCACAAAGCGAAACAATATCCTCAATCTGCCTCACACAGGTCTGAGTAATTGATATTATGCAGATCTATCAGAACGCATAGCTCATGGGGGGTACTGGGAGGCTCTCTTGCCAGATTTCTGGCTCCTGTTTGGTGAGAATACATATCAGCCAGCCACCAGAGCTTGCGGCTGAATCCCAAAGTTCTTGAGTCGCTGCACAGGAGAATAGTCTCAATGGCGTTTACGGACACTACCTATCATGATCGAGTACCAGAGAGGTCGGATATCAGGATACAAGACTGCCCCGCCATTGCTCTTTTGTCACCACACAGATCCTCAACTAGAAGCCTCAAACATTGTTTCTAGCACTCTATCTAGCACTCAAGTTTTCACACCAATATCGAACCGTCCTACGCAAATTTACCTCACCTATCCTTGAACTTCAACATGGCCGACATCCGCACACTTCACTGGTATGAGTCGGCGGCTGACAATCAAGCGATTACTGCCAATGGCTGGAGATTCCAGGTGGCCAAGTCGGTTGCTACAGGAAATGGAGCACCCATTTACAATGTCGTGTGGCAGTCCCAAGGTGTTGCCCCCGTTACCGATATTTCCTGGAAAGCTCAGTATGCTCTCAACTGGACCGCCGCTCTGATCTCGCCTGACGTCAAAGTCAACGTTGGCGGTAGATGGCAGCGATGTAACAAAGGCGAGACCTACGATCTAAACCCACAAGGTACTTTACCTATCTTGAGTTGCTTCTATTAATCTTATCAGGTTGCATCTTTGCTAACTAGTGTATCTTGCATAGGATACTGGGTGCCCTCTGCAACACCGGCTGGCCCTGATGGTGCTGGCTGGCTCAACATTGGCAACATTGATTATGCATACCCGCATGTCCTTGGAATCCATATCATCGTGGGAGTTTTGAACAACCAGACAGGCAGATACGAACCTATCTTTGTGGACCAGGCAACCCTTCCGAAGGGTAGCTCGGCGAAATACCAGCCACAAGAGAGTGTGAGTTGGTGGCTCGAGGGGAGTGATCTCACTGGTCAGGTCTTCAGCGACACCAAATCCAACGCCACAACCTTCGACTTCACGAATCCGAGCAACCCCCTCACAGATTCTTATGAGTGGTCAACTTCGTACATAATGCGCCAAGACCAATGGGTCATTGCAGCCGGACCTGTTCCCCAGGCCTTCCGTGCACCTCCTCCGTCTGAAAACAGGGTCAACCCCCTCGGCGGGAAGGATCCAATTCTTCTCGACTTGGATGTAGGAAGCTGGATTGTCAGATTCAACCCCCCCTTGCTCGGCGGTGCTATGGGGGTCGCTGTCACAGCTCTCTCGGAAAATCTCAAGCAACAGTTCAAGGGACTTGAGGTCCAGGCTGTGGGCAGCGAAGGCACCGCGCTCACAATCCAGTACGAGGCTGGTTCGGCTCCTGGAGCCCTTGAACATATCGGATTTCCCCGCGGTTCTCCCGGATCTCAAAGCACAATCGACAGCGCACTGAGGGAGTTGCAGACAGCCGGCGAACTCCCTCAAACCGAGGAATGGCTTATCGAGCCGGCACCCGTGGAGGAAACAAATGGTTCAGCACCGATCCAGGCGCGCAAGAGCAAACTCAATGGGGCCAGCACCCATACCAACACCAACAATAACAGTAACAGCAACAACAGCGGCTTGGCCTACCGCTACGGCCCCGCCCCTACTGACCAAAACCCGAACAACTTTGCCGCCAACTACCAGACCAAGTCCCCCTTCCTGCAGCAGGGCTATCCCTCAAACCCCATCTCAACCTAGAATCCCTATAAGCCCCACACCGTCAGCACTCTCTCTGCCCCCGTTCGCGGCTCTTTTTCTCTGTTCAAGTTTTATCTCCTAGAAAGAAAGACGAGCGCCGAGTTGAACAGGAACAGCCCCATCTTCGACAACAAGGACAACCACAGCAACAACTACCATGACGGCAACAACGGCAGCAACACAGCAATGACGACAATGACAACAACAACAAAACCAAGTTCTTTGATGGATGAGTAAGCAAAGTCCATCAGTTTTCTTGACGTGTACCCCGGTTCTGGTCCCTTGCTTGGCTGGCTCAGGGGTCAGTGTTTATGTTCTATCACCATGCCAACTGTGATGGAAGAAATGGCAAGCCAACTTGGAGATACCAGTGTTTTGGATTCAATCACGGGACGTAGAGCAGTAATACATTGTCCTGATATCAATCTCATGCGGTGTTTTGATCTTGTAGCATTCTCTTGTGGACAACGTCTCATGTACCTTCCAAACTATTTGTTTCTTGCACAACATCATCCTTTTGCTGACATATTCGTCTAGTGATGAGGCATTTGTGCCAGCATCTTCCCACTCACCAACAAGTTTATTAGAACCAACAATTTCTTCCATGACTTTGACGTCTGCCGCTAACATCATGTCAACTCTCATGCTGTGACACCCACCCTTCCCACTCTCTCGGGGACGCCGGAGACATCGGATGGCGGATGACGGATCCTTCCTTGATGTGGTGTACACACGGGTTGTGCATGATCATGTACAGTTGAGGCAAAAGGTGAGGCATGACCGGCGGACCGACGGGCGGATAAACCAGACTGTTGGTAACCGGAGGCGGAGTTTTAACGTCTGGGGGGTTAGTCAGTCAGGAAGAGTGGAACATAAGGCTATCAGCTAATGTTTACGAGATCGCGTTGTTTGGTGGCAAGGAAGCAGAATTTTGAAATTTCACCTGTCATCTGGTGGTGATTTGCCGCCGTGAATCTTGCCATTGAAGAATTTCCCAAGATGAGGGGCTTTGACATAGGGCCGAGTTTCTATATCCATCACCGAACACTCAACTCTGACCGGAGGTAAAATCTCCGTCTCGGTCAACCACATAGGAAACTTGGCCCTTCCAACATTCCAACCGAACCCTCGGGATCACAGGATCAACTTCTGGATTGGGAAGGTCCTCACCAGCCATTCGGATGAAATTCATGTCTTTTCTCAACACCGATCCTCCATCATCCGGGGAAGCCACAAATTCAAAATTAAACACGGAGCAAGTTTTTACACATCGGCAGACGCGAGCACTAGCACGGCTTTTTACCCATAAGAAATTCAAATATACACCGACAGGTTCTCATACAAGACATTTTCAGATCCTTCAAATGTCCCAACAAGGAAAAAAGTTCAGACGGATGAAGGTGGCGGCGGCAGTGGCGGCGGGAAGTTGGATCCTGCTGATCATGTCAGTTTTTCACATGCCTGACTTACTCCGAGTTTATATGATTCATTATGAAGAATTCTGGCTGGCATAACGTCTTTGTCCAGAAGGCGATAGACGGGATTTTGACCAAAAAGCCATCTGTTGGGTCTTGAAGTCTGTGAAGCTGAGAGGCAATGTCGTGGCATGACATGAGTTGAGTAGAGTGGCGCAGAGGACTTCCCTAGTCTTATCAGATCCTCCGGTGAATTTACTGGGGTGTGCAGTTGTCATATCGGTGATCACCTCGGTGCTTGATTAAGAGAATGTCGGCATGTACATGACTTGGGGTACTATAGGACCATTTTGGCCCCCATAATCCCATCTCCAGACACTCAAATCATCATCACGACATGAGTGGCTGCGGCACCAACCGGCCACAACTCGATGCCCGCAGACCTAAACCCAAGTGACAATCCGATCTAACCAGCCCCCATCCCGTCCGATCAAGTACCGTATCTTGTGTTTCCTTCCTTCCCATATCATGTTTGTCAGCTGGTTTCGTTTGTGTCCCGGCCGCCTGTCATCCACAAAAGATGGTTGGTGGGTTTCCGGCGGGCCACTGTTGGTTGGGACTTTCGGTCGGCGGCGGCACAGGTCTAAACGACCAGGAAAAAAACAGCTTACCTACCAGAGAAGCCCGAGACATCTCATGGGTGATAAAACACATAATAGACGCCGAAAATCACCGGGTTTTTGAGAGCATGCCCTAACGTTGCGGTCGACCTTGCTCCCCAACAGCAAACCAGCATCTTTTGCAACTTGCATAATAAAGCCAGGTTGGCAACTCAGTTCAAGGTCCCCGATCAGATGACGTGAGATTGAGTGTTTTCCCCGGCCTGCCGCAGGATTTCCAAGGTAAATGATCACTCTCTGCATGGCGCCTTTTTCCCTGCAATATCGCCCAAGTCCTTCTCCCTCGGGATTCGTGTGGTCGTCACAGTGCTAGCCTAAAGCCGAGAATCAGCCCTACGAGAGATTGAATGACAGCCGAGGAGCGGGACGAAGAAACACAAGGTAAGATGGAGGGTTACATCGAGAATGACCGAATCCTTCCGCCTTTCCTTGTGATGCTCCCATGTCTTAACATTTCCATGATGACGGAGCTAAAGAACAATTTTTTTGCGTGGTCGGGTGGCGGATCGCTGATTGACTTCTGCCGAGATACCTAGGGATGGATGGTCTCAGCGAAGAATTAGAAAAGTACAACATCTGGTAAACGACACTTGAGCACCCCTGGTGCCGCACGGCATACCACAGTATGGAAAATCTTGATAAGTCGTCTTGCCCAACAATCATGTCATGGTGACACAACCACATTACGGCTTTGCGCTCAACCATAGGTACAATACCGTCGTACCTGGTTTTAATCAGCAGCCAGCCCTATGAGAGGTAGGTAGCTCACCTCAGGATACATCGGCGCTTGGTATTAAAAACTGCCGGTTTATCACACCGCTTTTTTTTCTGTCAGTGCTCCAAAGGCAGGCACCGTCGTGAGTTTTATGCAGGAAAATTGCAAGGAGAATATGCCAAATGACCCAGCATGCAACCTAAATTGTAGAAAAGCGCCATCAACTTGCTGTCATTCCCAAACAGGCAAGTCAATGATAAACATAGACCCACAACAAGCCGTGTAACCACTCCCTGTTCTTGACGACGACCGGTGAGAGTGAACAGCAAATGGGAATCAAGAAGTGCCTCAAAACGCCGACTTTGACATCTGAAGAGTACATGCTTCCAAAAGTATTAAACAGACATTAATAGAAACAACGAAAGAATGTTGAAATAAAGAATTTACATGTGAGGAAATGTCATAACTGGCGTAACCTTAGCTTTCCAACCCATCCCTAATGCCTGTGCATTATCTTCCCTGCGATGGATCCAATGCCGACGACTAGTCCTTGCACAATGAATAAAGCTCGTCCGGCCTATTCAGCCTTACGGCTCTCCGTATAGACGTGATGCGCGGGCTTCGAATGCGAACCATACTTTTCTTCCCCTAGCCTCCTGAACACCGAAATGGTGGGAGCCCCAGTTCGTCACCACCCCCACATGGAAACTATTGCCAACCTATGGGGGGTGCAGCTGGACCCTGGAACTGCGTTGGGACCAAACGCGAAGCGCAAACTGCAACCCATCTCAGCAGCCCCGCAACTCAATCTAACCTCTGCATATGTTTATGACATCGATCTTGATTTCGTCATCGCCGATCCGAGAGAGGCACCGTGTCGCCATAAAAGCCACCTTGGTCTTCGGCGGCGAGGCAGGCAAGACAAACGCCTCCACCGTAGACGCGTGTATGCCTTTTCCACCCATGACCCGAGTGATCCATGACTGATATGATCTCGCCGTGGAGATCGATCTCTTGATCTGACAAGACAACACCTGGACCTCCCGGCCCACCCACAAATACGTACTCGGAGGGAGCATCGGGCCCGGGTGGAGGAGGAGGCAGAAGAGGCGATGTTGGCGGATAGCTCGAGGGGGTGAAGGCAGTACCTGATGCCATTGCCTCAGCAGAGTAGGCGGGCGTGGTTCCAGGAGCAGGGATTCCGATGGGGACAGTCTTCGTGTAGGATCTTCTGCGCGGTATTGGGTCTGCGGTCTGGGGGCTGGAGTTCAAGACGTCGTCTGATGTTGACATGCCGCTATAAGCTGGATTGGGCTGGTGTATGAAGCTGGCGTCCAGCTCTGGCGGGATCGATGCTGCATAGCCGATATGACGGTCTTCGAAGGGAAACCTGTTGTCGCTACGTGTTGGAGCTGTTAGTGGTGGTGGTGGAGGTGGGCGCGAAAAGCGTCGGGGAGTGCTGAGATCGAAGCCAGAAAAGCCAGGGGACCCAGTAAAGCTCTCAGCACCGAAGTTGGGATCCTGTCCATACACAGCACTCGAGGAGCCCGCTTGCTGATCAGATGCGGCACTCCAATCACGGTCGCCATAGCTGCTGTAGCCTGACATTGGTCCTATCTCCATGCCCTCGGAGCCACCACTACCATATCCCTCTGGAAAGTTAGAAGGGAAGAAGTGGGAGGAGTAGCTCGGTCTGCTGTCTCCTACATGTTGCTCAGTGTACCTGCCGGCCGGGGAGGGGTCGTGTTGGTATCTAAAATCGGCGTCATCGGGAACATTGGTGCTGACGCCACGTGATGCTGACCCTGAGCGCAAGCGATCCTTCAGCGGGTCATTCTCGTTGTCATCCATAGCTGGCGTCTGCCCCAAAAATCTGAACACGGCGCTCTGGGCACCGTGACCTGTAAGCACTGCAGCACAGGAATGATGTTGCTGATGGATCCCGAGCCTAGTGAACGGAACAACTCCTTGCCCGCCCTTGAATTGGCTCCAGGGAGACAAAACAGAGACAGGTCGGTTGCCCGTTTGGGATGTTGGTGAAGTTGCTATTGGTGAGAAGCGGGGGGGATGCTTGTCGACTTTCTCAGCACGCTGGCTGTCTCCAGGTGCAGGCAATGGGGCTGATGGTTTGAGACGTCTTGGCTTGACGAGCCGGGCAACAAGAAGAAGAGTAATGACGGCAAGCGCGAGATATATGTGTGCTCTTGAGGGTCCCTGTTTCTGGGGACTTGCGACCCCAAGAGCAACGTTGACGTCGGGATGCCTGAGTGTTGGCATGCCTGCGGCGAAGCTCAGCGCCGATGATTTACTTTGGGGCGCCTAGTCAGTGTAAGTGTTCGGTCTTGGTGGGTGGCCGTAGGGGCCGGCGCTATAGCTAGGGGGATCAGGCAGGCATGGCAAAGGGTCGTGGCACCGGAAATTGGGTTTTGTGTTGTCCAGGGTGCTGGTCTGGGGGAGAGCCAAGTCCCGTTTGAAGGATGGAGCAGCGCGAGCTACACCGAGGGGTTCTGGGAGACCCCCAGGAGCTTACATTCGCTTTAAACCCAGCAAGTGTAAATATTGAACGAGATAAAGCCGGGCGTGCAATATGATGATGAGGCGACCTACCCAACGGAAGTAAGGCGGCCGCCAGGGTTTGTTGATATCAATGCTTGGGGAGGGGGAAATGTGCAACCAATGGAATGCATGCTCGAAACGGGAAAGACATGTCGACTTACACAGCACGGGGCCGACAGCGGCCTCAAATGTCACGACTGAGAGGCGTAGTGTTATGCAGAAGCCGCCAGGGTAACACGGCGGGCATGAGGGCGGTAAGTAGTAAACGGATAGTCGGGTCTATTGTGGTGGTCGTTTCCTGTGTCGTTGATGCTACCGGTGCTCTCTCGACGACACGACTACCAGGTAAGTAGGTCCGGGCTCGGCGACGGCAGGGGGGCACGGAGAGTCGAGGGCCGCTGACACTCGGGAAGACTGGTCGGCCTGGCAGTCATTGGACCGCACGGCGGGAGGGCGCGGTCTTATAGAGCAAGCCGGCCACCCCTTTGTGTGCGAGGTCGATTACGGAACGCCATGGCTCTCCACGCCGTTGTATCGCGCCGACAGGGACAAGGCAAGCTGGGAGCTTCGGGCATGTGGCGGCGGAGACTTGGAACAAAAGTAAGAGCCCCGAAGCAGGTGAAGGCTGACACACCCAACGCTAACTCTCTTGGAACGCTAGAAGGTAATTAGACGCAGCATTTGGGTACCGCTTCAGCTGAATCAGCTCCATAAAGGCGCCGTTACCAAATGCAGAACAGCCAATCCTGGCGAGCAACAGGAGGGCACTAGTGCAGACCGTCATGGGATGAAGAACCTAAGGTCCATCGCCGCAAACCCGCCATGCCTCTTGATGACGGCACCTTGATGAAGGGAAGCAGAAGAAGCAAAGCACGATGCGACAGGGAGCTGACCGAAGCCCGGAGCGCGGAATATTCCTGCAAGGTACTGGGTGCCAGGTGGACTGGGAGTGGGACTGTGTAGTACAGCACATGTATCGAAGTCAGACCAACAGACGACAAAATAAAGGGCTGGCAGGTGCGCCTTGATTAACCTGCATGCAACGGTGCGTGGCTGCATGCAAGTGCAAGGGTAGAGACAGCAGCCGACCTCTTGCCTCTCTCTGGCCGCCTGAAAAAGGGAACAATTCGAGATGTGGAGGGCTGCAGGGGACGGCGGGGTAAATCGGAGCCCTGTCGGGTGTCTCTCAACGCTCGGTACCTCACTGCTTGTTCGTGACGAGGTTGGATTTTGGCCCTTGTTTGTTTTCGTTCGTCGTTTGCCGATGCTGCCCAAGCCCAAAGGCCATCGACAGTGGGGTTGATGTGATCATATGGCCGGACGACGTAACAGCAACTCGGTCGGGGGAGCAGTCCGAGCCACGGATGTCCCTTGTTCTCTTGTCCGAAGCAGGCTAGGCGTGTGTGCCCTCAGCTAGGTGTGTCGAGCCCTACAACTGGCGCCACCTTATCAACAGCCCTCTGTCTGCTGCTTGTCAGACAAGCTGGCTGGACTGGCTCGGCTGGCAAGGTGTTGTAACACGAAGTATGAGGCGAGGATGCTGTGGAACTGTCGCATACGCAACAAAAGGTGTCGATGGATGCGGTGTTTCTCCCGCCGATCCGCTGAGGCGGGTCAGCTACGGGGTGGTGCTAGGAGGCAGCCCTGTGGCCCTGCCATACTGCGCCGACTTGCAGTGGTGGTGCTGTGCCAATGGAGCTTAACCTCTTCGATGCAAGCCTGAGACAAAGTCGTCAACGTCGATCTCGGCAGAAGATGCGAGCTGCTGCAGCGTGTCGCGTCCGCAATGCTTCGGTGGCTGCATGTGTTGCTTGATCTGATGTCAGGCAGGAAGCTGTGATGCGGCGGGGGTCGGTTTGAGGGAAGGAATTACCCGGCTAGACTGTGCGACACGACAGAAGTCGGCGGCTGGGTTGGGTGCTCGACCCACGCAGTTGGGGTTCAAGTAGGTGAAGTCGAGATAGTACAGTAGTGTAGGACGATGCTTCGTCCAGTTGGTTGTTGGTGCGACGGGAGGTGGTGCAGCAAAGAGGAGCAAAGAGGAGCGTTGGAAGTGGGGCATGGAGGGGCAGAGGGGTAAGGCATCGTGACGCTGTTGCAAGAGCACCTGTGTATTCATCTCAGCTACGAGAAGCTCCTTCCCAAAAAAGAGTTCCTGTTCAACTTGACATGTCACCATGCGATGGCCTCTGTTACATAGGCCATCTGAGTCCAGGTTATTAGGTACAGGTGATCTCGCTCCCATCTCGAGCCCGGTAGATCCTCTTCACCTTGGAGACAGGTCAGTCCATGGCTGTGCTCACCGCCACCATGATGCTTCAACAGCTGAACAGCTTGGCCCTCAGGTCTCCACGCCCATGGCTACCTAACCCGGCGTCGGTTGTATCCTGAGCAAAGCGTCTCGCCGGGTGAGCTTCATACACGACGAGAGCGCTTACACAGCAGAGCACAGCGCTTCCACGATGGATGACGGGAACGTATTTGAGGTGCTCCCAAAAAAAAGAGCCCCACTGATCGATGACTGGCCGTCCGATGATGCCTGCAGCCCGTCATTTTCAATCTCAGCCCTATGGGAGAAACCCTGGATCAGTGCGCCCTCCATACCCCACTCCACCACGACCCTGGTTGATCACATCACACCCGCTGGACCGCCCGCATTTCCGTTCCCATGAGAGAAGCTTGAGCATTTTCCTCATGCGTCGCCTGCACCGAAATCATGTCCTCGCACCCCGCCGCTTCCAACAGATCCAACACCTTGCCCAAAGCCCTTGCAGCAGGACAGGCCAGAACCAACAATCCAAAGCCATTGGGATCAACTGCCCATTCACTGTTGGAAATGTTGGACGGCACACGGCTGCCTGAATGCCTGAGATTCACCGCTGTTTTCCCGGTCTTGACTCTCATCGAATCTGAACTGGAGTTTGTGCCTTTCAAGAGTGGGAGGGCCGACCGCCATTGGGGCAAGCCATTTCTGCACGCCCATTGGTCTGCGGCGCAATAAAGTCAGCTTGCGTCTCCCTGTGCCGTGGTTCCTACGCTGGACTTGCCACTGCCAAACTCCAACATTTTGACTTGTTTTGTCTCTGCCAGCTCAAACAAACACCTCCTCACATCCATTAATTGCCGGCCACTCTTCACGTCATGGTCAAACATTTGAGAGGATCGTTTACGAACCCGGGCCCAACAGGGACACCAGAGCGGAGCGAGCCGCCTGGCCGCGGGGCACGACTCCTACCGTGATCCATGATAGACCAAGAACAACTACCTACTCTGGGGTCAATTTGATACTTGAATGCTTACTTGACCTTGAATGGCCAGTATACGGACGGAGAAATCGGCAATCGGGTCTTGGCGGGCAATAGAGTGCTGGCTCATGATGGTTCCATCCGGCGGTATTCGCCCGACGTACACGTTGCCGTCTCAATCTCGATGGGAAATATCTCTTCGTGAATGGTAACCCATTGAGGCTGAGCAGGAATAGTGAAAGTCATGTAAACAAGCATCTGCCGGATGCACACGCGGCTCAGTGGCGCGGCGGCAAGTGAGGCTCAACAGGCTTCCCATCACAACGATCATCACGGTAGCTAAGAATATCTAGAAAATGAAGCTAACATGGCAATAGATGGAGCAAGCTGACTCGGACGCTACACGAACTGTAACTGGCATGTTACTGGCTTTGCGGGTGCTCCAATCCCACAAGAGGCCGCAGAGCCTCATGCTGATCAACCCACTTTCACTCGGTTCTCTGCGAGGATGTCCTTGTGATGACACTCCAGCGTCTGATGGGCATACCAGGACCGGAACCGGTGGATCCACGAGGACAGCTGAGCCCAGGCTCTTTTCATGGCTTATCGACCAGACGTTTGGTATATTGGGAGCTTTGCCAAGTCTTCACTGGTCATCTGAACTGCAAGATTTACGCTTGCGTGTCCCACAAAGTGCAATAATTGGGGGACGAGCTATACTGGTCCGGCGGCGATCGACCTAGGTAGTTTAGTGGCTGGGAGACAAGTACCACGGTGTCACTGTTCGAGACTGGGAGCGATGAGACGGGCCAGACAATAGTCTCGAAAGAGCTATCCACAACTCCAATGGGGCAGAAGTAGAAAGATAATGCGGGTTTCCGTATCCGCATCTTCCCCTCTCACATCATGGCCCCTTTCTCCGGCCGCCCCCTCATCCCCAGCATATCTTACGGCCTCTGCTCACGCGGCCGGTCACTCAGATGGTCACCGAGGGACTCACATTACCAATCATCGAACTCGCCCACAGACATGACAACTCACAATCACGACCGGCATCTCACAAACACCAGCAAGTGCCTGATGCTGGCCAGGGCCCACAATGCAACCCTCACCACCAGTCACCCAAACAAACAAACCCGGTACGCAACACCGCCGGCTAACCAGAGTGCTCAAGACGCAGTCCCTTCATGTCAAAAGCCCACATCAAACCCTCCCCAAGTCCAGTGACTTGGTCCTTACTAACACACAACCAGGGTATAAACCACAGGATGGTAAATGTGGAGATATCCCTGCCCCTCCAAAACCCGAGATACGCACGATACGAGAGAAACCTTCTCATCCCACCCGCCTTCCCCCCAACCTCAGCCAGCCTTTTCCTTTTTGTCCCTTTACTATCCCGCTGTCACCCGCGTATCCCCCATGCGAGAAGGGGGCCCCGATCGATAGGCCATCCGTCGTTACCAACAAACACGCAAGAGGGAGAGGGGGGTGGATACCTGTGCCGAGGAGGCTGAATGAGTTGACGGTAGGGTGTCCGTATCCAGGGTTCCATCCTCCGGGGGTAACCAATGGAAATTCAGGGGTGGAAAACAACACCACCACGGCCTCCGGGGATTTGTTTGGGAACTTTTGGCATGGGCATCAATGACACGATGCCGTGATTGGGTGATGATGGTTGCTTTTAACATTATGGGTGGTACAGTGAGTGTCAAGGGGCGGCAACTACCGAGTACTCGTATCTAGCATCACATTCGGGGAAAGGGAGGGGGGGTATCGTCAGAATACGCTGCCAGAGACTCATCCACGGCTTGAGTAATTTGGCCTATTGCGGATATGGTGAGCATGACAATATATGTTCAATGTATAGATACGTCAACAAGATACAAACGCCCGCTGTTCAATATCTCAAGCAAAAGTTGTGTGTGGTATACAAGATAAAACCAAGATTCTGATTTCGTCAACACCACCGCCCAGAGTGTTCCGACACTGCCGGAATATATTCCGCCACTTTGCCCCCGTCATGATTACTGCAGAAACAATAAGCAAAAAAAAAAAATTAAGAACAGCGAAAACTCTGAACATGCCCAGTGACCCCATCCATCCATTTCCTGACAACGCCCCGCCCCAAACACCCCAAGAAAAAGAAAATGCCAGACACCTCAAGCAGAGAGTGAATGCCAAGTGCCCGAGAAAAGAAAAAGAAACCGCATCCGCCATGATACGACAAAAGCTTATGCTCCGACATGCAACCAACTTCGTAGCCTCACCCAGTAATCTCCATTGGCTCAGCCGCCTCCGCCATCGCCAGCGCCATCCCACCCAGCATGCCCATCCCCTCCATGACCCCATCCGGGTTCGTCCCTGGCGGCAATAAAGCGGCACTGTTGCTCTCCGCCTCATCCTCCATCATGGAGATCATGTCCTCCAGGTTCTGGTCCAGCATGTCCTGGTCCTCGGGCGGCAAGCAGCTGCAGAGCAAGTGCCTGTACTGATCAATCTTCTTGCCCGTCCCAAGCATGCCCCTCGCCTCGACGTACTCCACCTCGGCAGCTTCCTGCTCGACCAACATGGCATGGAGTTGCGCCGCGAGCTTGAGCCGCTCTTCCGGTGAGTCGTCTTCTTCCTCTTGCTGCTGGCCATTGGTAACAGAGGCGAGGTTCTGCTCAATGGCCTTTTCAATGGCGAGCTGCGTCTGCCGGCGAAAGAGAGCAAGGACTTGCTTCTTGGCGGCGGCCACCTCTTCCTCCGTCTTGCTGGCTTGGTCGTCGGCTTCGATCCTGGACTCGAGCTCGGCGATGCTGGCTCGGAGGTTGTTGAGCTCAGCTTGGGTGTTGGCCAGGATGTGTCTGGCTTCCTTTTCGGCTTCGTCCGTCTCGTTGAACTCGCTGTCGTAGCTTTGAGACAAATCTTGAAGTTTCTGGAGCACGAGCGGCGTGATGCGCGATTGCACCGTGTTGGCTGCCTCACTCTGGTATGACAACTGTAACTTGCTCGTTGGGTCTTCTCCAAGGGCATCCCGAAAGCCATTGCGCCGGGCTGTCTCAGGGGCGAACGGACTCGAGGAGCGCTGTGGCCCGGTCCGGGCAAGAGAACGGGTGGTGTTGATTTCTTTGATCAAATCCTCCGCTCTCACGCCCTCGTTGTTTTCGATGTCGGTTGCTGCTCCACGGCCGAGAAGCGATCTGATGCATTTCCTGGCGTTGACTCTGGCCGCCAGATGCAACGCCGTATTGCCCTCTTCATCCTGAGCATCGAGCAGCGCCTGTACCTCCTCTGGCTGGCGAACTTCTACCAGTTTGTTCAGGATGATGTCCAGATAATACCGAGCACAGGTTGAGCTTTGTACCCGTCCTCGCTTCATAACCGCCGCATGGTGAATGACAGTGCACCCAGAGTGATCTCTTGCATCCACCGATTTGAATAGCTCGTTGAGAACGGTAGGAAACGTTTTCTTCATGTAGCAATTCGTAAAGTTCACCGCCCACATTAATGGCGTCTCCCCCCTGATATTCTGAGCCATGAGATTGGCATCAAACCGCTTTAGCTGTTTGATGACATCGGTATCGCCCATGGCCGAAGCCCAATGGAGCGACGTATGCCTGTCAGTGTCGATGGGCCAGTCCGGCTGAAAGTTGGTTGGGGGATCAGGACGAATGGCAGCCTGTTGGTTTGTAGACAGCAAAAAGTAGTCAAGCAGCTCATCCCCGTACATGGCATGTTGTTGCGCCGTCATGTCCCGCATCTCCTCCTCTCTCTTGCGCTTCCTGTGGCCGGTGGAGAAGTGCGACATGTCGTATGCTCGATCGTCCTCAGCCATGTACGAGGCCGAGGCAACAGTCATGTTGTCGGGGGTGTCGTCTTCGTGCATCTGAGAAGCAACACTCTCGTATTCTTCTTGGATGGGAACACCTTGTTGGGCATGACTGTGTGAGAACACAGCGGGCTGCGACAGACTACCCTTCCTGTTTTGAGACTTGCTGCCCCATTTTGGAACGGCAGGCTTGGCCTTTGGGGCCTTTGGCTTGCTCGCATGTCTTGGTGCGGGAGGAGGGCTCTCACTCCCAGGCTCATACTCAAAGATGGGCCGTAAGCGTTCGTAGATGTTGTTTCGCTGGGCAAGCGCCTCGCCTTGTTCGAGAGGAATCCATGTGCCTGCAACACAAGGCAAAGAGTCAAGTCAGCAAACGGAACGTGATGTTTTGGGCAAACGAAAAAAAAACAGCAAGAAGCCGGCGCACCTTGGTATTTTCCGTAACCACCCTGGACTTTTTCATGCTCCTCCTTTTGAACTTCGCGCTCCAGAATTCTCGTTCGGGCAGGCTTGTCAAAGCCGGCAGCCTTCAGGATGTGTGTCGCATTCACCCAGTTGTCGGCACGCCGGCGCATAACATGTTCCTTGAGATCGGTCCCAAACTGAAACTCGTAGACGGGTACCTGCATTGAATTTCATGATTAGCAATGCGTTTTTTTGGCCAGGAGCCTTTGTTGCAGTGTCTAGACAGAGTCCATAGCGGGCGACGTACACCACTATATGTCGCGCTGTATACCCCGGCCGGGGCAGCGCCCTTGGCCATCTTGCAGAGTTGTTCGAGATTTTGCGAGCAGAAAGGCTTTGTTCAAGAAAGGCTGTGAGACTGGCGTTGGGGTTTTTGGGAGTTTAAGAAAGTCGTCCGTTTCTCGGCTGTCCAATGGGCCAGTTTTTTTCCAACAGGACGGCGGCAATCGACTGGAACCTGGAGGCTGAGAGAAGCCGACTAGGCTGCGCAAGATGAAATGGTCGGCGACAAGAAAACAATTGAATGGAACGACGCCAAAACTATTCCCCTCAAGCAGTCGTCGTCGTCGATGGTCGCTGCTTAATTGCTGTCGCGGTTGCAGACGCGGAAGTCACGAAAAGACGCGGTTGCTTGACCTTGTCCGAGGCTGTGGGGGAAAGCGAGACGCGGTTTTACGCGATTCCCTTAAACTCTCTTCGCTTGGCCCCTGACCTCCCGTCTCACCGAAAGTGCGCCCGGCACGTGACTGCTCCCAAGACGCTCCCTCTTGAGTGGCCACCTGTGGGGGGTTAGGGTTCAGTATCCCATGTCAATCACCAACGTCCAAGAGTATCCAGAGCATGAGCCGAAGAGGGGATTGACATATATGCAGTCGGGTGATAATGAAATGAGAGTAAAGCTGTCACTAGGTAGTCTCCTCCTAATTTTACCATGCAAACCGCAAACTGGTGGCAACTGTTTGAGCCCAATGACGCTACTTCACTCAGTGCATGTATGTTGGTGAGTTGAAGAACAAACTTGCTGTGTTCTCCCCCAGGAGGTACACTTACAACCTGCCAAAAATCACTCCAGTCAGGAATTTTGAGAGTACGTGGTAATAATGCGTTACCATCATATTCTCTCCATCTACATACGATTTTCCTCGCTCCTACACTTGAAGCCTGAGGTCCAATGATGCCGTGAACGAAGGGAAGGCCAAACGCCGGTGCCGTGTCGGCTTCATGTCGATGGTATACCATATGACAGGCAGATGACGACTGCCGTCAAGTTCAAGTACGTTGATAGTCTCAATAGATAACGGCGCGGCCAAGCAGTGGTTCCAAACTCACATATTTGACCACAAACCATGGCTCTATGGTGCAATATCGCGTGAGTATGACAAGGTGCACCTTCAGTGTGAGCAGCCATACACCAGCACCAACTTACCCTTCTGTCGTGTAAATGAGTTCGACCAATGAAAGTCGCCCGATATCGAACTCACATGCCTCAAAACGCTCACGTTGACCTGTCGGACACAGCCAAATGTTCAACGGGTGCCTGGGATTGGTCACCACTTGCAGATTTGTAAAGACCATCAGACATGCAATGGCGAGCTTGAGCTCGAGGCAACGCTACGTCTTCGTTCCCGAGTCACCGCAAATGACAAGCCAGCACAGGAGTTCGAGCTTGTTGCGAAAATCGTGGAACATTGCACCTCATCCGGGAGACCAGAAAAAATAAGGGGTTATCTCCGCTGATCTCTTAAACTCCTGGCATCATCGGGGCGCCATCGGCACTGGCGCTGGTCGTTGTGAAAGATATAAGGAACAGCTCTCAACGACCTGCTGTTTCCCGCTCAAGACATCAGTTCGAGACCAGTCATCAGGAACACATACCCTTCACATAAATCCATATTCAGCACACCAACATCAACATGGCTCCTCCTGTCGCCGACATCGATGTACAGACTGCTCCTGTGGTGGTTCCTGTTCCGACCAAAGGATCCATCGCTCCCGGACACAGCAGCGCCTCTAGGCTTTCGGGGCCCTTGACCTACTCGGGCACTCTCGACACCTATGAGCATTTCGATGTCACGAATGTAATCGGTCGCGAGTTCCCCAACTTGCAACTGAGTGAGATCCTACATGATGACGATAAAATCCGTGATCTCGCCATTCTCGGTAAGCTCATTGGTGGTTTCTGCAGCCGTGGTTCTTCGACTGACACCAGAAAAGTTTCCCAACGAGGCGTCGTGTTCTTCCGCAACCAAGATCTAAGCATTGACGACCAGAAGCTCTTGGGTCAAAGACTTGGTGAGTTGACAGGAAAGCCTGAGACGTCCAAGCTCCACAAGCACGCCCTTGCCAACAGCAAGCGCGGTATTGCCGTCGATGAGAATGGCAAGCTCGACGACGAGGTTTCTGTCATCTCGTCGGAGCAGAATCGCAAGTACTACGCCGATCGTTATGGCTATACTGCAAAGAGACTGGCGAGTGAGGGCTGGCATGCTGAGTATGTTGTTCTCACCTTGCGCTTCCAGGCAAACCAATAGCTGACTCTCCCCTAGCATCACGTTCGAGCATATCCCTTCCGACTATGCCATCCTCAAGATTGTGCAGCCTCCCGAAGATGTTGGCGGAGATACCCTCTGGGCCTCCGGCTATGAGGTGTATGACCGTTTAAGCCCTGCGCTTCAGAAGTTGGCCGAGAGCCTGACTGCGACGCACCATCAGCCCAACTTTGTCAGGGTCAAAGAAGCCTTCGGTGCTGAGCTGATTGATCAGTTCCGTGGTGCTCCGGAGAATAATGGGCTGGATTTCAAGGCTGAGCAGTATGCTTATCCGTATGCTGAAAGAGGCTGAGCCAATATGCTGACCAGTGACTGATATGTAGCCCTGTTGTCCGCACCAACCCAGTCACCGGGTGGAAGTCTCTCTTCGGAGCCGGCCACCAAGTGCATGCCGGTTGGATCAACGGCGTCACGGAGCGTGAGAGTGAGATTCTCAAGGCTTATTGTAGGTTCTTTCAAAATATGAAGGTATCATCGTGTGCTGTTGCTGACCGACGAAACAGTTTACCAACTCATTTCTGAGAACCACGACCTTCAAGTCCGCTTCCGTTGGAACAAGAACGATCTTGCCATATGGGACAAGTAAGTTCTTTTATCAAGACGTCTGAATACTTGTGCTGGAGTAGAGAAGACTGACAAGGAGAATATAGCCGATCGGTGTTCCATACAGCTACGTAGTGAGTTCCTCTTTCCTCGCTCTTCCGAGCATCAGGGCAGACCAGACAGCTGACAACATAATTACAGCGACTATGTCGGCAAGAGACAGGGCAACCGGGTGGTGTCGCTGGGAGAGAAACCCTATTTCGACCCCAACTCCAAATCCAGACGGGAGACACTTGGCTTGCTCTAGGATGGGGAGGAAGACGAAAGGCTTTGAAGGTTGACCGCTAAAGGCGGGAAAGCGGCTGGTGATGCTGATCCGTAGTCAAACTTTGGGTGTTGTACGTATCCGTTTAAGGAGGTATTGCGTAATAAATGCCACGATTGTTTTCTCCTGCTCCACGTTGAGAGTATTGAAAGGCGCTTGGCGTGATGCCTGCGTCTGAGCGCGTGACTTGCCATTTGTCATTAAAGTGAGACGCTGTTCCAGAGCAGTAGGTCAGGAAGGATGAGGCACGTGTGGGGGAAAAAATGATTTCGGTATTCTCAGAGGCCCGGGGATAGGCACAAGATCCAGAACGGAGGCTGTCAAAAGACGGGAGCAAGAGCAAATGAGAGCACACCTGATGAAGCCATCTAGAAGGACCATTGTGGTTGGTGGAAGGTGGAAAGAAATCCGTGGGACCCCTAAAGTGGGAACATCCCGCACTTCCCCAGTGGGGCCCCCACAGAATGGCAGGCCAGTTCCTGCTCTCATTGGTGGATCCCGGCCCGTGGATCGGGAAGCCGCAGCTGACACCAAACGACAGGGGTCCGATGGTGTTGGGATGGTGACACAGGCCATCTCTCTTCCAAACAACCTACCAACAACCTACCTGGAAGACATGATTTTGAGAACTTTAAAGTCGGGGCCTCTCCTCCCACCAAGAAACACTTAATTGCATATCTTTCCTGGCATTCGTTCGCTTATACATAGCCACGTTTTGTCCACTTACAATCAAGGCTGTCCATTCCACCCCGTTCTTTGTCTGCCCGGTTACCACTGTCCGTCTCTTAATTCTACCCCCAGTACGTCACACACACCCGACGACAACGCAGCAGCGAACGGCACATGCGTCCGCCAGCCGTCGAGCCTCCGTATACACTTGATTTCCCATGTCGATAGAGGTAGCGACATAGCAGCCCCGTTCAGTTGTTCTACCCAAGTCCACCCACTGCCCGCCACAGCTCCTGGCCATGCGCAGCACCAAGACTCCTCGCCCCGGCGAGCAACCTCTGCTTTCCTCATATCACAGTTCCGACGATGAAGAACGGGGCCGCAGGACACTTCGAGGAGGGAACCGTCGCGGAAGCCCCCTTCCGCTAACCTCAACATCCTCGGCCCACACACCTACATACTCGCATTTCGCCGTCCCAGACTTGACCACGAGTCGCCCGACCCTGAGCCGTCGCAGTACGAATCAACTACGCTCCCGTAGCCCTACGAGTGCCCGCCTCGAGGCGAAACGCAAGTACACATACGCTGCCGTTTTCCTGGTCACGAGCTTGGTATCGTTTGTGGTGCAAACGGAATTGGCATCGTACATACAGCACGACTTGGGATGGAACAAGGCATATGCCATGCTGTATTTGACACATGGATCGTGGGTCTTTCTCTGGCCACTGCAGCTGCTGTTTCTGCGCCTTCAAAGACGGGAGCAGTCATGGCATCAGTTTTGGAACAACCACAAGCAAATTCTGAGAAAAACAGCCCAGATGGTGGAACGACAAGAGGTCAGAGTACCCAGGGGAATGGGCGCTGACCGCTCGCCCTGGCCATATCTTGCTCGGACAACAGCAGTGGTGACGACAGCCTTGACCGTTGCTGGATCGAGTTGGTATGTTGCCGTCAGCATGACCACGCCCAGCGATTTGACAGCCATCTACAACTGCAGTGCCTTCTTTGCCTACGCCTTTTCCATTCCCTTGCTGAAGGAACGGCTTCGGCTCGACAAGATGGTGGCCGTATTCGTGGCTATCATCGGTGTGCTGGTGGTAGCTTATGGCGGCGGTAGCTCCTCGGATGAAGCTGGGCAGGCTGGCCCTGCCACTCGCTTTGCCGGCAACATCGTCATTGGCATCGGTTCCGTGTTGTATGGGCTCTACGAGGTCCTCTACAAACGATATGCATGCCCGCCAGATGGGACAAGCGCCAACAGGAGCATGATGTTCGCCAATACCTTTGGCAGCTTGATCGGAGTTTTCACCGTCCTGGTCCTGTGGATCCCAATACCGGTGCTCCATGTGCTTGGATGGGAGACATTTGAGATGCCGACAGGCGAAACCGCCTCCCTCTTACTCATCAGCGTCTTTGCCAACATGGTCTTCTCGGGCTCTTTCTTGGTTCTAATCTCATTGACGAGCCCGGTCCTCAGCTCGGTTGCCGCACTCCTCACCATTTTCATCGTTGCCATTGTAGATTGGTGCTTGACCGGCCAACCGCTAGAGGCTCCCGCCATCCTTGGGGGACTGCTTATCATAGCGGCTTTTGCAATGCTCAGCTGGAGCACATGGAAGGAGATGAATGAAGAAGAACGCAAGGGGCCGGTGGATCTGAGCAGCGATAGCGGCGACGAAGACTAGTACAATCGTGGTTGCCCTATTTTGGAATGCGTTCGCACCCCCCGTACGACGGACTCGTACTCGGGACGCGCCAATGCCTCCCCGTCAGAGGGAACTGTTGGGGCCACCGCAACCATGACAACTGAGATGTTTGCCGAACTTCATCTGCGGGGTGGGAAAGGTTCCAAAAGCAAAAAGAAAATAGAGATCAACTGAAAAAGGCCAATGCCAGAAAAGCAAAGCGAGACGCCGACGAACAAGCTGCCGAGAAAAAAGCCTCCGGGGAAGAAAGCTTGCAATCCAAGCATGAAGAGGAGCAGGCAAATACAGAGGAAGAGGCCAATACAGAGCAAGAGACCAATACAGAGCAAGAGACCAATACAGAGCAAGAGACCAGCACAGAGCAAGAGACCAATACAGGGGAGACTAATACAGGGGTCGAGGTCAATACAGCAGAGCGGGCTGATGCACCTGGGGAGGTTTTATGTAACATGCCCTGATGTGGTTCATTTGTATCATGATACCCCTACTGTTTCTTGGGACCGCGATGTCGGCAATGCAGGGAATGATTGCCATATGTGCGGGAACTTTTGCTCTTGTTGTGGCGGCTCCGGTCTACGGGCTCAGACGTGACGTGAAATTAGGCCGTGCCTCGTCCCCTGGCGAATCGGACGAGGATGATACGGGCTTGCCAACACCGGAACCATGGGCGAGTGACCCGGATCATATAGCTCGAAGGGAGGCACGGGCGCATGCTGCTGCTTTGGCAGAGGCTTTGGGGAGTGGTAACGCGGGGCAGGGCCCGGTGGGTGGAGAAGGGAGCAGGGCTGGTGGTCCCTCGAACAGCACTATCGATGATGAGAGTCCTCCGAGAAACTGAGTGTAGGACAAGTGTGTGGGAAGCTTGAAGCATGTTGGAGGTCGGGAGCGCAATTCCCGAGGGAACATGGATACAGGAGTATTATTAGCTGGTAGGCAGGCCACGATCCCCTTTGGCATTAGATAGTTGGGGGAAAAGCGAGTATAGAGTAGCGTGACAGCAATGACATTGTCATCATTTTAAAATACAGTCTCTGAATATCTCTGGAGACCATGGAATGATGAGAGCTGCTTTCACATAGATATCTACCTAACATGAATCAGCTGATCCTGGACATGTTGCTGATCGTTCCAAGTTATGTTTCAATGCTTGTTATAACAAACCCGTCTGGTTCGGTTTTGGGAGTAAAATTATTAACAAGACAAGAAGAAAAAGACAGAAAAACTAACAAAAACGTTATCTTGCAACACCAATGCAAATTTATCAAATACCTATGAGCTCTATATATTATGAATAATCTCGACATAGTCCACCAAACATGGGTTGTGAAGATCTTGTCCAATCTAGGAGAACAGCCATTTCATCATAGTTCTGCTTTAGGTTCATTGCAAGATGCCTGTTTGTTTGATGATCACTTTTTGGGGCTATTGAGTTCCCGTTGCGCCTTCTTTTCAGTTCGATCTGTTACTTATACCCTGCACCTGGGAGTAGCCTTAGGCTTGTACCAATCATAGGGTATATGAAACGAAGCTCAAGTTTGTTCAACATATATAACCTATATTTGGATGGTATGGATTCTGTAGTCTACCGGTAGAGTCAACCATTACACCAGGCATGATTTGTGTTTAGAATTGGCGTTTTGGACAGTTGATCCTAGCAGCGAAGCTTTTGCGATGTGCTTCTCTATATTCGTTGTTCACCTAATGTAGCACGATCCAGTTCTATCATATATTCATGAATGTTAATGTGCTGAAAGAAATTGTGTCCACTGTCATGAGTTCATGGGGATATTGAAAATGTAATGTGATTGAGAGGTGACCATCTGGATATCATCACATTTGCACTGTACACTCTGTGATGTGATTCTAAAGATAGAACCGCCCTGCATTGTGGTATGGGGAATTTGGGGAAAGAAACGTGTGTGTGCCGCCCCCAACATTTCACGCTTCCGTCTCGTGTGCTTGACTGCTTGCCAATCCCCTCTCGGTCGTACGCAACCTGCTTACGGCACAGTAGCCACAAAGTCGCGTCTGTCGACTGGAGTGGAAATGATGAGCAATTAGGCTCGGACACTGCGTGGGCAATGGGTACAGTACGAATAGGGGGTGAAAGAAATGGATGAAGGCATTGATGACGGTAATTTGAAGATCTACAAAGGGTATGTCAGCATCAAAGAAACAACCGAGATGGGCCGGCTAGGCCGGCCACTGTTGGGCCATTCCAGTGAGCTCCAACCCATGCTGATCCAGAAAACACGACCCGACACCTCGGGACCAAAACATGGTGAGCTGGCGGTTGAAGAACGAGGGAGAGACAAAAGCTTTACCGCCTCTCCAGATCTCATTGCTCCCTGCTTCCAGACAGCGTGACATGTTTCACAGGATCAGCCAAAGAAGATCGGGAGACCTTCGGAGGGTTGATATCGTGATTTGGCCACTCTAAGCCTCCCGTGCGGGGTTATAGGCCAGGCCTTGGGCTCAACGGTCACGGCCAGCAGTCGTTGGGCTTCAAACTACCCGTTGTGGGGCTCGGCCAGTGTTTTCTTCTTTCCAGTCGCTAATAGTACCAAGCAAGCGATTCAGATCTCTCGCACACGACTGGGACTAGCAGATGGCGAAGATGACGTGCAGAAACTGACGCTACGCACATAAATGCAGCCACATGTGACCCATGAACACCTCGATACAACAAGCACCCATCGTCTCCAGTGAGTGGCCTCCCAACTCTTCAATGGACCCTCTTCCGCATGCCCAGTGCTGGCTTTCACGGGGAGGATGGAAACTCCAAGCGGCAATGCAACCGTAACCTCCTTGTGCACGTTTCAGGGGTGCGGAGTCCAGCGCACGGAGCCTTCAGCCGTTTGGGCTCCGGGCAGCTTGTCTCATGTCTCACCACTGGCTCTGCGTGGCTGTGTGTGACTTGCCGATTCCTCCAGTCTGACAGGAGTCAAAGATGATGAGATCCGACAGTCACCGCCGTCATCATGATATCTCCAATCACAAGCAATGCCATCTTGCCTCGTTGGTGCTGTTGGAAGAAAAGCTTCAGCCCGACGGATATGGAAAGGAAAATGGAATGGACAAATCACCAAGCCCTCCCGCCAAGCCCTCCCCGTGGCCGTTACAGGATCCCATGCTGCACATCTTTTGTGGAGACGACGATGGCTTCCCGGGAAGACTTCCACAAAGACATGGATTGTTAACGACAGATGGTCCAGATTCGGAAGATCAACCAGCAAGCCGCGGAAGGGTTCATGCTGAGGAGCCGAGATCTGTAGTAGCGTTTTCTCGGTGTCCTATGAGATCTGCGAAGATGGCCGCCGAAAAGGCCAGTAGTAGCTATTTGGGAGACTACATGGCTCCAGGTTGCCAAACGGCCCCGGGACAGGCCAACGAGCGGTGGTTGAGTAACGGCGACCGCCTTTGGCGCAACCAGCCACCAGCAGATCGGAGAAGTCTTCCATGAACATGCTGCTTTTCTGTCGAGTGAACAATCCAGTGGCCAGTCATCCGATCACTGCCGCCGATACCACTTGTTGATGCAGGCGTGCAAGACGAAGGGGGAATGGCAAGGGTTCGATGTCGCCTTGAGTCACTGGGCCTGGCGCGAGACTCTGGAGGGTTTTCTGGTAGCGGCCCATGATTGGTTCAATATCAAGCAAGCGAAGACAGCTCTTAGCCTGATCAGGCATGGAGGAATTGAGCTGGCTGCTCCCTGCGTCTTGCTGGATATCATCGAGGTACGGGAAGGAGCATCGGAAGCTAGAGCTGTGCTAAGAGTTTTGCTGGGAGAATACGAGCAGAAAAGTTAGCGAATGAAGCGGCACAGATATCGCGAGGGTAAAGGTGAATCGGGCTGCTTACCTCACCCACCAATTGCGCGCAGTGATTGGCTGAGAAGGCCCACTCTCAGTTTCTGCAAGGCCCTGAGTTCCCGCGGTTCCAGTGGCTGCTTCTGCTCAATCACGGTGGTCTGCTATCCGCTCAGACAGGGCATGCTCCCCTGCCGCAGGCTAAGACGATGGACCAGTAGAAACAGAGCATTGCATGCTGGGGCCCCGCCCGCTCTCCCTGTTCGATCCATTCTCCAATCCTCCACTGCACCACCCACCTCCAGCTGCGCACCAGGCGGCCAGTCGTTCCAGGGCAGTTGATATCTCCTTTCCTGTTGCTCTGCTCTCGTCTTCTCTTTTTTCCTTTCTGCAACGCCAGCAAACCGCCCTTCCTTTTCACCCTCCCCCTCTTCCTCTCTTCGTACCGCCGTCCTTGTGTCGGTGTCACCGTTGCCCGTCATTGTCGTCGTTGATTGAGAATCCATCCATTTTTTCTTCACCGCGCATTCTCTCGACCTACACAGAGCACAGCACAGTTTCGCCAAAACAGCACCAAAAAAAGAGAAACACCACAAAAAAAAAGGAGAAGTGAATATAGGCAAAGGAAAGGATCCGGAAAAGCGCGCACATCAGCATCACCTGCACCGAAAAACTACTTTTAATCCTTGTATTTTATTTTTGCGCCCGCTTTATTCCACTTCGTCGCCGCCATCGCAAGCCTCGGTACCTTTTGGGCAGCCATCATCAATCTCTTCGACAACTCCCACTATCATAACCAACTTAATTCGCTCAGAGGGTGATATCGCAGCAGCAGAAAACGAAAGAAGAAGCAAGACAAGACAGAGTACAGCACAGCACAGCAGCACCAGAATCTGGGAACACAGGATAAAACCTTGTTCGCATCTTTGCACCTCCTGGAAAGAAAGGAATAAGCTGGTGGATTTCCCAACGTCTTTGACTCGTGTCTGCGGGTGTCCCACACAAAGCGCGCAACCCCACGTGTTACCCGGATTTGGACGCGCCGGTCTCCAGCCTGTCTGCTGACTGTGGGCTCCCCTCCCATCGCCACCGCCTGTTAAGCCAGAACCGCACTGGGCTTTTCCAGCACCTACTTCCTTCAGCGTACCCTTCACCTTCCCTCCGACAAAAAAACCCGCCTTTTCTCTTTCCCCTCTGTCCGCGCTGGCTTTGCCCGCTTTCTCTGACGCCCTTCCGCTCATTCAGCATCACAGTCTTTTTTCCTTCGTCTTCCCCATCGACAACTGTTAATTCCAAACCATCAGCACCGTCTGTCTTATTGGACTTGGCTTTTTCTTCTCTTTCGGGACCAGCATCTTTGCATCATCTTTTTTTGCACTTCCTCCACGAGAGAGGAATAGATCTCATCGCAGAAAGTTAAACGTTCGACCACGTCTCTCTCTTCTTGCGACCTTTGGCATCATCAGTATATGCTTCTTAATTTCTAACTTTGACTTGAACGTTTCTACGCAACCTCGTCCTCGTCCTCGACCTCGACCGGGCTTCGATTTCGATACCCACCACCACTTCGAGCCAGAGCGATCGCGCCAGGCAGTTCAAAGCTCCATCCTTTCAGCACATCGGCTCTTTTCGCCAGTTTCGATATCCGACTCGTGCTATCGCGTAAAGAGAAAGCCTTTCCCAGCTCTCTCCAGACATATTTTTGAGTCCATACCACGTTGTAATGGGCCCTGGCGGTCTCGCTCAAATGTCTCACCCTCCCTACAACACCACCCACGGCCTCGGCATGGCTTCCTCTGGACTGGCGTCCCGCCGTGGCGGTCAAAATCTCAAGCCTCTCTCGTTCGAGGGTATGAAAACCCCAACTGAGCAGGATAACGGCCTGCCGACTCCCCGCACCAGCCGCGGCCATCTCCTCGCCGGTCTTCGCACCGCACCCAAGTCGGCTATGGCCTCCAGCTTCCCCAACAACGGTCCCGCTTCACCGACCGTTCAAGGGCCAGCCGGCCGGAACAACCGCAACTCCATGGGCCCCGGTATGTTTGACAACATGTACGGCGGACCTAAGACGTCGATACCCCGGTTCGGCGGTGCCCACCAGCAGCAGGTTCAGCAGGCTCAGCAGCAGCAGGCCTACAATGTCGGTGGTGGTGCTGGTGGATATTCGCAGCAGCACTACACCACAGAGCAGATCCTGGCCCCGCCTCAGATCCAGCTTGATGATGTCTCGCAGGACCAGCTTGACCCCAACATCCATGCTCAGCTGCTGTACACCAATGCCTACCTCTCGGAGCAGCAGCAACGTCTACAGCAGCAGCTTAAGGCTTTGCAGGCTGCCGCCCAGCAGTTTCAGGGGCTCAATCTCAATGCTCAGGCTCAGCTTATGCAGCAGCAGAACTCCATGATGCAGCAGCAAGGTTTCCCCAACATGTACCAACAGCAAGCCCAGCTTCAGGGTATGATGGGCCCAACCACTCCTGACGCCAGCAATGTCTACTATGACCCCCGCACTGGTCAAATCTACATGGACCCGACCCAGGTGCAGGTACAGGCACAGCTTCAAGCGCAGGCTCAGGCCCAGCTCAATGCTCAGTACCTCCAGCAAGCCCAAGCGATGCAGGCGGCCATGCAACAGCAACAGCAACAGCAACAGCAAGCCGGTCCTGGCGCCCCTCGTGTGCAAGTTTCCCCCCCTCCCGAGGCGAGAAACAGCTTCCGCAGCCCCACGCCCCCTCGTCGCTACGATTCGCCCCTTGTTGAGAACCCAGCACCGCTGCCCCCTCCGAGCGCCAATGCCTTCCGTCGTGGCCATAAGAAGATCCCTTCGACTGTGACTCCAAGTGCCAGCAAGACTTCTCTGACTATTTCGACTGGTGACGAGCCGCTCAAGACTGCGGCCAGCAGTCTCAAGACGGGCTCGTTTCCGCCTATGACCCCTCTGACTTCCGGCTATGGCCCTGGCCAGGCTCGTGCTGGAGAGCACCCTGTCCGCCAACCCCGGAACCCTCCCTCGCTTGACGAGCTCAAGTCCAAGCCTACTGCCAAGCACGACGGAAGCAAGAACTTTGTGACTCGCACCCGGCGTACCGTCATCAGCAACATTGTTCGTGCTGGCATGGAGCGCCGCAAGGAGGCTCGCGGTTCCGGGAGCGTTAGCCCTGTTTCTGAGAGTGCCGAGGAGACGGTTGAGACACCCGTCACCGACAATGACAGTGATTCGGGCCGCAGTGGATCGGGCAGCCTGGTTGAGCGTGATGATGCCGAGTGCAGCCTGCCCAGCTCGCGTACCAGCACTGGCAGCTGGGGCGCCATTGGTTCCGATCGTCCCAGCTCCCGTCAGAAGTATGAGCGTCGTGGCCCCGACAGCGCCTCGTCATCGGATAACGAGGGTCTCCGCGACTCGGGCAGCTTTGCCAGCCTTCTCAAGAACAGCTCTCGCCGTGTCAAGCCCGATACTGTCGAGGGTCAACGCAAGGCTGCCATGCTTGTTCTCACCAGCTCCGAGAAGCGCAAGCTTGTTGTCTGAGTATGTTTTGTTTTTCACAGGCCGACACTACGAAGGAGGAATAATGGACATCGGATAACAACATCTTTACGCTAATTACGATCATGCCCTACGGTTTCCTTCTTACGGCCGGTGATGAGGGCCGTTCGTGACAGGATCGGCGTGCCATCCTCACGTCGGTGAATCAATTCCGGACGGCTTCATGACGTTTTTTTTTTCGCCTTTGCGTACGGGGATGACCGGGAAACTGGGGTTTTGCTTCGATGCTTGGGGTGGCGTGAACGTTTTCGTTTCATATTCACTTCTTGCAACATGATTTTGGCTGGGACTGGGTTGGTGCATTTTCGGGACAAGTACTTACTTTTGACGCTTTCGATTCGTTCTCGACATTGCCTTGAGCCGTGTCACATAGTTTTGCGTTGGTGGATTGTTGCAACGGTTCATTTCATTGCGCTCATTTTCCCCGACGTTTACGACTGCGCCCGTTTCTTTGTCGATTTTGGACGGTGATCTACATGGCCTGGGAACAGGCAGGCCGGAGCTTTGGAGTGAACCGTGGGCCAGTTGAGTTGGAGAGATTGAGGAGAATAGCCATGGCTATTTGGTCATGATGCTTGGAGGGCAACGGGAAGGGTGAATCAAGCAGGGGAAAAAGAAGGGGTATGGTTCACTTTTGTCGCTGATTTTTCCACGCCAGCACGTCTGTGCTGATTCTGCTTCGGGGAAACAGCCGATGGTCAAGGTTAATCAGGCAGAACGAGGCAGAGAATTTGTAGATAGGATATCAATCAACTTAAGTCTTTACACATACTTCACTCTTCACTCTCGGTACCGGGGCAGCCGATTGCCGTATCTAAAGTCCGGGAAGGCGGGGTATTTCCCAGATGCCCCGCTGATGCCGGCCGCGAAAGCCGACGCTTTTGCAAAGCACCTCTCACCTATGATGTCGTGCTCCGAGAAAGCGATTGCAACTTGTTTGTCGGACATAGCATATCGCCGAATGTGTGTTTCCCATGCTTAAAGCTGTTGCTCACTTTTTCTTTTTTCCCTTGCTTTGCTGGCTCACAAACCTCTCATAAAATTCCAACAGCAGAGAACAACAACAAAAATGTCACCTCTCATCACTTCCACGGGCAAGCCCCGCGTCATTCTCGGCTTGATGACCTTTGGCCCAGATGAGGAAACCGGCGCCAGAATAACCGACGTGGGGGAGTACAACCGCGTTCTGGACCTGCTGCAGAGCAGAGGTTACAACGAGGTCGACACAGCGAGGCTGTACATCGGGGGCAAGCAGGAAGCCTTCACTGCGGAGACGAACTGGCAACAGAGGGGGCTGACTCTGGCGACCAAGGTGGTGTACCCCAAGGATGGAGGAGAGAACACCAAGGAGAAAGTCCAGGAAAGCGTGGCCATCAGCTTGAAGGAGCTGAAGGCTGAGGCGGTGGATATCTTGTACTTGCATGCTGCTGTAAGTTGAGCTTGTAGATCGGGTGCCTGTCGGTGCATCATGCTGATCCAACGGACAGGACCGCTCCACTCCCTTTGCGGAAACACTCAAGGCCATCAACGAGCTTCACAAAGCCGGCAGGTTTGTCACTTTTGGCATCTCCAACTTTACCGCCTTCGAGGTTGCCGAGATTGTCCTTACGTGCAAGTACAACGGCTGGGTCAGGCCAACCTTGTACCAGGGCATGTACAACGCCATCACTCGCTCTCTGGAGCCCGAGCTGATCCCCGCGCTGAGACGCTACGGCCTCGATCTCGTGGTCTACAACCCCCTCGCCGGCGGTCTCTTTTCGGGCAAGATCAAGACCAAGGACTTTGTGCCTGCCGAGGGGAGGTTCAGCGACAGCACCACCACGATGGGCAAGATGTACCGCAACAGGTACTTCAAGGACTCCACCTTCCAGGCGCTCAAGATTGTGGAGGAGGCGGCGGAAAAGGCGGGCATCACGCTCATCGAGGCGGCGTTGAGGTGGGTGGTGCATCACTCGGCGTTGAACATCAAGGCCGGGAACGACGGGGTGATCATTGGGGTTAGCAGCTACGAGCAGCTGAATGGCAACTTGACGGATCTGGAGAAGGGACCGTTGCCGGAGGAGGTGGTGAAGGCGTTTGATGAGGCGTGGAAGGTGAACAAGGCTGATACGGTGAACTACTGGCACGGGGAGGTCAAGTATGGGTATGATACGAGGGAGGCGCTTTTTGGAGCTGGTGCTAAATAACTGGGTCACTACAAGCAACCCTTTCCGTATGCAGGGAAACTTTAAATCGACATCAGTTGTTTTGGCTGTTGTTCAGAGGTCCATAAGGGCACCATGGCTGGAGCTTATGACAACGACAGCTAGGGCAAAGTCCAGCATTCTTGTCGTAAAGGTAGCACTTGAGCACCTTGTCCACCCTCGGACTGCTGTCTTCCCAACGCAAATTAATCCGAAGACAGCACAAGTTCTAGCGGAATCCGAGCTCTCGCTCTGGCTACCAGATCAGGGATCCAGCTGTAGTGCACCCTGACAGAGCTCCGTTGGGTGGCAGTGCCCTCTTATTGGCCACCAAAGGTGTCACCACGTCCGAAATGTTGACAGCACGCACTCCTCAGCCCTACACATTGGCACCGTCATAGTTCATTGTTGGTCCCAATAAACAAGAAGTGGCGTTGAAGAAAGCCCAGCGCCAAGAGTGTGCCGCCTTTTGCACTGCCTCTTATTTCCATTGAACTGTACCCACAGAACGTGATGTCCAGTTGAGATCAACATGGAGCACAACTTATAAACCCATTCAATCGTCCAGAACTTGGCAGTTATTTCTGAGCTTCAATTACATTCCCATTGTGTCTATTCTTTGCCCTATTGGACTTGCTTACCATCAACCACCAAAATGGCCTACCAACTACCCCCCTTACCGCAGCCCATCGCGGTGTTCGACCAGTTTGTCGCTCGGCAAACCGAAACACTGGTCATCAAGGAGAAGTTACTCGACAGCTTTGACATCAAGACACACACAGGGCAACCTGTGCTTCGAGTTCAGGGTCAGCTGCTGTCTATGAGAGGACGAAAGACGGTCACGGATTTGGGGGGTGCTCATCTATTCGACATCGTCAAGGAGATGCTCCACATACACGCCACATTTGCTGCAAATAGTCAATCTGGGGAGAGGCTGTTGGAGGTGAAGAGTGGTTTTGCTTGTAAGTTTTGACCAAGAGTTGCTTGCTGTTCTGCTTCATCAGGTAAGGATCAAATGTTGACGGCTATGGGGTGATAATTAGTGGTCGGTTCCAAAGCTAGAGCAACATTTACAAACAGGCGAACTGGCCAGCCTGTCACTCTTTTTATGAAGGGCAACTGGATTGACACGTCGGCGGATATTGTTGATGAGGCCACTGGCGCCGTGGTTGCGAGGATTGACCGCAAGTTGTTGAACATGAGGGAGGCGTTTCTTGGTCAGCAGACGTACCACCTCACGGTTGCGCCAGGGGCTGATATGGCTGTTCTGGTCGCTATTTGCATTGCCCTTGATGAAAAGAACAATGAGGGACAGGGTGGGTTCTGCACAGTGATGTGATGGGGAAGACGAAGGAAGGTGGTGGTGGATTGGTTATATGCATTGCTACAGAATTTATACCCCCTTTTGTTTTCTTTCTTGTACCTGATTAGAACAAAACGCATCTGCCAACATCAGGAACCCATCTCATCTTTGCTGACCTAGTTACCTTGGGAAGTGTCAGCAGCTTTGAACATGGGCACGAGCACTCACAACCCAAACAATGACATCACCCGGGGGGCTTACAGTCTGGAGCAGCACCACAGATTGCCACTGATCTCCAAGAATCGCTCAGACACTTTGTCATCGTGACGGAATCTTAGCCTACAGCTTGCCATCACCAAGTCAACCGCCATGGTCTTTTCTAGAGCCAGCCACTCGATGCTGCCAGAGCTCGTGGGATGACCTGCTTTGACGCCTTCAAACCGCCACGATGTCAATACACGCAAGTCCACTCGAAGACAGCCAGGACAGCGTTGCCCAGATACGACCGCCACCACCCAAGGCCGACAACTGGCGAGACGCAGTCTATTTCTCCACTATAATTCGGCACAGTTCCAAAATCTACGAGTTCTTTGGGATCTCGAGATCCTCAATATCATCGTCCCTAACTCCACCGACCACTGTTTTCATGTCGGCTGCCCTCACACATCAGGACACCCCACAAAATGGAACTGGCACCCCAACGAGCACAACCATGAGCGGCCTCCTCCCCATCCAGACCGGAAGCACCCCCACAACGCAAAGTTGGCAGAGCCCCAAAAGTGATACGGGAAGCTATCCTAGCTCGAATGGGGCTGTTGAGATCGCTAGAGGGCAACCGCCAGAAACCCAACGCCAGGAAACTGAGAGTCCAGTGCTTCCAAAGGTTAGGCGCCATGGCGTGTACGGGATGGACAGGTTCAAAAGTGGCTTCAAATACGAACCAGATGAGCCCGGGCGAGCACAGGCTGGCGGCATTTTCCCGACTCGCACGATATCACGCACCCCGACAGCGACAAGCAGTAGACATGCTAGCATCACTCGACAGCGGTACACGTCTGATGCGACGCAGACGCTGATGGATGTGGAAAAGACGGAAAGGGTGAGGGCAGAGTCTTTGAGGAGGCCGAGCCTTCATCGTCGGTGGGGGAGCCTTTTGCAAAGCGCTTCCCCTCTGTGGTACGGATTCCCAGATTGTGTGTGTTTGTTCTGGGAGAATGACGGCTAACTCTGTTTGATCTTTGACTTAGGTTCGCCACGCCAGCCTCCCTCGCGCTGCTGGCGATGATTATGCGCCTTCTTCCCAGGATATCGATCGACTTTCAAGGCCTCAGGACGATATCCGACGTTTTCTTCATGGGGGATTTGATCTTGTTTTCGATAGCCACTCCCTTGTTCCTCCTTCGAGTGGGGTTCTATCCCCGGCGCAATCTGTCGCTCCCGATCATTGAGCGCGATTCCCTTCAGTTTGCCTACCTTCCGCTCTGGGCGACTTCGTTCCTGGGTCTGGTCATGTTTGCGGGGTTTGTTGTCGCCGAGGGGAGAGTCCACCCGGCACCGGGGTGGGGCATAGCGGTGTATGTTTGCTGGTGGATAGGAATGGTGTGGGCTGTGGCGACTGGCTTTGCCATCCTCACGGTTCTCATGTCGAGCAGCAGCGTCAAATCCAAGACGGCGCACGGCAGGTTTGCGCCTCTGCTGGCCGTGTTGGGGGGTGTCACTGGCGTTGCGACTGGTGCGCTGATTGGGGCGGCGCTTTGTCTCCCTGGAGTCGGGGTGAGGCCGGAACAACACAGGATATTTGACGACAGGCTGGCTGAGCCGGTGATTTTCTTTTCGATTTGCGCCGTGGGGGCCGTGTTGGTTTTGACGATGATTGTCTACTCGGTTTTGATGCATGAGCTGCTGCTGGTGACCGGTTGGCCACCACCGGAGCTGACGACGGCCATATTCTTCTTCATAGGCCCTCTCGGCCAAGCAGGAGCTGCGTTGCTCTTCCTTGGGGACGCTGCTGGCAAGGTTGTTTTTCCGCCGCCAGCAAACTACGGCTCTGATTTAGGAGGCGTTGTTCCCACGGCAACGGATTCAGGGGTTAGTGGAGACGATGGCGTGGCGCCAGCAGGGGGCATAGCGATACAGCACAAACTGAGCCCGTCCCTGGCGACTTTGCCCTTGAACATGATAGGGTTGACATTCGCCTTGCTTCTGGCAGGAATGGCCATCACTTGGCTGGTACTTGCGTTTATCAACCTGCTTCACCGCATGTCCAGGCGCGAACTGTACTGGAATTCGAGCTGGAACGGCCTCGTTTTTAACATTGCCACCATCTCCATCACTTCGCTCTGGCTAAGCTTGTCGTTGGAGTCGCCATTCTTTCGCATTGCGACTTGTATCTTTCTGATACTCTCGCTGTTAACTCTACTGGGTAATCTGGTGTTTCTCGTGTGGTTGGCTATCAAGTGCGGGTATTGTGTTAGGTGATAGGGGAGCATGATTCACTTGGATATCTTGTCGATATTAGTCGTCTCCGAATTAGTATACCTAGGTAGGTACTTACTATGACATTGAATCTGAGGTTACACTCAATCATGATTGGTTGCATCAAAAGCGGAAAAAATCAACTGGGGGTTATAGGCAACGGAACTCTTCCATTGTTTCTCACCTTGCGGGGCAACACCGAACAATTTCATCGTCACCGCAACCAAACTTATCATCATGAAACTCGCCGTCGCCGGATCAACAGGTTTCGTGGGGGCTGAGGTTATCCGTCAAGCCCTTTCCGATCCACAAATCACATCTCTTGTCGCGCTCGGCCGGCGCCCAGCTACCACTCCCCAGAACCTCGGACCAACTGCCGACGTCAGCAAGCTCAAATCGGTCATCATCGATGACTTTGGTGCGGACTACCCGGACAGTGTCAAAGCAGAGCTCTCCAACGCCGATGCGTGTATTTGGTATGTTCTTTGGGTAGGTCATGTATTCGTTGTGTTTCAAGCTAATAGACCCAGGACGATCGCCATCACGCCGGCGAAATCCAGGTCGTACCCCTGGGAGCAAACAGTCAAGGTCTGTCGCGACTACGCCATCAAGGGTATCGAGACAATCAGTCAACTGTCGCGCAACAATGCAAACGGCAAGCCCTTTCGGTTCGTGTACATTAGTGGGTACAACTGTGAGCGAGACCAGACAAAGAAGCCCATGTGGCTTCTGCGAGATTACCTGCTGATGCGTGTACGTTTGTCATCCTCTGGTTCAATTAGGTATTTACTAACATCACGTTAGGGGGAGGCCGAGTCGCGCATTCTGGAGTTTGCACAGAAGTCCCATGGTGCCGTGGAAGTCCTTATTGCAAAGCCGGGCCTGATCATGGGGTATGGCAGCATTGTACCTGTCGTTCAGCGAGTTTTGATGACGGCGGTTGGGATACCCAAGATTGCTGTTGAAGAGATAGCAGCTGGGTTGTTGGATCAAGTTGAGAATGGGTTTGAACGAGACACGTTGATGAGCGAAGATTTGTCGAGGATTGCCGCGAAGAAGAGGGGAAAGAAGTGATTTCTGGTGTACAGCTTCTCAGGGTATCAGATGCAAAACACATTTCATTTCATCCTTCCAGGATATTGCGGTGCAATTTTCTTCTGTCCATCTTAGAACCATTCACTCTGTTGGAAGCAAGCCCATATCCAAATGGGAAACCCTGAATGCCCTCAAAGCTTCTCTACCTCGGCCGATACGAAAAGAAAGCATCAAACTCATCTCCCAACCTTTATTCCCAACTCGTCGCGATCCAAGGGCGTGCTGTTCTACCTAAGAATGTAGGAACTAGATCCTGACGTACAAGCACAAGAGCCTATCAACTCCAGTTAGAGACCAGGGTCTATCTAAAGAATAAGATGGTTATGGAATGTGCTTACCTTAAGACGATACCAATGGGTTGCGCCCACGCCCTATGTGTTGAAAGCATTTTAGCTCGGGCCTTCTGGTTCCAGGCAACATCAATGGGCACTTACTTCATTTCCCATGTACCCGTCAACCTCTTCTTCCACCATCACAGAGTCGAAGCCGGATTCAACGAGGATACTGTCCCGATCAAGCATGAGATCTTTGCCCACCACCTTTCCTTCCAAGTCAAGGAATCTTTTAACAGAATAGGTCGCGCCGTGGGGCGAGCGATCGTCGATTTTGTACAGAAGGCTCTTCGGCTTCCTTGATCGCATATGGATATCAATCCGATCAATATACCCACCATTATCATCATCATCCTCATTATATTCCGATTCATAAAATCATCCATGCAACTCCGATAATCTTGCTTTTCCAAGGAGAGCGACGAAGAGTTGGAATGGAAGCTGCTGAGAGAGATCTTTGAGAACACGGGCCTGTGCCGAGTCTCTATTCTTCAGGGCAGTGAGCGAGACATTGGCTTCGGTGTATTCATATTCCAGGATGTGATACACAGACTCCATGTCTTGAGAGTCCAGCCATTTCTGAAGAGCGACGCGAAGGGCTTGAGTTTCGGAAGCTAGGGAGTGGCGGCATGGGGCGCTCTGGCGTAGGATCGATGGCGAGGTTGTAAGTCAAAACTAACGATAGCCGGAGGTGACAGGTAGAACCTCGTGTGTCACGTCCGAATACCAGCAGATGAACAATTGTGCGGCTTCGGACGTTTTGTAAACCTTGCGGCTGGCCACAGTGTGTGGCTACCACGTCACCACCCTCATGCGCTGAAGGCAGGCAGATGACAATTGTGCCAAACATGCCGGGTATCTTTTCGGTGCTGTGAAGAAAATCACTTATCAGCGACAACCCCCCCAAAAGATTATGAGCAGGTGATATCATGAGACTTCAGGTTACTCGGTGTGTGGTTTGAAAAGGGCACCCTTCTCGTAGATGAGCATTTTGTAAAGTTCAGCTCTAATGGGTGCGTCGATGCCCAGTTCCTTGCCGATCTCGGTACAGGTGTCGTTGAGGTAACCTGGCCATTCTGTGTTCCGGAGCTCAAACTGCGTAGGGCCCAGCTCCCGCGTGTTGCGAACCGTCGTATCAACCAGAGTCTCGTTTCCCTTGCCATACGGGGCTTGCCGTGCGCGCTTGATCAACTTGCCTGCCTGGGAAGACAGAAGCATTTTCACATGTCCAACATTACGAACGCAGATGCCAGCAGGGGGGTGGGTCGGAAGTTGGTCGCAAGTAGCAAAGCATCCCGCTGGCTGGATGGTTTTGAGAGCAGCAGTTAGTTGTGCTTTCCGCGCTTCGTACTTGGGAGCGACAGGAGACGGGGAGTGCCAGTGGGGTCCTGGGAGTCGAAGTGGTTGAAACTCGCCATTGTCGGATGTTGGAGTGATCAGGGGGTGTCGTTGAACGCGCTTGGCGATGGATTACTTGAGATTAAGTAGGTGGTGCTGTGGATTGATCTTTATGGGTAAAAGCGCGATGGTGGAAGTGCTCCTGAGCGCCATTGTTTGTTTTCATTGATGTTTCCAATTAACAAAGTCGTACAGTCAGGCAAACACAGTTGTTGCAATGTGGAACAAACTAGGGTTAGGAAATACCTTTGTATTGCATTGGGTTCAAAAAAGAGAGCAACAACATGCTTTCCAGGCTGGTTTCAGATTATCACTATTGCTTCTTCTCATGATCAAGACTGTCTAATCTCCCCCGCCAACGTTCACCTCACCGTTGATCCTTATCGAGCAGCAACATCTTGAATACGACCATCATCATCGACCCTAAACAACGCTAGTGCCATAGCATCCGAAAACATTGACCCAGGAGGCCGCTTGACGCTCAACATTCTCGTCAAGTTGATGGCGGGGTCTGGTGACACTGGGCTGACAGCGATTGGGCCCGGTGACCTCGAACGCCTAGCAGGAGACTGATATCTGTCTCCATTGCCACCCATACAAGGCACATCCAGATTCTGGGACAGATTTGGATGCCTCCAGCGGTCATTAGAACTCACTGATGAGACAGGCGATGGCAGCACCCTCTCTTTCACGGCACTTCGCCTGCTCAAAGTGCCTGCAGATCGCTGCACGTTACCACTGGAATTGGTGATCCCAAGGCCGCCGTTCATGCTCAGACCTTCCATCTGGGCAGCCATATTCCCCATCTCACCCGGGGGCGACAGTGACCGCTGTGGGCTGAGGTCCCTTCCCCTCATTGGCGATTTCGATCTTTGTGCGTTCATCCTCATATTCTCGTACAAGTTTGCCGGTCCGGGGGAGGCTCCTCGAGAGGCGTCCTTCTTTCGACTGTCTCTGTCCAGCAACTTCCAAACGCTTTCGAGCCAGGCGACTTTCTCCATGGGTTTAGTCGAGCGAATGGGGAGAACCTCGGCGCCTGTCATTTCGCGAGTCGGCCAGGGGAAACTGACAGCCATCTCACGAAGGGTCTGGCTGTGAAGCTGCCGAAGAACGATGCGGATCTGTGGTTCGATGTTTGCCTCGGGAGGGAAGTGCCAGTCGCGACGTTGCTCAAGACGGCTAGCAATCTGTACCATGGCTCCTACCAACCTGCAGTATAATGTTAGCAATCTCGGTCAAACGACCAGGGGAGCCAGGATTCTTACCACTCAATAGCAACCTCGTCAGGAACAGACCTGGCCTTGTCCAACAGCCAACCCAACATCTCGGGCGAACCTGACAGATTCAGGATAGGGATACTCCGCTTGTCGTGTTCCCGATTCTGGAGTTTCATGATGAAGTCGTTGTACTCCTTCATGGCCTTCAGCTCCAAGCCAGCAAATTTGCCACCTCTCAGCGCATGGCAAATTTCATCACCAAGAGCGATACCAGCCTTGATGCCGCTGTTCAACCCACGACCTGGCCAAAAGTGCACAGTCATGGCTGCGTCGCCTGCTACAGCAACAAGAGCGTGAGGCCTTGTGACTGATGACGAGTCTGACAGCGGCAACATATGGACGCCTTCTCTCACCGCTTGGACCACGATGGGAATCCGCACCACGTTGATCACCTCGCTCTCCTTGAACCCGAACAGCTTGAGTCCATCTTCAACCGCTTTCCACAACGGCGAGTTTCGGTCCTCTGAAGGGGCAAACACCCTGCCCTCATCGAAGCCCTCGGGGATGCTTCCATCAAGTCTTCTCAGACAAGCCGGACGGCCAAAGTGAATCGGTTGTCCGTCGACGCTGACCATCTTGTGCCACTCCTCCTCGGTCAGTTGCATGTTGAGGTAGCCTCTCCCGTCATAATCGCTAGCGTTGAGCAAATACCTCGTCTGTCCCAACGTCAAAAACATATTCAGGGGTTGGCTCCACGGAAGCCCATTTCTCGCGCCCCTGTCAAAGGCCAAGCCCAGAGCATAACTCTTTCCCCTTTCTGTCTCGTACCCATCAAAATAACTCTTTCTAACCCACGACGCCGCGCCATCGGTACCCAACAGCACGTGGAAATCACCGCACTTCCCAGCTGCCAGCTCCTCCCTAGTCACACCCTCAGCATGCAAGTGAATCAACCCGGAAAACTCCTCCGTCTGGCAATGCTTGAGAAACCGATCCTCCACCTTTCTGATTTGGATATTGGCGCTCCCTGGCCAGACTCTTTCCGGCCTGCCCGCGAACAGAGCCTCATACGACCTTGGCGACAGAAGATTGGTGACGGTGTCCTGGAGTGTCACGACCTGGTCTCTTCTCTTGGCCGTGGCAGGGTAGTCAACCTTTCCTTCGGGGGTGATGATCCATCTCCTTTCCCAGACGTGGACTTCGACTTTGCCCCTGCCGCGCTCGGCGAGGGATATCGCGGATGCTAGGCCGGTGGGTCCGCCGCCGATGATGCACACCTTGAGTCGACCGGAAGGGTACAGCATCCTGATCAGCTCTCCGGGCGGCAGCGGGGAGAGGTTTCTTTGGAGGGCGGGGTCGAAAAAGAAATCTAGCACGGCTCGGGCACGGTCTGCGTACGGGTTCTCGGGCACGCGAGCTTTGAGGAGCATGTACCGGACGGCTTGGAGCAGCGGGGTGACGGTAAAGGACGCATGGCGGTTGCGGTAGAGTAGAGTCTGGACGGCATAGGCGAGAGCGGGAACGGTCCTGTTGTAAGAAGGGTCGGCAAGGATAGCTCTCAGCTTGTCGATGGCGGTAGTGTCGCCACTCATTGAGACGATTCGGAGGAGGAAGATGCGGGCTCGGTCGATATCCGACCGGGAGACATCTTCAGCTCCCCAGGCATCTTGGTACACTTTGGGAAACAGAATGGCGTCTTCCTCTTGAGGGTTTGCACCGTTGCTGGAGGGGCTACCGCTCGTTCCGGCTAGTGGGGTGGAAGAAGGTGTGATTTGAACAGAGGGAGGTGGTGATGAGAAGGGTGAAGAGGAAAAGCTCGCGCTGAGGCGGTCTCGCAACCTGGTACCGCTTGGGGGGGCCAGAGTCTTCCCTCCTCCCAACATCCTGGCTGTTGACTGGTGTTTGCGTTTGGATCGAGCTGCAAAAAAGGGCTGACCGTATTCGACCGAGGATAAAGAGGATCGAGGTGGTTGCTTTGGAACAGGATCTGTTGATGATGTTAATAATCGACTTGAGAACATGGTTGGCATCTTTGACGGTATTCCTTCTGCTGTTGTTCTTCAAGAGCACAATGTTGCTGAAAGAAACAGCTAGATGAGAAGAACAACTTACAGGGAGTGAGACTTGTTGGCTTAGGAGTCTTAACTACGTATTTCGCGATGTCTGTTGGGCTTGAAGCATCAACAGCTGGTTCATCGGGCTGGGATTAGATAGCGTCGTGGTGCCTGAAAATGCCAGAACAAATCAACACGCAGCGTGGCATGACCCAGAAGAGATGCTGTGGGTAAGGTGTCAACGACAAACAAAGCGCAGCAACAAAGCGGTAATCGTCTGATTTTCCACCACGGTTTGCGGCGTTCCAGAAAGACGGGGGAGCAGGCCTTATTATGGCCCCCTTGGTTGGATCTAGGTAGGTATGGCAACCATCGGGGACAAAGAAACATGCTGGGCTTCGCCTCAAACCCACCCATGTCCCAGCATCTGCAATGGATGGTTGGTCCCGGGCGGCAGTGAACCTCGCCAACCACCTTGGCGGGTATTGAGCCTTCCGGCTACATAGTGGCATCAATGCCGTGGATCAACGAGCATCTGACCGCCAAGCACCTGTCTCGATGCGAAGGTGGACATCGTTGTTGGGTTCGCAAGTCCGACGTAATTTGTGTGCGGCGTCAAGCATCGAGAAGTGGTTATCCAAAGATAAGATCAGGTGGGTAGCATCCAAAAGCTGGATGCACAGTCGAATGGTGGCGTCGACCAGTCACATAAGTGCGGCTTGCATTTGGCTGCGTGTTTGCCATGTCGGTGCAGTTCACCGCAAGACCTGACTGGATTTGATATTTGACAGGCGTTGATGGCTTTTGCCCGGGCTTTCTCGGGGAGGCAGGAAGGTTGCAACCAAGAGGGCAGCTGCTATGCTTGATGTCGAGATGGACTTGGCTTGAGAAGCGTTTTACCGCTTGAATGGTCATTTTTAGGTGCTGACCGTGCTCGGCTGACAACTGATGTAAAAAGGATAGGTATATCGGATAACCATCCTGTTGGCGCAATCCCTATTTTGGTGGTCTTGAATGGTCAACACAGGCGTTGACTCACCGGATGCATCAAGTACCGCGCCTATTTGCACCCCAGCGCTTAAATGTTCTAAATTTACTTGCGACCCCGCCTTCCCACAAAATATCTTCAAGCTACCTTGCAGGTCTCATCGAGCTACCAGCGACAGGCTTGTCGCTCTCCTCGAGTTCAAGACTCCCTGGCTCTTTCTCAACATTTTAACCATTGTCAAAGAGGACGGCATCCGCTACTACAATGACATGGGACACGACAAGAAACTCTCACTAGACAGATTGCTTGATTCAACATGCTAATAAATGATTTCTTCATTTTTTAGGTCTGTAACTACACCCCATTTTCCATTTCCCCATCCCTACCAACGTCCAATCTAGCACCTGGCGGTCTGAATGGCATACACAGTGGTGCACCCGATGTTGTTGCACGCGTTGGGATCAGAGCAAGGGAACGAAATGGCCGCCGTGGGAAGAGGACCGTCACATCCGCAAGGACGGGTCAGAACGGACGTGGTGGTGCACTGAGGGACGAAGCAGCTTCTGCACGCCGTGGCCGTCTGGGTGATCGTCGGGCAGGCCGCACCACACGGCTTGGTGAGAGTCGAAGTCGAGGTTTGCGTCACGGTAGCGGTGATGGTTTGCTTGACGGTCGATACAGCAGTGGTGGCGCTTGTGATGGTGCGGGTGGCAGTTGCCGTCGTGGTGCTGACGGTGGTGATGGTGCGGACGACAGTAACACTGACGGTGGAAGCTGGAGGAGCGGGAAGGGTGAGTGTTGACGTCGCTGTCGCTGTTGTGGTCTTGACATCGGTCTCGGTCTTGGTGACAGTAGCCGTCACAGTCTGTGTTTCTGTTGGAAGACCAGGCCGACCAGTCCTGACGGTGGATGGTGTCAGGGTAATTTGGCCGAGAATGCCGCTATGTTGTGGTTAGCAACGGGACAGTACAGTACTCGAAGGCTTGAGGGGTGGAAGCCTACCTGGCGGCGAGACCGAGGACAAGAACAACGTTGGAAAGCATTGTGAGTGACGGGAAAAAAGAAGAGATTGGTGGGTATCTCGAGACTTGCTTATCCTCACCTCACGATGCCACGCTTCCCAAGACTCTTATAGTTCGTGCAAACAACAAGACTACAGGCCGTCAAGCTGGGGTATGGAAGCGGACATCTTGGCAATGGTAAACAAGCTGACTTGACATATTGAATTATATTTCACGGAGCATCCGCATTCAGTCAACAAGGCACTCTTGTTTCTATAATGAGGTACGCAGGGAGCACTAAACGAGCCGGTATAACCTGGTCGTTGGGTTCTTGTTTATTTTCTGGTCTGCTTTTTGTGTGGAGTTTGGTCCAGATCGCACCTAGGAGGGAGGTTGAACCAATCGCATTTGCTGCTCTGGGGTAAGCTGTTGTATGCCGTCTATATTGCCGTTGCAACGACGACGCTGATTTTGGGCGAACCCTTTGCCAATACAATTAAGCGGTCAATATACCCGCTCCCGTTTCCAGGAACCACAACAGCGATTTAATCTTTAAGGTTGCTATAAATACTAATGCGACGAGGAGTTGCACCTTCCTGCAATCTACTGCCCGGAAGGGTCCGCGATACCGAGAAAATTCACACTTTGAGACCATCAGTTGGCTGGATAGATGCAACAACATGCTTTTCCCCCCGAAATCGGCATCTCTTTCCGGCAACTAATTCCATTAACGTGGGTTTATTAGTCACTCAAGATAGCTACCTTGTCTTAGACAAATTCCCCAGTCGCAAGGAGAACTTTGCCTTTATTCTCTGGTAAACTCAAGTCATGAGAGGAAGGGCGCTGCCATGCCATGTACGGTTGGCCAGCCATAATCAACCTCTGCCGCATCTCAGACTCTCTCGGTTCCATGACACCAGAACAGTCAACCAATGGGGGGTCGGGAATTTCCGGCCATTCAACAGGGTTTCGGGCCACCTCTTCTGTCTCCGGATCCTCCTCGGCAGCTTTACGGCGTTCGACCCATGCCTTGAGGACCCGGAGAAACTCGGAGACATCGGCGTCGAGATTCACTTCTGGGTCCTTTTCCCAGAGATCGGCAGCTAGAAGTTGGACTCCATCTATCTCATACGGGCTCTCACCGTCGAATACGTCGCCGAGACTCCGTGTGATAACGTCGAACATGGCAACGACGACGAGGTCAACATCGCTGATTTCTGGCTTCTCGCCAAGAGGAAACGCTGAGTTGAAGTCGAAGAGCAAAATGTTATCAGTTCTCTCGTCAATGAGGAGGTTCCATGACAAGACATCGCCGTGGACCACTCCCAATTCAAGATTCAAGAAGTCGACTGTCTATTAGGAAAATGTAAATGTCAGTATCGACGGGTCCATATCCCTGTGTAGGGCCAGACTAACCTCTATCAGCTGGTGCAAGTATTTCAATTTGAATAGCCGTGTCTTGGAATCGTCGAGAGTGCCACCTGGTATGAAGTCGGTGGTAAAACCAACGATCTTCTCAACACCCTTGACTGTCTCGGTGACGAGGCGATCAAACGACACAATGTTCGGGTGAGTACCGCGAGCGTGCATGCCAATGATGCAGTTGACTTCCTCCCAAAAGGCCCCAATGTTGTTTTCGTAGACAAGATACTTGAAAGTCGCCTCTTTCGTATGACCTTCGGGGATATCGTAGGCTACGCGGTCGACCTGAAGTCCGAGTCGGTCCAGCTCAACAAGGTCGGAACGGCGGACTGAGGGTAGGGCCGGGGGGAACTGGTCCCTTGTCCAATAGCACGGAATCATGGTATAATCCTCTTCGACTTCGGAGCCTTGATCGATGAGTTCATTGCCGTCAGGGCTGACCTGGATCCAGACCGAATCCGATCGTATGGCTCCACTGTCGACAAATTTCGCCATGATTTTGAATACGACATCCTCATCACTGGTATCCTCGTTCATGTATAATTTGATAGCGCGCCGCTGGTCAAAGTCGAAAACCAAGGCATATTGGCCTCTCGGTGTCCAGCTGGACTTGCTCAAAGTGAACCGCTGGTCTAGATCGCAATGCTCGAAGAAGGTCATGGCGCTTCCCGTAGGCAACCTGGAACTGAGGGATGGGTAAGATATGTAGCGTGCGAGTATCTAGCGATGAAATTGACGGTAGATTGTTGGATGTCTAAAAAGAGAGGCTTTGCGGCTCATATGTGATTGTTGAAGTAGGTAGGTAAGCTTGTGTGCACTGGAGGCTATTTTTAGCACGGCACATGACCTTGTAGCCTCGGACAATTCACTTGATTATGACCAAACACACCTCCTACACCTTGGACTGTCCAACAATCCTGGATATCTATCATCACGGCGGCGTTTGATGACTGAATGGGGCTAAATTGGACTTTTTTTCGAGTTGGCTGGTGGCCGCCTCACACCGCAGAAACACAGGAAAAGCTCAACAACTGCATCACAGCGCCGTATCGCCTTGTTTTGAATACTCGGGCATTTGGATACATGCTCGTAAAGCTGTGAGTGTGAGTACCTATTTTTGTATTGTCTAGGTAGTGTTAAAAGCGAAGGGGACTCAAGTTGGCTCTTGTTCACTATGAAAAGTGTTCTCCATGGGGATAAGGTACCTACATTGCCCTGTTTCAACACACCTCTTGAAACTTTCCCGTCAGAGAGGTCTTTTAATCCGCGCCAGATTATTATTCTGGTCATCAAGAATGGATGAGCGGCGAAGACCGCAAGGCCAACTTCAACACCGGCTTTCTTGTTTCAACCTGTGGTCATCGGCGATACGTGCTCACCTTCGTACGGGCAACCAACGGTTTTAGACTGTCAGCCCGTAGAGAGAATTCATCTTGTTAAGGTAGTTGCTGGCTTGAATGATGCGCTCTTAGTGTTGAAAGCAGCTATATATATGGTGCAAAACTCCCTCTGAAGTTGTTTCTGATTTTACAAGCTTCAATTCATATCAGTTCAGTTTTCTTTTGTATACCTAGCTACCGCTTTATACACCAAGTTTCTACCTACTCCAGCAAACAATATCCTCAAATCAGCCCCTTCCACCTCCAGAATCCCTTGCCATGGCTGCTAATATCACACCGGCGGAAGCCCGAGCACGGGACGACTTTCACCAGATGATGCGAAATACTTTCCAATCATGTGCCATCGCTACCGAGCCTCCTTATCAAATTGTCGGCGACAGTGTCAGAGACCCCACATGCAACTGCTTCGGATGGGCTGTTTGGAATTCAGACTGGGAAGACCCCACTGACACTTACACCCTCCGTGGGCGTATCAATGCCCAAACATGGGCCCAGCTGGAAGAAGATTGCAAGAGCCCTGCCTACCCGCCGTGTTCCTGTTTGCTAACCGAGCTTTAGTTGACAAGCGCAAGTTTTACGAGCTTCCATTGAATACCCCTCGCCAAGTCGGCGACGTTGAGGTAAATATCATAGCCCCTCTCAACAATATGCTGCGTACGAAGAAACTGATTTCGCATTGCCTTTGCAACAGGTGTACCAAGCACCGCACTACTCTGGACCGACGCATGCTCACAAGATCCTGGACCCGGCCCACAATGTATGCGCCTCCAAGCAGGAAGACTGGGCAGCAATCACACATGACGACGCGCTTCTCACTTCCCATATCCCTGGTGACGACCGCAGATTCAAGTATGGCGATATTGCAAGACTGTACCGCCGGGACGAGGCGAAACATAATCAAAGATGTAAGACTACCTACCTATCTAGGTAGTATCTTGGGTCTTGATATGAGAAAAGGCAAAAGATGAAGTCAAAGTTTAGCTGGCTAACAACATGCGCCACTAGGGACCCGAACTTCCCGATCCAATCGCAAGATTAGAAAGACGGATGCCGAGAAGACCAAGTCGGGCAAGACACAAGAAAAGAAGAGGTCGGCCGGCGCACTAAAGAAGGATAGCGGTACCAAGAGGACCAAGACAGCGCCCGCAACTGCTAAACAAGTAAAGGCGGATATTGCCACAGCGCGAAGCCACCTGCTCAAGAAGTTTGCTTTGTGGAAAAGCCACAGCCCTCCTAGTAAGGCGGCTTCTACTCCGGTAAAGGGCACGAAGGGCGCCGTCCCTGTCAAGGGTGCGACTCCCGGAAAGACTGCTACGCCCGGCAAGACTCCTACTCCCGGCAAGACTCCTACTCCTACTCCCGGCAAGACTCCTACTCCTACTCCCGGCAAGACTCCTACTCCTGCTCCCGGCAAGACTCCTACTTCTGCTCCCGGCAAGACTCCTACTTCTACTCCCGGCAAAACTCCTACTCCCGGCAAGACTGCCACTCCCAACAAGACCACTTTGCCATCCAGACCGGCTGCGAGAAAGTAAGCAAAGAAGTCCTGCCTTGCTTTGGAGTCAACGAACAAGTGAGATTGCTTTTTCTTTTGTTGGAGTCTACAGTGAGTAGCGGAAGCCTACCTACGGTCAGGAGGTTTAAGGATGAGCGAATATATAGAGGATAATTCTGGATAGACGTAAAAGGAGTTTTTGGATTTTATTGGGATGCACCCCTGGAGGGTGGAATTGGCTGGTCCAATATAATTGTTTTTGTTGAAAAGGTGTTCCACTCTTTCTTTGCGTCCTAGGCATCACTCCACTCTCATTGACGTTAGACCTTCATGTTCTCGAAAGGCAAAGCAGTGTGGCCGAATTATCAACTGTGGGATCGGTAGATTAGCCCTGAAAATACATCCCACTTCAGTCATCAGCAACCACCTGGCTGAACTCAATCCAAAGGCTTCCTGCCATAAACGACATAGCTGTAAAGACACATCAGATTAGCGCCTTTTGAAGCCCGTTGAGCTTGGGTGGGTAAGTACTCACAAAGGATAATACGCCCTCACCTCACCACTCTTCAACTCGGCCACCGCCTTCTCCGTCAGCTCCTGGAGACCAACCTCGTCCAACCCCGCAGCCCTCAAATAAGCCGGCATTCCCTTTCGGATGAATGTCTGAATCGAGACACTCCCCATCTCGCCAATCTCCCTATCCCTCTCATTCTCATGCCATCCCGTCGTCGGCAAGCCCGGCTCCGCCAGCCGCTCCTCCACATCCACAAATCCAATCTCTTGAAGCCACTTCTTGTAGTTTTTGGACTTGGTCATGCTGATACCAGACTTGAGGGAACCCTGGTTGAACAGATCAACAATCTTTTCAAACGACGTGCCCGAGGCGGAGCCGTCTGGGGAGTGGATCTCGACGCAGAGGTCTTGAATCTCGACGTAGCCTCCGGGGGCGAGGTTCTCGTAGACGGATCGGAAGACCTGCGTGGGCTGGGTGAAGCAGCTGAGGATCATGCGGAAGTGGACAAAGTCGAATTTGGTGTCCGGGGCGAAGGACCAGGGGCCGTCTTGGGCGTCAATGTTGCTTTGAAAGGTGCAGTTGGAGGGGACGGGAGTGATGGCGGGGGTGATGCTGTCGATGTCTATGCCGGAGACGCGGGCAGCTGGGTGTTGTTTTGCTGGAAGCAAGTAGGTAGTTAGATAGCATGGTCTTTGACTGGATCAAGTCAACGGGGCCTTGCCAAAATGGATTGCCCATATTCCAGTGCCTGTGCAAACGTCAAGCACATTCTGGGGCTCGTTGATTGGTGCCCAGGCGAGGTTCCCGTCCAGAAGTTTGGTGATCAAAATGTATTGAGTATCTGAAACCTGTGTTATCAGCTGATTGATCGACCAGCTGGTTCTTCGACAACTGTAGCTGTCTTACCGAGGCGTTCTTTTTCCTGCTTATCATTTGGCAACAGATACTCTCCATTTACATGTCAGCCCACCAGTTGAAAAATGATCAATGAGGACAACATACTTTTGGGGTCTTGAAATGTTCGTCCATCGCTCGTTGGGTCAGACGCGGATGCGCTCTGCTGTCCAGTCCCGGTTGTGGTCATTTTGGATGGAGGTGTCGAAGCTCGGGAATACATAATGATGTTACTTTCAGTGGAAAGTCCAGAGTCTGAATCAAGACATCAGTGCTGTTGAGGAGAACCTCGGATTTATATGGGAACAAAGCTCCCGAATATCGGACTGCAAGTCACTCTTTATGGGGATGTGATATAGAACGCATGCACAGTGACGAATCCTACCCGCCATTCTCAATAAAAGGATTATCAATGCGAACATAACTCGTAGCAAGCTCTTGTGGTTAGGTTGCAGTGTGGCGTAGTCTGGACCATTCATAGCGAGGTTGTTCATCCACTGCTTCGCATATATTGACACGAATGAAGCTGATAGACGATCAAAGATGTCTGTGTGCCACTGCATTAGTTTCATGCATGCTCTAACTTCCCCGACTGCGATTGACGTCAAAGACTTACCTGAGGAGACAGTAAAATACGGAGCCAAGCAGTAGCTCATACCAAACCTCGTCATTCAGATACCTTACCCTGAGATTGAGAAATCTAGCTAACCAGTCGTGAATAATTACAGCTTCACCCTTCCACCCTCCAGTTCCTTCCACTGTGTCTCCCCAAATGGCTCATATGTGTCCCCCTTCAACCAAAAGAGAGCATCGCCCTGAACCTTGCTCGGGTTGACACTCTGTTGCCTTAAATGATGCTTCTGTTGCTTATTCGTGCCTGTTGTCTGCTCACCAACGCCCTTGACCACTCTCAGGAACAGAGGCACCGCATAACGGGGTAGCTTTTCCCGCGCATGTTTGGCCAAGCTAGCCATCAGCTCACGGCTCAGATTTGGACTGTCAAAGGCAATGGCTGCACAGCCTGCTCGACCGTCGTGGTTCGGTAGTTGGACACCATAGACGTTGGCTTCCAGAACATTGGGATGAAGTCCCATCGCCTGTGATACCTCGGCGGTGGACACATTTTCACTCTTCCAACGGAAAGTATCGCCGATACGGTCGGAGAAGAAGATCATGCCATCCGAGTCCCAGCGGAGCACGTCTCCAGACCGAAACCTGTGGTCATATTGGTCAATACCATGTAAACAAAAAGCATCAGGGGGCTCAGGGACTCACCATGCGTCCCCCTTTTTAAAGACGTCCCTCATGATCTTGGAGTTTGTCGCCTTCTGGTTGCCAAAATACCCCTGGAATCTCTTGTTGACGTCGTCAGCAGGCAAGCTGACCAAGAACTCGCCCACATCGCCACTCTTCACGCGCTGGCAGAATCCAGTCTGGGGATCTCGCCAGGGCTCCTCTGTCTCATCGTCAATCTTGACAATGGCTGAACGAAGCCCGAGGAAGAGCGTGGAAAGGGCACCATATCGGCCGATGGCGCCTTTGCCAAACGCATTACGGCTCAGGTTCCAAAGCCCTAGCGCTCCTTCAGTTGCCGCATAGAACTCATAAATTGTCTAGCGGCCTGTCAGCTGGTTGTTGGCATCTGGGAGAACTCAAGAGAACTTACATCTATAGCAAACCTCTCCTTGAACTTATCCCAGACATCTGGCCGAAGTCCGTTACCGAAGGCGACTCGGACATGGTGCTTCTTGTCCAGGTTCTCTCCAGTAACGGGGTCGATCTCCGGTGGAGCAACCGTCAGGTATCGGCATGTCTCGCCCACATACTGGATAATGGTAGACTTGGTCTCGCGCACCTCTTTCCAGAACGTCTTTGTAGAAAACTTCCTGCCGATGGAGAGCGTTGCTCCAGTAAACAAGACGCTGCAGACACCCAGACACGAGGCAGAGCTGTGATAGAGAGGCATGCACTATGACTTGGGTTAGTACAGTGGGCCAAGTCTACAGAAAAAGAGAGAAGTGGGTGCCTTACCGTGTAGAAGACGTCGTCCTTCTTCATCCCAGTACCCTTGGAACACAGTCCGATGGCGGTAAAGATCTTGGCCCAACTGACCACAGCAGGCTTGGGCATGCCTGTCGTCCCACTGGTGTAGATCAGGATAGCCATGGCGACATAGTCGTCTTCCTTCCTCAGCTCATCATCGCCTCTCGTCCCCCGTACCCTCTGAACCTCCCGTTGAACCTCATCTCCCGTAACGATAAACTCCATGCCCGCCATCTTCTCTCTTACATCGTCCGTCAGCGCATCAGCCACATGAGGATCAACCAACGCCAGCCTTGCTGTACTCTCCTTCAAGCAATGTGTCAAAGCCTGATCCCGCAGGTTGTAGTTGATGAAAGCCGGCTTCGCCCCGACACTCCAGATGGAAAACCACAGAATCATGAACATGGCCGAGTTCTGGTAGTTCAAGACGACAACATCCCCCTTCTTGACTCCCTTCACCTCCCGAAGCCAGGTGCCCCACTGCAAAACACTGTCATATGTCTCCTTGTAAGTCCACGATCGGCCTTCAAAGAGCATGAACGGGCGGTTGGCAGACGAGGTGTCGAGTGCCTGCTTCTCGAGAACGTAGAAAAAGTTGATCTTTCCGGACCGGACGGCCTTGATGATGTTGATGACGGATGAACCGGCAATGCGGGCAAAAAGGAGATCGTGGGAGAGCGAGAGACGGGCGTTGAGGTAGGCCGAGCCTGCCGCCACACCTGCTGCGGTGAGAGCGAGAGAGGCCATTTTGTTTGCTATTCCCGATGATAGGTAATGAGAGGAATCCAAAATTTGGCGTGGTATAAAACGGCAGAAAGTTCAACAGCTACATCTTGACAGTGATCTACAGCAATGTATACAATTAAAATGTTCTGGACTTTCCATGCTGCTTTACCAGTTTAGGCAACGCGGACCCCTTTGGAACCCTTGTTTGTCGATGCCAAAGGTGAGGGGAAGCTGACAAGCTGAGAAGATACCGAGGCATCTTGTGGTCGTATGTAGTAGAGTGTGTAAGCGACAGGTATTCGACCACTTGCCCCAGGAGGGAAAGGTACGCGAGGATGTGGGGAAAGTTGGAGAGCTTCAACACGCGCCCGCGTTCATGCTCTGGAGAAAAGTTATTCGAGGCGCGATATGGCTTTGTTCTTCGTTGAAGGGTCCCACTTCCCCGCAAAACACCGTCTTGCTTGGCGGGTTCGCTACTCCGTTTCCCCCAGACTCTGGGCATGTGTAGGTGGGGAACTCGGCGGTTTTGCAGCGCTAACCAGTTTCTCTGATAACGGTGATGATAGCAGACAGCATCTTCAAAACGGTGAGTCCAGTTCACATGGAACTAACCACCATCACCTGCCTCGGTTTTGCTTTTATGTACGACAGGAATCAGCACACAGACGACCAATCATCGGTCGTAATAGACACACGGCGCTTCTTTCGTAACAAAAAACAAGTCGACGTTCTTATAAACCTCGAACTGACAAAACGAACCCGACCTGAACTCTATGTGTACGCCGTTGACGCCTATATATCTACACCGTTGAGACCAATACCTACCGCATTAACTCACTAAGTATACGTCCTGCTGCTCGATCCACCTGTCCACGTTGACCCAGTCATGGTCACCAAGTCTCGCCTTGGTTTGTTGTAGTAAACCCTCCTGGACGACCGCTCAGTCCGTCTCGAACGGCTGTAGCTTGAGTAATAGTTCCTTCGTCGCGAAGGCCTGACAGTTCGTACCAATGCACGAAGCATTGGCACTGATGCGGCCATGATGGTGACTGCTGCCTCGGCATTACCCCATATCACGAGTGTGACCCCGTCGTCTATCGACACGTCAATCTTCCCCTTCCAACGCCTTGGGACAAGAGGGAACTTACGTGGAAAATCACGACCTCCCAGCTCGGGCAGTGACGAACACTTGATGAAAGCTGACGCGGCAGCACTGCAATCAATACCTAGGCGTCAGTTCATGTCGACTCGAGAATGGAGATAGGGAACCTACAAAACACCCATACTCATCGCCAACGCCACGCCAATCTTCTCTCTTGTCTGCATCTGCAAGTTCATGATAATCTTCCAGGGAATAATAGCCAGAACCAGATCCATCACACCAGAGTAAGCTGAAACACAGCGTCAGTACCACAGACAGTTCTTCAAGACCGACCGGCCAAGAAGACATACCACTAGCAAAGATTCCATAAGTGATAACCACATTCGGGCTCCAACAAGTCCCTCTCATGAACGGATGCCACGCCTTCTCCAGCGGCGTGCACCCAACCCAAAACAGCATGGCCGACACGCCAAACAGCATGTTCATGCTCACAATGGCAAACCAGATAAACACCCTGGTCTTGCCGTGTATGCCATCGTGGATCATGAGAAGCGAGATGGCAAACGAGGTCTTGGACCAGGCTTGGCTGCAGATGGCGAGCGTGACGGTGATCTGCCCGATGAGGAACATGTCGTTGAGGTTTCGAAAGGGGATTTGCCAGACGTGCTTGCCGTAGCCGAGGTCGATGGCCATGTTGGTCGTGATGGTTGAGCCTAGCAAGGCCAACTACAGTCAGCATTGTCAGCATATCAGCAGCAGGCATGAAGAGGTAAATTGGACCGTACCCAAGCGCCAATGGCAAACCAATCATCAGTATGAAGTCTTCGATGCCGTATAAACTTGCAATAGATCCTCAAGAGCAAGAACATCAGCGAAGCACCGCACAACACCCACACCGACACCCGAGTGGTGAGCCCGAGGTCATCATATCGCAGTTTTCCCGGCCCAAAGAAGAAACCTGGAAATCCTGTCCCGTTTCTTGACCTTGTCGATGTGCTGATATCGTTGTCATTGGTTGAAAAAAACGGGAACGTTGCGTTGCTTGTTGAAAGGTCGTCCATGGCCAAGTTCCAGCTTGTATCATAATCCAAAGTAGTCGACGTTCAACAGTGAAGAGGTGATAAGATGGGACGAAATAGAGGACAGCTGCATCCTGACATGACGGGCAACATCAGAGGAAAAAGCGGGAAGACACGAGATGAAATGAGTCTAACGAGCTTCAGACCTAGTGAACACAGACCGCAGAGATACCGGCGATCAGACAAAGTATGAGAAAGGGCCATCGAGATAATGCGCAGGTCGACTTGGCGAGAACAGAAGCATACCACTCGGTAGTTGGGATAGGGTGTTGGTCGATCAAGCCTTTCAACATGCAGGTACCGATGGTGAAACGTATGCGGGGGATGTCAAGCACCAACGTTCCCAAAACCCGAAATAGGAAGAGTGTGTCGATCACACAATATGGGGCAAAGGGAACAGAAGAAGCCGGATGCCAATGCTTCTCGAAAGAAGAATGAGATTGACATGCAACCTTAAAGTTAAGTCCCAAAAGGTCGAGACCGGTCTGCTAGGGTGTTTTGGTTTCGTTTTACCATTACTGTCCTGTTTTCAGCAGAGGTGATGAAGTTCAATCATTTTCTCCATTGACCTACTTACTCCTATACTCTTATTCATCACGCCCATCCGTCAAACCATCCATCCATCCATCCATTTCGCATTCCTCCCTTTGAATCGCAGCTGGGTATAACTATTGCTTCGCTTCTCCTCCCCCCTCCTCCTCTTGTAGCTCTTATAACGAGTTGCAAATGGTGTAAAAGGAAAAGCAGTGGTAGAACTGAAGAAAAAGGAGAGAAAACAAGGCTAGCTAGAAACCCCCCTTTTGTTGTTGGGCATTACAAAAATGATACAAGGAGAGCGCGAGAGAGTATTTGCAGTGAACCGACCGAAAACCAAAACGCGCAACACACAAAAAAGCCAGATTATGACACACATGACCGCTCATGTCGTTCCCTCCCGATACAAGTGCAGCTCCTTCAACATTCCCAGGCTCTCATGGGGTGTCGCCTTTTGACAAGATACCATGGCCTCATTAATTGAGCTGATGTCCGCTTGTTGGCGTAAGCCGTCATATACTTCTGAATGGTCCGTACTCTCTTCGGGGTCAGGGGGTGGGAAGAAGGCTGAGCCGGGCCATGTCGAGATCACATCAGCACCCCTCTCTGGGCCTGATCCGTACAGCTTCATCTCCGCGTCGAACAAGGCTCATTTCCCGCCATACTTGGGCATCTTCTTGATATTATCCGATAACCAGCCGAAGCCCTCGGTCAAGCCCTCGCCATCGATGGCAATGGCAGGCTGCACGAACCAGAGCTTGTCCTTGAGTTTGGCGAGCTGGAGCTTCTCGGTAACTTCATTAGGTTTCATGGCTGTTTTCCGCGTCAGTTATCGTCGTCGGGTGCACTAGAAGGAAGCGGCCAACACATACCACCGTCAACATCCTGCTTGTTGGCAAACACCAGGAGCAAGCAATCCGCCATTTCACGATCGTTAATAATGCGATGGAGTTCTGTCCTCGCCTCGTCGATACGAGCGTGATCTGACGAGTCTACCACGAACACCAGACCCTGGGTACCTGTTCTCTGATCATCAGCACGTCTTTCCCATCTCGCTAGCTAGCTGTTTGGCGCAACGTACCGCTGTAGTAATGCCTCCACAAAGGCCTAATCTTGTCCTGGCCACCAACGTCCCACATGTTGAACTTGATGTTTTTGTAGGTAAAGGTCTCCACGTTGAAGCCGACTGTGGGGATGGTGGTCATGGTCTGGTTGAGCTTGAGCTTGTAGAGAATGGTGGTCTTGCCAGCGGCATCGAGACCCAGCATGAGAATGCGCACTTCCTTGGACCCGAACAGTTTGCCAAAAAGGCTCGACATGGAAAAGGCGGCGCCCATATTTGCGGTCTACTTTCGTAATACTTGCGCGCTTGGGAGGTGTGTGATATCGGCCGTGAGCGTCGCGTGGGTGTCGGTTTCGATATGTCGCGTCTGGTGTTGATAATTTGAGGTAAGAGACGCGCAAACGGCTGGACGGTAGTGGGGTGCGACGGAGTGGTTGTTGTTTTTGTTGTTGTTGTTGTTGTTGTTGTTGTTGTTGTTGCTGTTGTTGTTGTCGCTGTTGTTCTTGTTATGGCGGATGCCAGATGAGACAGGCCGAGGGGATTCGTGGAGAGGGAGACTTGATGATGGGCGATACGGTGCTGGCGGGTCTGAATCGCGAAAGCGGAAATTGGGAAAATTAATTACTTTTAGATCGGGGCCAGGGATGGTTAGCACTGTTGCAACGACAGCGGATATGGCCGACAAGCAAACAAACAATGGTGTTAGGGGTCAAGAGTAACGGCGATGGTGGTGGCTGTTGGGAACCTAAACAAACTGAGGTGCTTCAGAAGATCGAGAACCTACCTCAGGCTCAACACCGACACCAACACTGAGGATGATCCCCTGACAGGGAAGGCAGCACCTGCAGCTTCGAAACTTTGATGCTCCAAAAGTCCAGAGGCCAGCCAACCCAAAATTTACGGCCCCTGAAACAACCAGCCAATCACTGCGCTGGCGCCCAACCATTAGAGGCCCGTGCATTCGGTTGCAAACGCTGAAATTGTGGAGCCCTGAACCCATGTCAACGGTCAACGAGGTATCATCTTCCATTATCTATCAGATGCAGAAATTGTCAACTACCTTAGGTATTTTGATATTGTAGAAGAGACAGCGGCATCTTCTCTCCTACAGTCAATTTCGAAAATCCACCACAAATCGGCGCTCCACCAGTTGCAACGTCACGCTGTTCTCCTCGCCCTCAAATCTCAAGCTTACTTTTCCAGTCGACGCTTCCGCACCCATGACCTCAGCCTTGTAAAACATGGTGCTATCTGGATAGAGCGCCAACACTGTCTTTCCCTTCTCCAGCTCGGGAAGATCAGCCCCAGGTTGGGGGAGGGGGATCATACTGCTGGCACTAGTGCGATATTCAACCCTCTGGTCTGGTGGGAGGTCCGGATCAGCATCCTGCACCTTGTATCGTCGTGACTTGCCCTCGCCTAGAACTTGCTGCACCTTTCCCAACATCCACTCGGTGCTGTCCGCACTGGTGGTTGGTTTGGGCTTGAACACCACATCCTGTCCTCGTAGAAACACATTGCGTGCTCGCTGCAGTGCCGTTCCAGTTCCCAAGCCGCCATCAGGGGGAACGCTATCCGCCTTGCCTGGCGTGTCACGATCTCCTCGTGGGGGAACACTATCCCGGTTGGCAGACCTGTCGCTCCCGCCAACGCTCCCACCCAGCTTCCGGGTATGGTTGCCAGCCGGAGACGGAACCGGCGAGTCTCCGGCTCCATCAAATTCATAGACAGATCCTGGATCTTTGTCGCGGTCCTTCTCCCTCTCTCTCTCACGTTCCCTCTCCTTTTCACGCTCCCTTTCCTTTTCTCTTTGGCCCAAACCTCTCGCAGAGCTTGATCTGGCCCCACTAGAGAGCAATCCGCTGGGTCGTTCCCTGCCCCCTAAGCTCGACGTCCCGGCAGACTGGGACTCGGCGTCCTCCTTAGCCTTCACCAAGGCCCGCAGAATGGTGACGGTTTCGATGAGAGAATCAATCTGCTGCTTCGACACGTCGGCGCCCTTAACGCCACTGCGGAGCAGGGCATCCAGCTTGGCCTCTTCAGCGCCGATATCAATGGAACTGCTGTCTTTGGATGACTTGGATTTCGAAATGTACTTCTCCTGGGCTAGAATTCCTCTGAGTTCATCGTTGCTATTGTTGACTCCTTCAATCATGGTGCGCAACTCCTCTTTGATGTTTGACCAGATGGCAGCCTCTTCACCTTGGGTGCTGCCGCTGTTCCGGTTCGGCCCACGCGAGTTCCGGTTCCGAGAAGACATGCTGCGTTGATTGCGTTTCTGTGAGAATTACGATTGTGAATGATGCTGCTATGTATGTGCTACGTTCTCACCAGAAAGATCAGCTACTACTCAATATAGGGGTTCTGCCAAGCCTACATATTAGTCGGAAGCGTCGTCGGCCCTGGCGTCTATAAAATCTCTTTGGGTTCAGCCTCCTGGTTGGTTTGGTGTCGTCAGTTTGCTGGTTTGTTCCAACCTGCCACACAATGTAGAATGTACGTAAGTGTGCTACTGTTTCATGAGTCAAAGATAGCAAGAATTGGTCATTAAATCGTGATGGTCGTGGAGCAAACACGGAGGAGTATGTCAAATGGTGGAATAAGACGAGGTATCAACCGGCCAGAGAACAAGGTCGCGACCATGTCCGGTGGCAGAATGAGCCATCGCGTTTGGGCGGTGAGAGAGCTGTCATTCGCTGAAGCGGGGCTGCTGTATCTCTCGGCCACTCTGCTCAAAAGGCACACGGAGGACGGGGCTGAGGGCCCCGCACTGTCTCTTTACCTTCAAGGCTCTCGACGAGGGATCCCAAGCAATGTCTTTGGTGACGTAAAACGAGGGGCTAAAGGGTGCAACAGCTCCCACCTGGAACAGTCGCTGGAGGTACCCGACATTTGATAAATACCCAACATTGATCTGAACTAAAAGCGCGTTGGAGGTGTGCTCTGACCTGCCCGTTCTCTGCTTTGCTCCTCACCACCGCTACCGGTACCTTAGTCCAAGCACCCCATATTGGTCCATCCCTGCCCCTCCGTTGTTGTCTTGTCTCCGTCGTTCGCGATGCAGGTCCCCTTGATACGCCTCCAATGCGGGGCCAACTCCTATGACTGGGGGAAGAAGGGTAGCGACTCTGCTGCTGCCAGATTTGCAGCTGCAACCCCTTCAGACGGTTTTACCATTCAAGATGATAAGCCATATGCAGAAGTACTTTCAAGCCCTCCTGGGAGTCCTACGATAATGTTGGTGATGAGCTAACAATAGTGGCATCGGTAGCTCTGGATGGGCACACATCCATCCAACCCTTCCAAAGACCTAACCACAGGCCGCACCCTGCTCGATCTCGTCCAAGACAACCAAGCCCTCCTAGCCTCGAGCGTTGCATCCAAATATGAGAACAAGCTTCCCTTTCTCTTCAAGATCCTCTCCATCGGCAAGGCTCTATCGATTCAGGCCCATCCCAACAAGAAGCTTGCCGAGAAGCTCCACGCCCGCGACCCAAAGAACTACCCAGATGACAACCACAAGCCCGAGATGGCCATTGCCATCACTCCCTTTGAAGGGTTTTGCGGTTTCCGCCCACTAGCTGAGATCTCGCACTTCCTCGAAAACGTCCCTGCCTTGCGCCAACTGGTAGGCGACGACAAGGCCCAATCCTTCATTGACACCGTCAAGGCGAACCCCGACGACAAGACCCAAAACAAAAAGGCACTTCAGACAGTCTTTGGCGCAGTCTTGTCTGCTTCGGAGGATGACCTCGCAAAAGCAACCTCCTCCCTCGTCGAAGCTGCCTCCTCCCAAGGCGCCGAGTTTGCCGCCGGCGGCGTCTCCTCCACCTCTGGCTCTGTCCTCTCCGAACTCGTAACCCGCCTCCACGGCCACTTCGGGTCCGACTACGGCCTCTTCGTCTTGTTCTTCCTCAACTTTATCAAGCTCTCCCCCGGCGAGGCTCTCTTTCTTCAAGCAGACGACATCCACGCCTATGTCTCGGGTGACATTGTCGAGTGCATGGCCTCGAGCGACAATGTTGTCCGCGCCGGCTTCACCCCCAAGTTCAAGGACGTCGACACCCTGGTGGGCATGCTGACGTACAACTATGCGCCTATTGAGGAGCAAAAGATGGAGCCGGTGGATTACCCCTATGTCACGCTCAACAGAGCGGCGTACAGTTCTGGCTCCGAGGCCAAGCTGTACGACCCCCCCATTGAGGAGTTTAGTGTAGTCAGGACGGTGCTCAGGGGGAACGGGTCAAAGGCTACGTTTGATCCGCTGGATGGGCCAAGTATTATCATTTGCACGGGCGGCAAGGGGAAGATTAGCGTTGGGCCGACTGTGAAGGAGATCAAGGAGGGGTATGTCTATTTTGTGGGCGCCACAGCGGAATGCGTGCTGGAGAGCGAGGCGGATGGAGACGAGGACGAGTTTGTCACTTTCAAGGCGTACTGCGAGGTGGAGGAGACGAGGAATGGGGCGTGACTATCTGAGTCGGCTCGACTTTGAGAGCCTGAGAGCAATCACGAGTATCCCTAGCAAAAACACCAACCATATGCCTTTGATGGTCGGAATATCACTATAAACTCTGAATAAACGCTCAAACGTAAATGCCATAGATGTCATGCCCATCCCATGAACACCACCAACTCCAGACTCCTCCTCTCCCTATAATCATTGCCCAGCCGTGAAAAAAAAATCAGTTCTCCTTCACTCTCTTCCCCGGTCTCAGCGAATCATCCGGCAACCCGCTTCTCTTGGTCCCCGGCAGGCTCCCCGTTCGTATATCGTTATCGTCCTGACTAACCCTCCGATGAGGGTATTCCATCTTGACCCCCGCGAAGCAGTTCGCATTGATCGGATCCGGGCTCTCGGCAAAGAACGGGTGCTGGAGCGCATTGGCAGCCGTCAGTCTCTTTTCCGGATCGTACTCCAGCAGCCCAGCCAGCAAGTTGTACCCCTGCGCGCCGAGCACCGAAAGCGAGCTCGCCCCATTGGCCTGCGCCGTCGACGAAATCTGCTGGTTGATGGTGCCGTAGTACCACTTTTCCAAGTGGGAGACGCTCGCGGCTGCGTTGTTCCCGCCTCGTCCGTGGTGGGACTGGTGATGATGGTGTGAACCATACCCGTGATGTCCGTGGTGACCTGCATGCCCACCACCGCCACCGCCTCCCAATGGCGGTGACAGCGACGGCAGCTGCGAGTACTCGGGCATGCTCGTCAGCAACGGCCACCGCTCCTTCGTCGGCAGGCCCATGACGTCCACAATCTTTTGCATCTGGTTCCGCTGAAACGGCACCGTCTTTTTCGAGTCCATTTTTGCTTCCTCCCCCTTGAAGATGGGGCGGAGAGAGAGCAGCTCGGCAAAGATGCAGCCCACGGCCCACATGTCGATCGCGGGCGTGTAGTGCCTGCTTCCCAGCAGCAGCTCGGGAGCGCGATACCAGATCGTCACTACGACTTTGTCGCCCGAGAACAAGCTGTGGAGGGGTTTGTAGAACAGGCGGGCGAGACCGAGATCGCCAATTTTCACCTCCCCCGACGACGTGACCATGATGTTGGCTGGTTTGAGATCACGGTGGAGGACCCAGTTGGTGTGCAGGTATTGGCAGCCGTTGAGGAGCTGGAACATGATGCTCTTGATGGTGTTTGGCGGGATGGGATGCCGCGGTTGCTGGGTGTGGTGGTGGATGATTTGCAACAAGTCGTGCTCGGCGTACTCAAAGACCATGAATATGCACTTGTCCTCGAGGATGATTTCGATGAGCTTGATGACGTTGGCGTGGTTGAGTTCGGAGCAGAGGGCCATTTCTCTCACGGCGGATTGCGAGATGCCCGTGTAGGTGACCTGCTCGCCTTCCTTGTCCGGCTTGAACTTCTTGATGGCGAACTCGCCTGGTTGGCCATGGCGACCATGAGCCTTGTAGACACGGCCATAGGTGCCACTGGAAATGAAACCAATGACTTTGTATTTGTCTGTTACTCGCACTTTGCTCTGATACTGGATGGGTCCTCCCCGGTCACCTGGGTCTATTGTGAAGTGTTAGTCTTGTGTTTTGTCACAGGTCCGATGAAAACTGACAGGATGATGTCCTTTGCTGCTGCTGCTGTTGCTGGTAGCTGACTTCAGCTCTCAAATTTCGGGCCGGATTCATGGCGTTGACAAAATTGTTTGATCTGATATCACCAGCAGCGCTGGCAACGGCAAAAGAAGGGTTGGGGTGGTTCGGAACAGCAGGGGCATAATGGTGGGGGTGCGGGTGCATAAAGGCGGCGGTTGACGACGACGTTGAAGAAGATGAGGATGAGGCTGACAGCGATGTGAGACCAGGCCTGGGGAGATCAACGCCGCCATTGGTGGTCTTGGCGACTACCACGCGCCGCGCTGCAACAGCAGCAGCAGCAGCACTTCCCGCCCTCGCAAGACTAAAACCGCCCCCGCCCACAGCGCTTTGTTGTTGGCCATAGGGAGTGTACTGTGAGTGTTGAAACTGCCGCTGTTGGTGGTGTTGTTGTTGTTGTTGTTGTTGTTGTTGTTGTTGTTGTTGCTGCTGCTGGTTATTCTGCCGTTGCTGATGTTGATGCTGCTGCTGCTGATGTACTGGGGCCCTCTGTAGTGGGGTATATCGATTGTCCATGGCGAGCAATGCCACCTTTCTGCTCTGGACTGCCTTAAGATATCTGGCCCATGGATGGAGAACAGTGAAGTGGACACAACCAAATTAATGTCAAAAATACTGTTTTTGACGCAGTGACCAACTGAAAAGACACCTATCTGGAATTTGACAAGCAACAGGGAAGGAAGCTGGAGAGAAGGGGAGCTTGGGCTTCACAGGTCGGATAGCCACCGAATAGGTATCAGAGAGGAGACCCAGCTTCAACTTCCCATTTTCGTTCAAGATATCGTCTACGGAAGGGAGGCGAAATATGATGGTGCTAATAATGCTAAAGGAAAGAGACACTACCTACCTTCAAAGCCGGCCTGCACGCTCCTTTTCAAGGAGGAGCCCATGATGGAATCCTGTGACCGACGAGACGAGTCAGCAACTTCCCGGTGATCTCCCCGCGATCCTGCAGTGGGAATTTCCACCTGAATTTCAGGGGCCACTGGGGGTGTTAGTGGTCAGAAAACACACCTACATACAACCCGACACAGCCTGCCGTTTGCGCTCCACCGTGTGATGCAGAATGCACCCAATTGGCGATCTGGCCGGGAAAAGGACCTTGGTTGGAGGCGTCCAAGTTTCGTAGCGAGATTTGCCTGCTCTGCTGCTCCCGTCACCGGTGCCAACAGAAATGGCCGGGGGCACCATGCGAGAATCAATGCGACGGGTGGTAATTTGGAGATGTTGGGGGAATTCCTGCTCGAGTTCGGGTGATGACATGAGGTTGATTTTCCAACAGATGCGTCGATAGAGTCGGGGAGGGGGGGAGATTGATAAGCTTTCTTTTTCTGCAATCATCATACCTACCTCCTGTCCGTCTTGCGTCACTCCGTCACCAATGACAAGGCTAGCCGTGGAGAGAAATGCATCCTTTTCATTCACCATGACCTTATAGAAAAAGCAAAATACGCTCGCTACTCCATACACAACAAAACCATGCCGTCGGGCCCTCCCACACCCCTTATCTCGGCCCGAGCTTCTCCAGGATTCTCGTGCCTTGCTCCTCCCACTCCTGCTTGGAAATCCACATGCTGTCCTTGTCGGCCATAATGTTGGCCAACACAGCACCACCCAAGAAAACCATGTGCCTTCTCCGCGGCGGGTCTTCTATTCTGACCTTGAACTTGTTCAACCGTTCCGGGTTCCCTTGCAACACTCTTGTGAGCCAAAGCTGCTTCAACTCCTTCTCAAGGCGTGAAGGAAGACCAGGGTACATGCTGCTGCCACCCGACAATACAATAGCCTTGAAGAGGGAGGATCGGACATCCACATCGGCGGCTTGGATGGTGTTGAACAGGAATTCGGCGATACCCGGCTGGTCGCAGTCGACGAGATGGGGCTGGAACAGACACTCAGGGGCCTCGAATCTCTCGGATCCAACACGGATCACACGGCCGTCAGGGAGTGTGTAGCTTTCAACCAACACCGTTGTGTCTTCGCTCAATCGCTTATCCAGCTCGAGGTCATAAGAGACATAGCAGAGCTTCTCCTTCATCTGGCGGACCGTTTCGAAATCGGCGGTACGGTTGAGGGCATAGCCTCGGCGCGTCAGCAGCGCAATCAGGTTGCGGGTAACGTCGCGACCTGCAACATCGAGGCGGCGCGTGAGATGGTTGAGGACGACGGACTCGTAGACGGGAACAATATGCGTAACGCCATCGCCGGAATCAACAACAACACCGGAGCTGAGACCTATTTCCCCCCTCCCATGTTAGCTAACCCCTTGCATGGTGCGTAAGCCGTAGTCAGGGGTAAACATAAACATACCCTGAGCATAAAGCGCCAGAACAGCTTGAATAGCCACATACACCCCCCCAAACTCGTAGCGCTCAAACATGACCTGGCACATCTGCTCCCTGTTCCTCAGCGGGTTGAGCGGTGGTTCGGTGAGCAGGATCTTGCGGCCCCGGGTATCAACCTTCATTTTTTCGTAAAAGGTGTAATCCCAGAGATGCTGCATGTCGTCCCACTTCTTCACGATACCGTTCTCCATTGGGTACGAAACTTGCAGCATGGTGCGGGCGGCAGCAGCCTCGTCACCACACATGATATCCTTGATAACCATATCGCTGCCTCCTTGCTCCTCGGTACGCAGGATGGGCCGGCCGACGATGGATGGGTATTGGAACTCGGGGAAATTCTGGGCGGCATAGCCGACTTTGAGAAAGCCTGTGCCGCCATCGAGAACTGTGAAAATAAAGGCGAATGGTGGTCAGTCGAGGGATCATGGTTGATAGCTATGTCGAGCTGCCTAGCTTGGGCGTCGAGCAACTGGCAGTGCCAACCAGGCTACGCGGTTTCTGGAATTGAACTTACCTATTGGAGCTTCGTTCGCCATCTTGACTCTCCTGCACTTCGTGTATGAGCCGAGAAATCGAATTTGATGGTGGTGTGTGTGCTCAAAAAAGCTGGAAGGGGTGCGCAACGGAGCTGTCGGTCAAGTCGGTGTTGATGATGCTTGGTTGCTTGCGCGGCGGAGACGTTGATGGTGGGGTTGGCTGCCAGGAGGTCCACGGGTGTCTGGCTGCGGTGAGGCTGGCACTGGCCGCCAGCAAGGAAGGGGGTGCCCCACAGCATCCAACTGTGGCTTGGCCCATGACAGGACAGACAAGGGTCGCTTCATCAGGAGGCACACGTGATACCCCGCATTGGCACCACTCGCCCCTCTCCATCGATTGGAGGGACCGATTGTCGGCGGCTTCCGTCGTTGGCTAGTAGATATACCGTTTCGTCTGCAGGTGATGTATTTGACTTGACCCTCCCATTCTCTCTGGATCCAAATGGGAAATTTTACTCAACACGAATCTCTAGATCTCGCCGGGGCTGTCATTCTGCGAATTCATCTAGACTTTGGTAACCATCTCGATATATCTAGAGACTACGATACCACAGCCACCATGTCAACCGCTTTTGTTAGACGCACCACCAAGATTTTGATCTTGAACCCCAACTCCTCTGCATCCATGACCCATGGGGTTGAGGAGGCCATTCGGGGTATAAATCTACCTTTGGTATGTGCATGCCACTTGACCTATGTTCATGGAGTATACCGCGTGCCCAAATCTCTAACAGTGCAGAACCAGTCGACCGAGATTTACACCTACACAGCACCACCAGCATCTCCAGCATCCATCAACGACGGTGATGACGTGCAGCAGAGCGCAGACGTTGTTCTGCGCAACCTCCAAGAGACGGGCATCCTCAAGGAATATGATGCCGTACTGGTTGCTTGCTATTCCGTGCACCCTCTGGTCCATCTCATCCAGGAAAACTGGCCCCATCTTGCTGTGACGGGCATTTTTGAAGCGAGCATCGTAACGTCGCTGTCACTGCTGCCCTACCAAGACAATTGGGGCATCGTCACGACCGGGAAGTTCTGGCAGAAGCACCTGTCTGACGGCGTGCACCACTTCGTTGGAAGTGAAAACAGCAACAGCAGATTTGCCGGTGTCGAGACCACTGGTCTGAATGCTGGGGATTTCCACGGTGGCGTTGACCCTGTCGTGGTTCGACAAAAGCTATGCGAAGCTACGAAGAGACTGCTGGACCGTGGCGTGCAGGCTGTAATCATGGGTTGCGCGGGAATGGCTGGTCTGGAGGACATCATCAGGTCAGTTGCCACTGAAGGGCGTGGTGAAGAGGCTGGAAAGAAGTTGCTTGTCATCGATGGTGTCAAGGCTGGGGTTGGCTTGCTTGAACAAATGGTCCGCAACAAGCGCATGTTCCAAAGATCGTAACAAAGTTGTTCAAATGTTAGTCTAGGTAGCGGGGGGAAAAAAGGAAAATTGCAGATATAAAGCAAACTAAATGCCCAGACTCCAAACTCCCAACTTGCTTGCCATACCTATACCTATGGTCCATTGCAACATCCAATCAGTCGACCCTTCTCGTACGGCCCCAGACCTCGTCTGCATCCTTCCGCCCGCGAGTTTCGGGAACACGGCCGCTCACAAATGCGGCCCATAGAAGGGCAAATCCTGCAAAGATAAAGTACACCCAACCGGCACCACCGAACGCATCGTTCAACGCGGCGTTGACAATGGGGAACAAGTACGCCACGAGGAAGGTAGCCACGTAGCTTGCACCCAGAGCCCAGCTTTGCGTCGCCCCCACAGCCTCCGGGCCCACGAGCTCAGAGGCCATGATGAACGGGACTGGGCCTAGGCCGACAGCGAAGAAGGCCACAAAAAATAAGACGGCAATGGCAGACAAGATCTTGACGTCGAAATGGATCGCAAGAGCCAGGGCTAAAGAGCTAGTACCTTGTCCCATAATGGAAGTCAGCAGGCAGGTCTTGCGTCCAAAACGATCGGGAAGAGGGGATGCAGCCATAGTAACGCCGAGGTTGATGATGGAGATGACGATGGTGAGCAAAGCTGAGCTGATGGGGAGAAGGTCCTTGAGCAGCGAAACGGAGTACATGATGATGGAGTTGATGCCGCACAGTTGCTGGGCGAACATGATGCCTACAACCGCAATGATGGCGGGCCTGGTGAAGGGATCACGAAGGACTTGTAGAAACCCAAGATGTACCCGAGGGGAGTGCTGGGCACCAGCTGATGGCGTCAAGAGTCCAGAGGCGTCTGCCGAGGTGCTTTCATTGCTGACAAGCAGCGCTTCCTCCTCACTAGTTGGCTTGCTGGCCCCTTGGCCCCAACTTTCCACTTCCTCGTCAATGTTGCTAACCCTGCCGCGAATGCGCTGCAGAACACGCCGAGCGTGGGTGACGTCGCCCTTGGCACTAGCAGTCCAAGCTGGGCTTTCGGGGAGAAGAGCCAAACCAAGACCTTGAGCAAGAGCAATGATAACGCCGGTGCCCATAATCCATCGCCAAGCACTTCCATAACTCAGGAAGAAGCCCAGAGTTTGAGTGAACAGAATACCGACGTTGATGCTGATTTGGGTGAAGGCGCCAAAGAAACCTCTCTGTGTTGGTGGTGCCACTTCACTGATGTACAAGGGAACGATGACAGTGCTGGCGCCGGCCCCAACACCCGTGAGAAAACGGCCAATGATCATGGTGGGAACAGAGCCTGCAGAGGTTTCGACTATGGATCCAAGCAAGTAAAAGGCGGCCGTCAATTGCATTGGGAGCTTGCGCCCGCGTGCCGACGTAAAAGGGCCGGATGTGAGGGCGCCGAGAAGGCCGCCGACGGTGAAGACGGCCGAGATGGCGGCAAAGTCGGAACGGCTCATGGGAATACAGTCCACAACATCGTCGGATGAGCTACTCTTGGTAATAACAAGGGAGGCCAGCTGCTGAAGCGCCGAAATGCTTTTCTTTTGGCAGGTGATAACATCTTCAGGTGCGTTGAGCTCAGCCTATGGAGATGATGAGAATGGTCAGTAACTCGGTTTGATGTAGCTTACAACGTCAAAAGAGCTTACCAAGTGAAAGCCAAACTGGAGGGGCCCAAGGGTAGCAGTCAGTATCAGTATCACCAAGAACGGCGTGACTTCGTGGAGAGCGGACGCCATGGTGCCACAAGAATACGGGCGTGGGTATCCAAGAGGTTTGGTGTGCTCTCTGATTGTAATATAGGAGGATTCTTCTGCTAGCTGGGGCACATGGTGCGACGAGGATAGTGATGGCGTTCAAGCAACCTGGCTGCGATGGTTGTTTGGGTTGGGATGTCGTGGTCCAGACCGCTGCTGACAGCTAGAGCTCTAGAAGCAAGGGACGGGAAGCTGGGGAAGTGGGGCGAAGACCCAGGGCTGTCCCGGCTGAATGGTGTAGGAACAGGGGCTTCGATACTGGTTTAATTGCATACAGTGTCTAAATGCATATCCCGCGCATCCATCACCACTCCATCCTTCGAAGTGTCGAAATTGAGGTACTATGTATGCCCAGGAGGTAAAATTCCAATCTCCAGATGATCCATATAAGCCTGTCTCCAGAATCACACAGCGAGGTCTACTGGGGATATCTACACCTACGAACTTTCCGCCAACATCGCGACCTGTTTGCTGTAAATTTGCCAGTCTCCTTCGGCAATTGACGGCTTAGATGATTGTTAATGCTCCGATATAAAGCAAGGCTCGACTCCATTCCGTCGCGCTGCGAGCTTCCGCCTAAAAGCCGACGTTGCTCAGCTCAGCAGCTTGCATGCTCGACGTCATTTCTCACATGGAAAAGAGTCTGCCTCGTATGCTGCTGCAAGGCCCGTATCTGGAGAGGCAGCACTGCTTCATACGGAAAGTGAAACCGAGGAAGAGGAAGGGATAATAACACAATGCTCATCATCGTTTGCTGTGTCCTCCGATGGCACCGGGAGCCTGGTGGATCATGAGTCGGCAGGAGTCGCCGAGGCCGGTTCTTCACGGGAAGGCGGGGCATCCGGTAGGTAGTAGCTTTGCTGCATCTCGAAACGAACGAAATGAGGGGCCCGATTGACGTGCGCCTTTCACGATTCACATATAAAGCTGTAAAAAGCCGCACCCTCTTCGAAAAGGCATCTCCAGAAACATAATATCAACCATAGCCTTGAGATATACATTGTAGGACACAAAGTAATCCTCCATCATGACCTTCACACCAACCCGAATTTTGATCTTTGGCGGGACCGGCACCATCGGCTCCTACATCACGACGTCCCTGCTCCGTGCCCAGCCCCCGTTCCCTCAAATCACGCTCTTCACCTCCCCCGGGACCGCCGAAAAGAAGGCATCTCAGATCGCGAAATGGAAGTCGGATGGTCTCTCGGTCATTGTTGGTGACCTAACTTCATCCGCCGACGTCAAGTCCGCATATCAGTCTTCCCAAGCAGACACAGTCATCTCAGCAGTTGGGCGCGGAGGTCTTCAGCACCAGATCGAACTGCTGCGTCTGGCTGAGGAGTCCAACACTGTCCAGTGGTTCTTGCCGAGCGAGTATGGCACTGATATTGAGCACAACGACAAGAGCCCTGATGAGAAGCCCCACCAGTTGAAGCTCAAGGTGCGGAAATACATTAGAGACGAGCTAAGGAGGGTCAAGGTGACATATGTGGTCACTGGGCCGTATTTCGATATGTGGGTTGACACGGCTCCTGGTCTGGAGTCTGCTGGCGGCTTCAAGCCTGAGGAGAAGAAGGCGTGGATTATTGAGGATGGAGAGGGCAAAATTGGCTTTTGCACCATGTGGGAGTAAGTCTTTTTCAATCTTTCACGCTATCAATTGAGAATATCCAACTAACAAGGTGAATCAGTGTGGGCAAGTTCGTTGTTGGAACTCTCCGTCATCCCGAGGAGTCTTTTGGGAAGGCCCTCAAGGTCCAAAGCTTCATTGTTTCGCCCAACGAAGTTCTGGCCGAGTATGAGAAGCAGACTGGCGCCAAGTGGGAGGTCACCAAGACGCCCCTGGATGACCTCAAATCTTTGGAAACTGACTTGTGGGCAAAAGGCAATCCTAGGGCGACCAGTGCCACACTCCGACGGATCTGGGCTGAAGGGGGGACTTTGTATGAAAAGAACGACAATGATGTGTTGAATGTGGAAGGTTTGGATTCCTTGGCAGATGCTGTGAAGCACGCGCTCGCAGGAGGGTACAAGGCCGATACCTTTTAGGTTACCAGTACCAATATCCTATGAAATGAGAGGAAGTCTAATGAGCATTCTTGTTCTAAGTGGTGGGAGAGTATGGAAGCTTAATTGATTAGATAGCGGGGTCTCTTATGGCCCCACTACCAATGCACGTTTCTTATTGGTCATCGAGTCCAGCAGTCGCTCCCGGCAGGCACTGTCAATAATTTTCTTCCACGCAGGAAACTTTTGAATGAATTGATAACGAAGAGCTGTAGACTCGCGACATCCTCGTCGCAAACAACCCACACCGCAGCATTCACCATGTCTGCCACTCTTGATGAGGGCGCCCAGCCCGTAACAATCCCAGACAGCCAAAAAGTCGAAAAGAAGCACAAAAGGTCCAAGTCGGAAAAGAAACGCTCGAGAGACGAGGACGACGCCGCCGTTGTGGAAGAAACCCCCCGCAAACCCAAAAAGACCAAAAATGGAGATCTCGAGTTGCCCGTGAGGCTAGGGTCGCAAGTTGCGGCCGATGAACCCTCGAAAAAGAAGAAGAAGAAGAAGGATCAACTTGGAAATGGCGAGGCGCAAACTGACGAGGTAGTGGTCGACGAGGAAAAGTCGTCCCGCAAGAAGTCGAGCAAGTCCAAGAAGGAGCCCAAGGAAGAGCCTGAAGATGCCATGCAGATCGACACTCCAGAGAAGTCCAAATCGGAAAAGAAGCGCAAGGAGAAGAAATCGAAAAAGGACAACCTAGAAACAGAAGCAAACGTTGACGGGCAGGAAAAGAAGAAGAAGAAAAAGAGCAAGGACAAGACCGGGATCGAGACTGAGACACCGACCCAGGCTTCACACGAGGTTGCCACCGAACTCCCAAGCAGCGACTCTGAATATCCATTCTTCACCCAAACCGTTTCCCTCTACGTGCCCTTCTACCCTATTGGCTTCGACAAGCCCCTCACCAACGTTGCTGCGCAGCATCTCGACCCCCTCTTGAATCACTACTCACCACTTTTGCGCGGCGTCCTCCTCAGCTACTCTAATCTCAACCTCTCCGAGCGCCCCGCCAAGGCGAGTATCACCAACCCACCCACCGACGAGACTCCCGCCTGGCTGCACTCAGTCGACGAGTATGCCGTAGGCTTCGGCTGGCTCACTTTTGACGCCCAGCTGTTCGTGCCATCGCGAGGCAAGTGGATGGAGGGTGTGGTGCAGCTCCAGAGCGAAGGCCACATTGGCGTGGTGTGCTGGAACAAGTTCAACGCAAGCATCGAAGCAAAGCGTCTCCCGCAAGGCTGGAAATGGGTTGACATCTCCAAGGACGATCCGTTTGCCAGGTCGAACAGCAGCCAACCAGAGACGGACGAGAATGGCGAGGAGAAAGAAGGTCAACAGCAAGAGGAGGAGGATATCCTAGATGGGGAGGAGCTGCAGGTGGTTGAGCAGATGCACACAACAGGTTACTGGGTCAATGAGAAGGGCCGCAAAGTCGGAGGCAAGCTCCGGTTCCGCATCATGAACTTTGACGTCGGCCAGGCGGGAGACTATGGATATCTCAGCATTGAGGGTACATGTCTGGAACTGAACGAGGAGCTCGCTTTGGCAAAGGAGGAGCGCGAGTACGAGAAGAGGCGGCGGAACAAGCAAAACCCGAGCGGGCTCCTCAAGCCGCTATCAAGGCGGGTGCCCGAGTTCAGCATGACCAAGTTTGGCAAGGACGACGAGGAGGAAGATGGCACCAAAAAGACTGTCTTGTACAAGGCCAGTCGCCCAGGAACGCCCGATGATTAGGTATGGTCTGGCCTGACAATATCGGGTTCGGTGCAGTTGACTTCTTCGCCATTATCTGCCCGCAACTCGAGGTCGGCTAGGAGTCCAGGATTCTGCTGAGGCATGCATGTTCAACATGTCATCTAGAGTTTATGTTTGAGTTTTGTTGGCGCTGGAAGATACAGGGTTTGCATGGCAGGGCTCTCAAAACGGGTGTCGCATATAGTAATTCTTTTTGTGGTTATTCAGCTTTTGAAACTTTTGATATTTGAGTCCGGCTGCGTGACGCGTGGCCGAGGTATTGGCACAACCCGCATGCTCTAGGTCATTACTGTTTGGAATGGGCACACAACCATTGAGTGGCGGTGGCAGAGTGGCTGTCTACAGTTCCCCTTTATCCGGCCACCCGGATGCAATACATATCAAGACTTTATCCACATACCTCCTGCAGAACTACTCCATCGGTTGTTTACACCCCACGGCTCGGGCTTGATGAAAACGGCTTAAAATAGCGACGGCTTGAGATTGCTGGGTTGTGCTGTTTCCCTATAGTTGTTCGTGTGTGAAGATGCCCCGGATCTTGGGCCTAGTGTCCTGGCATTAGGTGCTTGTTTGGTTGTGTAGATATGCTGGTAAACTGACCCTGCACCAGCTGGGCTGAGGTCCCCCAGTATGACAACAGGCAGTGATTCACTGGACAGTTGGAATAACTAATAACTGTAGCATTCAATGTAGGTATTGTGAATTGAGAATTCGGTGACCGGGGTAAACCGGTGACATCAGTTGATGAGAGGGCACTGGGTGGGCTTCATGCTTGCTGGACTCTGGTTACCTTATCAGGTGGCCTTTACCTTTTTCATGTCCCAGGCGGAGGGGTCCGGCACATCTGTCGGTGAACACATTGCAGAACAATTGGCTTTTGTCCCGACTAACAATAGCACAAGACGCCCCATGCTGCCAGACCTCGCTTACGGTCCACCCTCTCAGGGTAATATGGGAGAGATAGCAAAACCTGGGTCCTGGATATTGGGTATGATCTCGGCGGTCATTGGGGAGGAGCCCGGGATATGTAGATGAAGAGTAGGTAAGTATATAGCTGAAGCATGTAATCCAGGATTCCGTCAGAGTTGTCTCCTCGGGATTCTACTATCACGCAAACCAACATGCATACATCGTTCCTTCTCTCATTTCTTGCCCTCTCAGGGGCAACGTTGGCGCAACGAGGTCGGCCAACGACATTCTTCACAGCTCCCTCTCCTTCAAGTACTCCGCGTCCGGGTGCAACACAGTCCTTGTACGGACAGTGCGGCGGACAAAACTGGACTGGTCCAAGAATCTGTCCATCGGGGGCTTACTGCAAGAACGATGGAAAGTAAGTGCATGAGAAAGAATTCACCTAAACAGAACGGAGGATGCTGACAGCTACTACAGCATGTGGTACGAGCAGTGTGTGGCCATTGAAACCTCTACCAGGCCTTCAGGCAACCCTGCGGTCACTACTAAAACTATAACGACGGTGATCACCATTGGTGGTCCTACCCCAACGGTTGTGTCGACTCGGGTCACATACTTGACTCCAAGACCGTCGTCTACTACGCCTTCGGTGGTGACGATAACCTTGGTACCGGATGATCCATGTGATCACGAGATTTGGTGCTGATAGGGGCTTAGTGGAGGAAAGGGGGTCCTGTGTCTTGGGTATCTTGAAGTTGATATTGACATCTCTGAAATGATACCAGAAGAATATCACACTTGTTACTAACATTGTTTTGTTTGTTTCCATGGATGGTAAAATGGGACAAAAGTGAATGTCTGCAGGCGCGGTTGGTGTATTGTGTCTACCCTCTGCTACATGACCTACCCCAATACAATCCCACATGTGCCCTAAAGTAACCGAGACGAAATCCCCAGTGAAAACCAAGCCAAAGTTGAGAAACGCCAGATATGAAGACCCATACATGATCACCTATTCAGCAGGATCCACCATATCCAGCCTCGTAAAGAAGGTCTCAACCCTGCCCTCGGGGATATACGCCTTGTACTCCCTCATCCACCAGTCAGCTACACTCCCCCTCCTCGCCTTCTCCCCCAGCACAATCTTGTCCGAAGTCAACATCTTGACCTCCCCCACCGCCCTCTTCTCATCCACCTCCTCCACCATCCCCTCCAAGTCCTTGTCCTTCACCTCCCCAAACCCCAACAACTCCAACACCCAAGCGCCCTGCATCTCAGCCAGAACTCCAACCGAGACAATCGCAATAAACCCGTCCACGCTCTCCGGGTGCCGTCTCGGAAACGCAAACTCCTCATCCGCAACGTCCGTCACCTTGTCCAGCGCCTCGGTCATGGCATCCCCCATGTTCTGCCTCCCCTGCTCGACCAACTCGACAACATTGTCCAGACACTCCTCGATCAGCTTGCGGTTCCACCTCCTCTCGCCGACGACATCTGTGATGGCGATCTGAAGGGAGTCGTCGTTGAACTCGGCTATGTGCATCAAGTTTACGATCTTTTTGGCAATGGCCACGAGCTGCTCCTCGTCGTCGTCGGCAGATGAAGTGCAGGCCATCAATGGGGCGGATCGGTACTGCCCTTCTTCATGGTTATTGCCGGGTGGGGAGTCGGAGTAGAGGCCGAACTTTTCGTTGTCAATCTGACCGTGAGAGTCGAGGGAGTCGTAGAGGAGCTCGGTGTAGCCGGCCCGGTTGGCGCGGTTGCGGCGGAAGGAGAGGCAGGCGAGGATGGAGCGGAGGGTTGCCATTGTGTTGTCGTTGTGTGTAAGTGACTTGCCAAAGTGTCAAACAAGCAACAAAGCAAGCAACAAAGCCCGAGAAGCTATAAGAGAAAGCAAAGAAAGTAGAAAAGCGCTATTTGTCTAGCAAAGCCGAAGGTGACTGGTGGCTGCCGTGGGTGAGGAGAGAAAGAGAAAAGGCAAGACACAAAAAGTGTCAGCCAGCCATGTTATTTATGATCACACATGCCCCCGTCTTCTCTCGATGGCAGACACACAAAGGCTTCTTTCCTGTGTGGCCGCTTGGCAGACAGGAGACTAAGGTAGGCAGATGTCAACGTCCCTCGGTGGCGGACCCGGAGGGCTGTGCCACATCCGGGGTTCGAGGCCAGGGGAGACCGGCCCGGCCCCACACGTGAGTTGGATGCCGGCATCCGGGATTGTCGTCCGGAGGTTGCCAGTGAACAGCAATCGACTTGCAATCTTCACGACAAGCAAACAATTACGTTGGCGGTGTTTGTTTCGAGATGGGCACATTCCTTTGTTGCAAGTTTGTCAATTGAAATTGTGCAGAAAAGTCGAGGCTTTGGAGGAGGGAACAGGCTATGCTCAGGGCGGCCAGCGATAGGCCACTGCCGTGATTGCCCCATGTGTAACGGTCGTCCTACGCATTGTGAAGTTGTGAGCATATATGTATCAAGGCATTGTGATCGGATGGTCTTGGGCTTGCAAAACGTGGCAAAGTAGGCCAGGGGAATTGGCGAGCAGTGGCTAACGTTCCACCACTTGCTGCTCATTGCTGATCTCGTATCGATGGATTGTATGCTCTCCAGTGGTGCATGGCCCCGGGCTGGCTGCAAGGCAAACGGCCAGGAAAACTTGGGGCATATTGGCCAAGTCGGACATCCGAGACTCGACAAGAAACTGGGTGCCTCGACATGACAAACACAACTCACGGGAATTAGTGGACGGAATCTGTATGCATTACATCTCTTGTTGAGAGGGCCGACTCCCAATCCGTGATATCACCACGCGGCCGCAAGCATGTTGCTATTGGGAACCACGCGCTCCTCCTTTGTCCATCACACAGTTTTTGTCTCTTCCGGACTTTTGGCTCGACCAACGTCCTCCTGTATTGGATGCTATGGTTCTGCCCGAAATCAATGAACCCCAACCATCACGCCTTCATGAAGTTCCCGTTTTGTATGGCCCGGCGATCCCATGAGTTGGCCGATAATATCCACCAGCCTGCCAGAGTAGAGTAATGCACAGAACCAAAGCCGTCGTCCATGCCTGAAAAAGACCCGGTGTGAAAGACGACGCCGAAATAGAAACGCTCGCCGCTTATTTCTCCTTCTTGGGCTTGGGGCCCTTGACCTTCGCAGTACCGCGGAGGGTCTTCTGGCGGTTCTTGCGCTGCTTGCCTATTGGTGAGGAAGAGAAAATGTCAGCCGGTACCACTCCCAAAATGAAATTCTCATGTCCACCACCGCGGGAAACATACGCTGCTGTCTGGAAGCACGCTCAATCTTGGTGGCAAGGCCAACACGGACGAGTCTGTAGCGGGGCTCGAACTTCTTCATGGCCTCGGGGGAGTCATAGATGAGGGCAAAGCCAGTGGTCTTGCCACCACCGAACTGGGTGCGGAGACCGAAGACGGAAACTTGATCCTTCTGGGCCTTGTAGAGGGCAGCGAGCTTCTCGCGGAGGTCCTCCTTGGAGATGTTGGCGCGACCGGGGTGGAGGATGTCCCTGAACAGCAGAGTCAGCGACAATTTCCCATCAAACAGCCCAACATTCTCAAATCGCCCGCGATTTTGCCATGTTCCAATCGGGCATTATGTTTCTGGATTGATGTTCTCGTCCACTGTGGGCGACTTGGCAATCGGGGCGATTCGCGAAGAGGGCATTCGGAGATGGATGGCAGCACTCACACGACCATCTGCTTGCGGCCGAGCAGAGGGTTGCGGATGAACTTCCGCGTGCGCAGGGTTACGGGGGCATCAGAGTCGGCCATGGTGATGTCGTCGGTCGTTGGTTGTCGTACCTCGATCGATCTCAGGTTCCGGCAGGAGGAGGGCGAGTTTCTGCTGGTGTTTTTTGCAGGCCAGGACGCACTGGGTAGCGGGTGGATCTCGCAAAATTCCGGCAGCGAATCGCTAATTTGGGTGTGAGCCCTAATTTGTGTGTGGCCTGAATTCCGAGGCAATCAGTCAGCAGCGGCGGGGCAGCTTGGTGGAAATGCACGGACCAATGTGCGGCAGCCTTGTCCAGCTCCCCACTTGTCGACAACTGCCCCACACCTTCTGAGAAGACATTCAAAACAACAACACAGCACCACAATCTCAAAGTGACTTTTTTGTTCTCATGCAACCGTCAATTGGCAAATGTGTATAGGGGTGGCGTCATTATAAAATGGCCCTCTCTGCTCCGGCCTAGGCAGCACTGGAAACAGTTCATAATGGACATGGAACCCGCGCTTCTGACAGACCTCCAAGAAGCTCTCGAATGTCGCTCTGTTCCGCTCTGTTGCCGCAATCAGAATGACCACGCCAGGCGATATAGCAACGAGGTTCTGCAGCGTTGCCACCAGCGCGGGAATTACACTCGCGTCGTACGTGATGTCAGCTCCAAGCACGACGTCGACCTCTCTTCCACCGTTCCATTCCTCCTCTTCGGTCCCCAGCAAAGCATGGCCCCATCTGAGCTCAGAGACAGACACCCTGTCTGTGCCCTGAAGACCGTTGATGAAAAGGTTGTCTGGGAGGTTATTCACCACATCTTCAGAACCGTCCGAGGCAATGACATGTTCTGCGCCGAGATATTTGGCACACAAGATGGCAACGTATCCTGTTCCAGTCCCGAGCTCTAGCAGACGCTTCCCCTTGACAAGTGTTGGGTTGGCGCAGAGATACTGGCCCATGTGCAATGCTGCCTCCCATGTTCGTAGGCCTGTTGTCCCTGAACCCGAGATAATGGAACGAGATTCCAGCAAGACCACAGCTGCATCACTGGGTTCCTGGAGCAGGGAAAGGTGGTATGCCACATGGCACTTTTGCTGGGCAGCCACCACCTCTGAAGGCAATGGAACAGATAACAACTCAGACATGGTGGTCATGAGATTATCTGATATTCCCTGTTCCTGTCAGTTCCTGGCGTCTCCGTCTCCTTTTCAGCAAGGTATGAGTTATCCTTACATGCTCCTCCCAGTCCACGATAGAGCGTTCGATTCTCGACGTCAACTCCTTGAGCACTTTTAGCCCATAGCGGGGAGGAAGCGGGAATGCGATATCATGGCCAAACAGCTTCTTGTAGATTTCCTCTTGGACCGCATCGAGGCAAAGGACCTCACCGTCTGGATATTCTGGTGCGGCATCCAACTGCAGGCACTGCCAACAGAATCGGGTCACTTGTGGGTTTTGGCTGCTCATGTTGAAGGGTGAGTACGGTCTTGTTCGAGTCCAGCTCGACATCTGTCGTTGTTTCATGTAAATGTTGGCCGCCTTGTCCAAAAGACCGGCAGAAAGGAAGGCGGTGAAGGGCCAAGGATAGACTGCTGGGCACACAACTTTCCAGCCTCAGAGCGTCAGAAGGGGTCCCAGGTAGGTAATGAGTCAATGCCATTTCTCCCTGTTTTGAATCGAGCCTGACCTTTTTGTTCCGTTATGGATTTTAAACACACCTGCAATCGGATTTCATCTTAAAAGGCCAAGTCTGTATCCAGCGAGCAGTTCAGCCAAAAGTGGGCCCTTGACGTAGGAGCTGCCAAGCCATTGAACAGTCGAGTGCGCGCCTGGCATCGCGTTTCCATCTCGGAACTGGAAGACTTCAGTTGTTGGCCAGAAAAACACACAATCCCATCTCAACACCCTTTCGCCGCGCCCAGGGAAGACTGTCGCCAAGATGTCGGTCATTCTCGAGACAACGGCAGGTGACATTGTCATTGACCTGCTGGTCGATTTCGCCCCCAAGCTGTGCGAAAAGTACGTCCCCATGTTCTTGCTTTCTTGTTCAATTGCCAGACCACAATTAACCCAATGTTCTTCAGCTTTCTCAAGCTATGCAAGATCAGATACTACAACTTTTCTCCGATCCACTCTATTCAAAAGTCCTTTTCCTGTCAAACCGGCGACCCTCTCGGGCCTCTGTCCCCCAATTCCGACGGCGGAAGTTCCATCTGGGGCTTACTCAAAGGCAGGGACAAGACATTTCCTGCCTTGTTCCATCCCAAATTGAAACACCGCGAACGAGGCACTGTCAGCATGGCTACTGCCCCCCACCCGTCTGACCCAGAGACACGACTGGCTGGCTCTCAATTTCTGATCACACTGGGAGAGGACGGGATAGACTTCCTAGACGACAAAGCCGCCGTATTTGGGAAAGTCGCCGAGGGCTTTGACGTTCTGGAGAAGATCAACGAGGCAATTGTGGATGAACGAGGGAACCCGCTGGTGGACATCAGAATCAAGCATACCATTGTGTTGGAGGATCCCTACCCTGACCCCGCTGGCCTGCGGGAGCCAAGTGCTTCACCTCCACCGACCAAGGCACAGCTCGCTACCGTCAGGATTGCGGAAGGAGAAGAGCTGGTTGATGTCGAAAAGGACGAAGAAGCCGCCGCTGAGGCGGAAACGAGAAAGAGAGAGAGGGAAGCAGCCGCCCAGGCGTTGACGTTGGAGATGCTAGGCGATCTCCCATTTGCCGAAGTCAAGCCACCAGAAAATGTCCTGTTTGTTTGCAAGCTCAACCCAGTCACAACTGACGAGGACTTGGAGTTGATATTCAGTCGGTTTGGCAAGATTCTGAGTTGCGAGGTGATCAGAGATCAGAAAACCGGCGACAGCTTGCAGTATGCTTTCATTGAGTTTGAAGATAAGAAGAGCTGCGAGGAAGCGTACTACAAGATGGATTCCGTTCTGATTGACGACAGGAGAATTCACGTAGACTTCAGTCAGAGCGTCAGTCGCCTGAGCGAGGTTTGGAGAAACGATACCAACACGAAACGCAAAACTGCTGCTGCAAGAAAATGGAAAGGTGGCTGGGGTGGTGTGCAAGAGCTGGAGAAATGGCGCAAGTACAGGAATGAGGACGTGGAACGTGACGACGAGGACGATCATTATCGGATGGTCCATGGGGTGGAGGATATGCAGCATGGCCGGCACGATACCGGCGTCTCCCACAGCAGCAGCAGCAATAACAACAATGAGAACAATAACAACCGCAAGCCTTACGACAGGAGAGCCGGCGAGAGCCGGTCGAGCGGCCCGAGTGGAAGTGGTGGCCATGAAGATAGCCGAAGAGAAGCTGCGGCACACCGGCGGGGAAGAGAGTCCCCGGACCGGCTGACGGACACGCACAGCAGTAGCGGCAATAACAACAGGCCAGAGCAGAGGCGAGGTCACACGGAGCGACGGAGCCGGAGCCCCAGACAAGACCACGGTTATCACCGTCACAGCTACCGCGACAACAACCGCCATGACAGGCCAGGCGATCCCGGACAATCATCATCAAGGGGCCGAGAAGATCGGGATTGGGCTCGCAGAGATCGTCGGGACCAAGATCGCGATAGAAGGGATAGGAGCAGATACAGGGACAGGGACAGGGGCCAGGACAGATACCGGGGAAGAGGCGGAGGAGACGAGTACAGTGGCCGTTGAACGGTTGTCGTCGGTCGTGTGTAGCGGTGCTGTCGGCTGCCGGCCTCGTGTGCGTGGGATATCACAGTAACGATGCAAGCTAATTAGAGCCCTAGACGATGAGTGGTTCGTCTTTCACGTTCGACAGCAACTCGTTTTCTTGTGGCCCGGCTCTTCTTGCTCTTTTCTGTCTTCCTCAGCTGCCAGCTCCCTGTCTAGCATAGTGTCTTCCACCCTCGGCCAGTCGCCCCAGTTACTCAACACTACGCCCAACGACGGATGACATCCTGTTGGCCGGGCACTGGGAACACGACTTGAGCAAGGTGTCATCTCGTCGTTCTGATCACCGAGTCGGTCTGGAACTCCTGGTCGAACGTGTACACGCGCTCCTGTGTAGTAGGCGTCAAGGAGAAGTCTAAACCGCATGGTGCCCTGTCAATGGATGGCGCATCGTCCCGACGGGCTGCGTGGGCAAGGACCCTGTGCCCGAAGGCCAGACCCAATGGATGTGGCTCGCCTCCTGTTGCTTCGACTCTTTTATACGAGCTTTCTTTTCGTTCTGCCATGGATATCTATCTACGTGGCGGGCTGAGGTGGGTGCGTGTTGGTCAGGGCATTCTGGCTACAGCCGTGGATGGATCGCATTTGCGGGCCGGGTGGTCGAGGCGCATTGCATTGTTTCTCGATGGCTTCCATTGATGCTTCCTGCCCCCTTTCCTGCCCCTTTCCTTCCTCCCAGCCGCGGGTTCTTTTCAGCACCCTGGTTTACCCCCTGCCCTGTGGTTCGTGGAAGGATTGTGGGAAGGTAACCCAAGGCTGCCCTTTTCCGTTGCACATCTCATCAGCATCGTCATCGCCAGTGATCTATCCCCCTTTTGTCGTGACTACAGCACAGGAGCAAGTGGGCATGCACGCCGGGTAATTCTTTCTCTCTCGGTCCAGCACATATTCCCCCACTCTCGCGCGTACCGCACCCCTCTCACCACAGTCGCTTCGTCACAGTCGAAAGACGGTCGGGTGGCTTTTTATACAGGCCACACGTGCGGGCCGCTTCTTTCTTCAAGCCTCCCTTGACGTGATTATCGGGCCCAGCTGGAGCATGCAGAGCTGCCAACCGCCGTATCGTGCTTCCTCCCTACTCAACATAGGGCGTATATGTATGCAGACCTCGGAGTTTCGTACCCGGATGAGGTAGCTTCTACTGGTTCCACGAGGAGGTTGTTCATGCGGTCTCTGTATGACGCAGGCAAATAGAATGAGGGGCCTTTCACGAAGCCCCGTCCTGCGCAGATAGCTGGCTAGCCTCCTGTTCTCGCCCCCCGGCTTGGGTTGGGTTGTCATTGGGCTGAAAGATTATACTACTTTTATATATGCCTATGTTTGACGACGAAGATGCTCGGAATCGGGCTGTGGTGGTGTGCGGATAAGCAGGGCGGCCAATGAGTGCTACAGGTGCCTATTCGTACTGCATAAAAATTGGTTTTGCGGGTAGTTGGGGGTTGGGGGTTCGGGGTTGGGGGCTGCTGGCCAAGGGGTGATGGAGGGGCGGGTATTCGGGTTGTGTATGTGTGTGTATGGGTGTGTCTGAGGTATCGTTCGGATCATGCCCGTCATCCACCACCCTTCTTTCTTCTTTCTCTTCCTCAACACCCTCCGGGCCTACCAACCCAGCCGCCGCTGCCGCTGCCGATCCGCATCGCGCGACCCGTCACCGCCGGCAGGCAAGAAAAAGAAAAAAAGTTCTCATTTTGCCTCGGAGGCGTTCGGGCAACGTGTCTCGACAGACGCCCATGGCGGTTTTTTTCTACCGGTTTACCGTTTGGGCGACGGATCGAGCTGTAAGGTCCCTCCCTCTCCGAATGTCCACGACTCGGGGAAAAAATGGCGTTTTTTATGCATCTCTCAAAACCCTGGATATCCCAACGCCATTTGCTGGCAACGTCGAGGAAGCATGGTAGTGATTCTCGTGGACGCGTGTGCACATTACATTGATGCTTCCAGAAATATCAGGAAGGGCGCATTTGTCCAGGCGCATCGGAAGCTGATTTGTTCTACCTTTTCGTAGACTTCACGTACGTGGATAAGGGGAAGCCTTCCATTCAGCCCTGATCAGGCCACAGTACAGAGGAAATCTGACTTGCTCGGACCTCCTGGGATCTTGCTTGTATCAAGAGCTCAGATGTGTTTTGAAGGGTGATACCAGATGGTCCGATGATGACGGCGGGGGGCGGCCCATGCGGTAGGCTTTAGACTCCGTCCGGAGGTTTCGACGGGGGGTGGTTCAAAGTTGATAAAGGCATCTGATTGAACGCCGCTTCTCTTGCAGTTGAATGCTGTGTCACTTGGAAATTTCATCATCTTCACGAATTCGTATCCAGGCAGTCCGAGCTGTTTACCATCACACATGGTATGATATCTCTGCGAAGTCAAACTCAGTTACGCGGTCAACGTTGTTACCAAGAGGAATTGTATCCCAATCTACGAGCGCTACCAAGTCAAAGGCATTGTTGGGAAGCTTGTAGGGAGTCAAGGTCAGAGATATCCACCGAGATATGAAGTCCTGCCTGGTGGTCAGCCACTGAGACACATTCCTATTCAGAATATAATCACACTGAGACAGGATGGCGCGGGCTCTTCATTGGCCAAACTCATCGATTTGTTCTATTTCTATCGTTATGCCTTCCATCAGCACTCCATTTCATCGACAATGCCTCGTATCCGCAAGTGATGCCTCCTCGGCACAACCTCTACATGGTCTTGAGTTGAGTCCACATGTGAGCTACTGATAACGTGCAAGCACTGTTCCTCTCACGGCCTCCACAGGGGAAAAGTTGGAGAAGTGAGAGGGGACCGACTGCGCGAATGGCACAGCATCTTCGGGTGCCGACTTCTGAAGCACGCCCCAGGGACCTCACAAAATTCTTGTTGACGCCGTAGCACCTGACTAGGGAATGGTGGCCAGAGAGCTAGAGACATCGACATGCACGCAGCCGCATCGCGACTTTCCATGAACGAGCCAGCCGAGGCGAGACCTGGCGTGAGCTGGTCACAGGTCAGATAAGCTGAAGTAGCTGAGCCGGAGCGTTGGGGGGGGCCAGACAACAGCCCAACCCGCTTCCTGAGCATTGGGGATTCGGATGGGTCAACCCGATCGGGGAGAGAGAAAGTTTACGTTGGCATCATTTTTGGTGGTGAGTTCTGGTGGCGACCCACCTAGACAGGTCAATAGCTGCTCAACTCAGCTCAACATCGAGCGTACTGAATTGAAGGTTTGATGTCACAGAACAAAGTGATTCCCTTTGGGTCTCAAAATTCATCAAGGGGAGCAAAGCTGGCATGTCAGGCAGGTATCTTCTGGCTCATAACGCATGGCAAGGTACAAGTCCACCCAGAACCGACCATCCGATCAGCTTCCCCAGATAGTCGGACCGAGATCTGAAAGACGGGTGTAGCCGTGTCGAGAAAGAAATTAGCACTTTCCTCCTCGTCTCATCTATCCGACGCAGCTTGCGGACTGCGGTCCAACGACGTCTGCAGAAGGGCCGGGGACTCCAGGACCAGCAGTGTCGGGCACCTGTATCGTGTGTTTGCAACATGCATGATTGTTCACCGCACAGCCCACGCTTCCCCAGTCCCCGTGACTGTTGCGGCGAATATGTAAAGCATAACTGACAGTGTGGAGATCTTCGGGCTCCCGTTTTCAACGGGGTGGCCGACAAATCGGATTCCCTGCCTTGTATGCCAGCTTCCAGGGGGAAAAGTAGATCGGTCATATTTTCGCTTGCGGGAGAAGCAGACGATGGGAGCATGCCAGGAGGTCTCAGTGACAGAATGTGATAGAATTTTTGGGGATACCCAGGGGCTCCCGGTCTTGACTGCACCATGCTCACTGCTGCAGACGCCAATATGTGCCGCGGATGCAGACGACGATAAACACAGATCTCTGGATGGTCGAGGTGGGACGTAGGTATGTGGTCTAGCTGCTCCAGCTTCCGCAGACAGTTGCACTGTGCAAACTTGGCGCGGGTACATCAAAGCTACTTTTAGTTGAAAATGCAGAGTCTTCGATCATCTTCGTACCTGCCTTGACATTTAGAGCGAGCTGTCATTGGCACTCGGTGGTTATCCGATCCGATCGATTACCAATTACCACCCACACAATCCCACCTTCCAAGTCTCAGGGTAACACTATTTTCTCTCTGGGCCAGCAAGCATCAAATGTGCAGTTTTTTCTCTCTTGATATCGGAACGGTCAATCTCTCTGTTCAACACCTTTCCTACCTGGCCATCCGTTTTGAGATGGGGGGATGGCGACTTCAATCTGCAGCCGGGGGCTCATGTTTGCACAGTGGACAAGAAAAGGAATTAATACGGAGTCTAGCGTCTGATGTATACGATAGGTATTCAAGAAAAAATCAAACAGACTTGTTCGTTTGTACCAGGTAACTATTCAGGTCAGATATCATCATTCTACAAGACCCAATGGTGCAATTGCACAACCTGCCGCTGACACCAGCACTGGCCAGCAGCACAAACACCGGCCTCTTCCATATCCATAAGTTGTACAAGGGACAAGAATGCTCACCATTTATGCGTTGTCCCCAGCCCACTTCTCCTCTTTGAGATGGCTGCATCACGTTGTGCGAAAACTCGATTGCTTCGCTAAATCCAAGTACACAATGACACATTTTGAGCCAAGAATCAAGCAAACCACCTTGTCAGAGGCGATTGCGCATCGAGACGCAAAGATTTTCGACTCTGCTTTTGATTCGTTTGCCCTCAGACAGTGAGTGAGGGTGGGGGAGAGAGACTTTTTGACTTTTCGAGTGAGGTGTCACTTTACCCCTGGACATCTTGATTTTACTCTCCTTTCACTCTCCACAGTCAATCTCAGTCGAAAGCTATAGGTTAGTAGCACAAATGGTCCACTCGTCGGCAGGCAAGTCGACACTTGCCAAATGCAGCATCAAAAAACAGAGGTACTCAACGAGATACTTTCCCGGTACTTGTGTCGGACTAGGCAGTTTTCTTGGAGGTGGCCGTCTCCATGTTGGACCAGCCTCGACGTTGAAAAGCTGGTACAGCATCTTATCACAGTGCCATGTACTCATGATTGATGTGGCCCGTGGCCGTTGCCCCTTTGGCCTGCCATCTGATGCCAAATGGGTACATGTAGCTACGAAAAGATGCCCATCCCTACATCAGGTGGCTTTTTCCGATGCATGTACCCGACATGTCCATCATTAGCCTCGCGCTAAATCAAAGGCAACTCGAATCTTTCTGGAGGTACTTCATGCTCCGCTGTCAAAAACTAGACGTGTAGGACCAGAGAGAGAACCACAAGACAGGGCGACGGGCCAAGGTCAAGACCGTGGTAGCACATCATGTCAAGGGAAATATCCCTGGGGGAACCAGGCCTGTCCATGTCGTGTGTGCCCACCCTTCAGCGTTTCTGGCGCCGCCGTCATCGCAAAGGACTGCCAGCGACCCATCATACAGCTGACAGAAATGGATGCAAACAGATGGCCCAATACACACAGGGTACGTGGGGGAACTAACCGACCTTATACCTATCGAACGAGAAACGGACAGCACGAGGTGATACACAAGTCTTTATAACATCATGACACTTGCATGTCCACCCCTTCTCTCCCCCCCTTTTTTCCTCTCCTCGCCTGACTTTCTTCCTCTTCACCCGTCTAGTGTCTTATCTTGTCTCGCTCGATTTCTTTCTTTGCTCCTGATAGTGAAACTGGACCTTGTGCCAAGCTCAACATTTCACAGATCATATCATACATCCCTATTCTGCCCCTTGTGTCTTTTGGGTCTCTTCTGTTTCATCATCTCCGCTCATCGAGAGGGAGACAAAGGCCATACAACCAAGCCAGCTTTCCGCTCACTCTGCACGTCCAAGACAGTCTGACGAAATCAACCTGAGGACACCAATCGATTGTCAACCACTGGATCGGACGTAGATTACGCTGGGGGAAGGTTTTGTTTTTGATTCAGACCAATTCCAGAAGTTGGGACCGGAAAGGTTTGTGTACCATGTCTCACTCCTATCCTACCTCTGATCATTCATCTCCCCACTATTCCACTTCTCGGCCGAGGGGACATGTGCTTTTCGTTGTCCTGTGCTTCCACGGCGAGCGCTTTGATCGGTCCAGCGTTGCTCATGTGCGTCAATTCCAGGTCTTTGGCGTCCGCCCCCCGCTCCCCCATCTATCAAACCAGTACAGCAGGGGAGACCAATCCTGGGAGACTTCAGCTTTGGGCCCGGGTTTTGCTGTCTTGGTTCCTGCCCATAACTCAGCCCCGACTCTCGACTCCAGGGGGACTGTTTTTTTGTTTTCCATTCTCGGTGAGAGGTGTTCGAGGCGAGTCGCAGCCTATCAGGGCATCCACGGCGGCCGATTTGTATCCTAGGGCCAGGTTCCAGTCAGCTTCATTCTGGATCGATCGGGATTTCGAGTTGCGGTGTTAAGTGACCGGACAATTTACACCCTCTGCACACAACGCTGCTGTACCCCCCCCCCCCCTCCCCCACCCACCATCACCAGACACACGCTCAACCTGTCAGCTATTCTACGTCTCGATAATAATAACCACACTCGCAAGCCACAGCAGACGACAGAGACAGACAAGTCTAAACAACAGCCAGACTTTGAGACTCACTCTCTAAAACCAAGGACGAAGGCGAGAAACCGGAAAATTCAAATGGTGTCCCAGACCCAGTCCCAGTGTTATACCCCTTCCTCTTCGTCGTCTTCATCGTCGTCTTCGTCGTCCTCGGGTTCTACGACATCCGACACTCACACCACACTCATCGGCGGCGGCGGACTCGTCCCAGGACTCGGTGGACTCGGCCTACCTCCACGACTCGGCAGCCGATCGAGTTACAACAACACTAGCCGACCGTATCCAGCTGTATATTATTCATCTCCCACTAGTTTGCCGTCTCTGGACTCTGATAGACACCACCACCGTCACCCCGGGCACGGCTACCAGCTTCCTTCACACCCTCTTCACGACGGCCACTCGCGTGGACACCTGAGTATGTCTGATCAAGGAGGGCACGGAGGTATGGATGGGTCAGACTCCACACCACAAAGAAAAAGGATCGCTGTTGCTGTACGTCCATACCTTACCTATTCTTTTCATGAGTCTACCCACCAACCAGCTCGGTTACCTTATGCTGACACTGAATTCCTACCTGGCTTAGTGTGGAAGGTGTAGAAAGCGAAAGATCAGATGCAGTGGTGACCCGGGGCAAGGGCAGCCATGCTCGAACTGCAAGAATGCCAATGCCGAGCCGTGTCAATTTCTAAGGGTGAGCTTCACTACTTTTGTCATCACTTTCAGGTTGTCTAACAAGCGCCAGGTTCAATCAAGAGAAGCCCCTTTCATCCGAAGTGAGCCGGTTGGCGATAGCCCTTTTGGCTACAATGTTGGTGATGCCAGACTATACCACGCTTCCCGCGCGCCCACGTATCATGCCTCTCCCAGTCCGCACGCAACAGCCTACGCTTCCGACCTTTTATCCACCACTGGGCATCATATGGGACATGGCAGCACTACCGACATTACAGGTATCTCATCGTACAGAGGCAGCACTCATGGCGGCGGCTACTCATACGTCCCGGTCAAACCAGCGTATTACACGGCCGCATACAGCTCCTCGCCACACGGCCTAACGTACGGGGTCCACTCTGATGTGGACAACTTTGGGGGTTATGGTTTGCCGGTCCCCACCGGAGAAGCCCATCACGATGCCCCCAGCGGCATCCCGGTCATGTCCATGCCTGGGGCCCCAGCTTGGCCATCTAGCAGGAGCATGAAATCCCCGAGCGGGTACGGCAGCATGTATCTGGATCCAGAAGTAACCGCATCCCCAACCACCTACACAACCCCCCCACCATCGGCCTACTCAGCAGTCCGGGGCCACTCAGCCGCCGGGGACGGGCCGAATTTCTCCTTCACAAACATGTCAGCTTCGTTGCCGTCGTCTCAGTCGGATCGTGTGCTTCCTGTTCCTTCTTCCACCGCCGCCACCACCACCACGACCAGTCACCGCTCCTCCACCTACCCACCTCTCTCAGGGGCCAACAAACCCCCAACGGCCACAGACTCGAGCTACGACAGCTACGGCTCCTCTCGCACCGAGTCCAGCGGCCCAGAAAGTATCTTTAGCGACTCGGAACGCGCTGCAGCGTTCTCGAACAGCCAGGGGCCAGCAGCCTTTGACATGAGCCCGTACGGCACCAGCTCCGGGTCGACCGACGCTTCTGGCCGAAGGGACTCTGCATACGCCGCGGCGGGGGCTGGACACGAGACTGGCGGTGGGCATGACGGGCCGTCGCTGCCTTCCCTGTCGTCTGCGTATGAGAGGCATCATGCTGCTGTTGCCACCCGGCACTAGTCTCGGGCTTTGTGTAGAGTGATGTTTGGTTGGTTGGAGGCACCTACCTACCTGGTAATCAATCCCAGGTGGCAACACACACACAAGACGTGCGTGTGGGTCAAGGCCCAAATATGGGGGTGGCTGGCTGGCTGAGCATGGAAAATAGAACAGTGCGTTGAGGTGTGGATGGGCACTGGCCGAAGTCGACAACACCAACAATTGTGCGAGTCGAGGTTGGGGGTTACACAGCTGAAGAGGAGGGAAGGTCTATCTTGAGCGCCCTCCTACTCCGCACCCACCCACCTATCTACATGGAACAGAGAGAGACAGCAGCACCAACAAACCTGACAACTCGATGCGAAGCAGCCACCCGTCGTCGTTCTTGCTTTCCTTTTTTTCTCTCTTCCCTCTCTAATCAAAAATGTCACGATCTTGCTGTCAAAGCAACAGGCAAAGATCCCAGTGAGCGATTGATTTTTTAGTTGTATTTCTTTTCCCTCGTTTTTGCATGGTTGTCTCTGTTTTCGTTTTTCACTTTTGATTTTTTTGCTCCTTCTGGTCTAGGTATCTCAATGTTGACCGCTCAAAACCTTGAAAGAAAAAGCATTGGCACTCTTTTTTCCTTCTCTTTCTTTGGTTGTGTACCGCTATCAACATCAAAAGATTCCCCCAAAGTCGCAATTTACTGTCACAAGAAATACAGAGAAGGAGAGATGCAAGAGGAAAAGCCGGAGAGGCTGGGACGGAGAGACAGACAGAGACAGTCTGTGAAGGAGAAACCAAAATACATGTACATGTCTGAAAACCCATCACTTCTCTCTTTTGTTTCTTTTCTCGTGTTGCCGCTGCCGCTGCTGTTGTTGTCGTTGTTATTGTCACACGCTCTCGAGCTCGGTTGCAGAAGCGCATGCTGCTTTGCTCTTTTGGTCATTTATCGCGGGCATTTGGCGAGTGCGGAGGTTTTAATCTATCTTGTACTCCCTCATCCCTCGACAGCTCGACCGATGGCCAACCAAGGCTGGGTGGGGGCAGAGAGAAATGGGCCTAGGCTCGGAACACGACAGCTCACCTACATGGTTCCCAATAGTGTCATGTATCTTTTCAACATGGGTAGGGGAATGGTGCATTCTGTCCGCGGACCATATAGGTTGAAGAGTTTCTGAGATTGTCGTGGGAGGTAGAGTGGAAGGGGGGATACAAGGAGGTACATGGCACAGAGACAACGCACACAAGTCAAAGAGAGAGAAAAGATGAAGTCTAATCTAATAGTCACTCACAACAAGTGATAAGAACAGAAAAATAAATGAAGTAAACACCATGCCTCGTCGTGTTGGCCTTGTGAGCTGAAACCCCCACACACCAAGGCATATCATTGATGTTGAATGTTGTGTTGTGGCTTGCGCTCCTTTCCAGTCCAGCACATCACCAGCCTCAGGGACAGATGTGGCGCAATATGCATGGAAGAACCAACCTCTCCGAAACATGCAGGGAAAAGCGAGACACGAAGAATTCCATCCCTTGCATTGAACACACCACTTAAAAGAATAAATATCCTTTAAATCCCCGTTGCCAAAAAAGTTCCTTCCATTTTTATATCCTGCCATGATGTTGCCCTTTACCGAAACCCAGTCCAAAAACCCAGAGACAGAGAAGAGCAATGCCTCAAAGTTGACTCCCCGATACCAAAAAAGAGTTCAAAACGGATGGGTCGTGATTCTTACAGGTAGCTGTATGACAATGTATGTGTGCCTGCTTGTTTTGCTTGCTGATGAACCAAGAGACAAAAAAGACAGAAAAGTCGACTCCCAACACCTAGCTGAATGCAAACAGTGACAAAGCAAAGAAAAAGAAAAGAAATCCCAAATATGCTTCGACCTAGACTGCATCTCATCCCTCCTTCGCATTACTCTGGTTCGATGTCGGTGGCATGTCAGGAGTGGAGGGCGTGGCGTCAGACCGACCAACCTTGTCCTGGAGCCCTACTGCAGGAACCCTCGTGAAAGGGGAATTGAGTTTGGGTCGTCGCCCGCGTCGCCATTTAAGCGTCGGGCGCGCTCCGTCTTCTCCTTCCACTCCGGAGTTCCCGCTCGGTATCCATGAGTCGGCTCTGGACCCACGTCCGAAACGCGCGATCGCCTCTCACCGCCTCACAGTTGAGCAGCTCCGTCAGCACCCTCTTGATGCCCTCGTTGACGTCACACAGTTTGGCCTCCTCCTGGGCGACTTCCCCCAGGCAGCCCGACGACCCAGATCTCTTCATCATAATGGTCGGGATGGACGAGCTGCGGAACTGGTGACGCGAGGACGACACGGCCGGGGCGGGAATGATGCCGGTAGGCGAGAGTGATGACGTAGTGGTGGAGGGCGAGGAGAAAAAGGAAGCCGACTGGGGCGATCGGAGCTCATCGAGGTGCTGACGGAGTGACTCGTGCTGCTCGTGCAGGAGATAGTACTTTTGCAGCGCCAGGTCGCGGTCGTGGTGGTGCATCATGGTCGGCACTGGAGAGGAGCGCAGATCAAACATGGTGGCACGGGCGGTGCTGTAGGAAGACGAGTTGGCGGTGGCGTTCATGATGATGATACGGATATTGGAGAGGCTGAGATGTGTTGGGAAAACAACACGGCTGAAGATGGAGATGGAGATTCGATCAATGCGTAGCGTGCTGCATTCGAAGGGGGTGCTGGTGCAAACGGCGGGACCATTGGAGGAGTTCTCGGACGTGCTATGTGTGTGTCGTTATTTGATGGCGAAGGACGGGATGGAGGAGAGCAACAGAAAGAGTCGGCGGCGGTGGTGTATAACAGTTGTATATGGCGTGCGTGTGATTCAGGAATGAAATTGCGGTCGGCGAGACGCTGCTCCGCGCGAGAGTGCCTTATCTCTGGGTGGCTTCTCGTGCCCCTGGTCCCCTGCTCGGACGCTGTGCCCTGGCTCTCGGAAGAGCTGAAAAAGGTGGAAATGGGAGGGCGCTTCCTCTTATGACGATGACGACTGATAGAAAACAAGTGTCGACAAGGTAAGGTATCAGATTATTTGACAGGTCCTGTTAAGTGGTTGAGGCGTGCGGCTCTGTTCGTGGCGGGCGTGCGTGTCGGGGTGCTGCTGGGTGGTGCCCTGAGATGTGGGCAAGCTCCGTTATTTGAGTTTGTGGTGATCGTCGAGCTTGTCGTCACTACTGCTTCCGACACAAAGGAAGATCCCTGCGTCAACTGTCTGTGGAACGGGCCTAGACACAGTGTGCTGTGGGTTGTGTGGGCGGGGTGGAGCTGTCAGAGCTCCCCTCTCACCTCACCCCTTTCCGGCCCCGCAGGTAAAATGCCTGCTGTTTTAATTTGGAGACTGAGATGACGGTACGACTTGCAAAAGATTACGAACATAAAAAAAAGAGAATGAATGGCAAACAGATCCTGCCTGCTCACGGCATTTGCAATATCATATCAGAAAACCCAACATCGGGCAGCTGCAGAAGAATGAAAGGTGGAGAAGATAAGGGCCACCCGCAGGCGAGACAATTAAGGTAGAGATATCTGAAGACAGCATCCGCTGGGACGGACAGTGCGAGTGTGTTGTCGACCCCTCTATTGTGTCGTGTCAGTCCGTCCCATCGAGGGCTTCTTTTTATTTTATTTCACCGCTCCGGGCCATTGTTCCTTGCTTCGCGCCGATAGACTTTTTGGTCTGCAGCTCAGCCCCATCACCAATGAGCCAAGCTGATTCGAAAACATGGTCTTGTGCCAAGCTTGCAAAGGAGCCCAAAGCTTCAAAACAGACCGCTGGCTAGGCCTCGAATTGCATCTGCAGTGGGGTAACGAATACTACCGTGGTACATTCTCAAAGTACCCGTGGCCCGATCCTCATCGCGCAACTTACGTACAACCCTCGGAAGCTAACGCCACATGATATCGGCATCTGCAACGAAACATCCCGACACTGCGGGTGAGACAGCAACAGAAGACAGTCAGTGCCTGTTGATCATTACCATAATGCAGCCATACGTGCCATACCTATTATACATGATAGTATCTACACTACATGTGTATCCCAATATCCCATTATCCCATCATCTCATCACTTGTGAAAGAGGCCATCTGCTATCCGCTTCCTTGCCCTGGCCAAACCCTGAGTGCTGGCGCTATCCAGCTGCTGCGAGCTCGCAATTCTCTGCGGAATCGACGCCTTCTCCCGCAGAAGGCCGAGAGAAGAAGCCGGTACACTCATACCTCGCTTGCTCAAGCCAACCCGCCTTGCTGCTGACGTCGGCCTCCTCTTCTTGACCCAGCCGTCACCATCGGGCCAGTCAGAGTCCTGCGAATCCTTATATGTCTCGTCAATGTCGTCCTCTGCGTAGTTTTCTTCCAACGCAGGCTCGGGACTGCTAAGTAGTGATATCACCTGTGACCCCTTCGGGACTTGAAACTGAGCCGAAGTGCGCGCGCTTCTACGTCGGCAGGTCTCGGTATGGGACGACACAGGTTCCATCTTGATCTTTGCCATGGAGCTTTGCTTGAGGTGCTGTGACTTCCTAGGCGACGGCTTCTCAATGGGCTTCACCATGAGCCTCCGTGCAAGTGTGGATGGGCCTCTGCGGACGTTGGGAATATCCGAGTCTGAGCTCGAATCCCCATCATCAGAATCTGATTTGCCAGAGTCGTTAGAGTCTTCAGACTCGTCCTCCATGTCATCCAGCCGCCGCATGGCTTCCTCATATTCAGCATCTGCCGTTGTCTTTGACATGCGCGACTTCCCTGGTGGAATGACGTCAACCTGGACCGGGTCCCGGGCCGGCACACCCGAACTGTTATTGGTCGAAGGCTGAGTGCAGAGCTCGCTCACCGATGGCAGGGATTCGTCTGATGACGAAGACTCGGAAACTGCCCATGCAAGGCGAGAAGGACGAGGCGTTGGAACATTGTCCTCCTCTTCTGCCTGCTCATCCTCTGATTGCTCATCCTCCTCATGGCTTTCGACCTCGCTGGGTTCATCTTCCATGGCATAACGAGGCGAGCTGCGGAGTGCATCTCGGTTGGCAGAGTCATCCTCGAGTGCATTAAGCGAAGAGTCGGCCAGATCGATGCTCAAGTCCGGGTCAACTTGCCTCTCGCTCTGGATGCTGCCAATCTCCGAGGGCGGTAGGGCTAGTTTGGGGGACTCAACCCGATGCTCAGACGGCGGCAGCGAGATGGCATCCGAGAACCCATTAAAAGGCTCCAGCAAAATCGGCCGCGAATCAACGCCGTTGGTTGTACCGCGTGAAGCACGGCGAGATCCCAAGTCGCTTTGAGGCTGCGAGGATTCAAATGGTCTCGGCAACGCATCATGCGACATACCCGTCAGCTGTCGTGAGGGCGAGTGGCTACTGCGGTTCGAGAGTGCGTCATTGGCAATGGATGGATCAACCTCCTTGCGGAAGCCAGCTTCGCTGATCAGCTGACTGATTTTGTGTGGCCTGTCTTCCGTCATGGATATATCTTCGACAGACATCACCTGAGCGGCCTGGGCCTCCTGATCTTCACTGGAGCCATTGGGGTCACAAGATTCGGGGATGACGCTTTCCTCAAGAGTCTGAGTGTTGATATCCATCTGTGATGTCTCGTCAGTAGATTGTTCCGGTGCTTCATGCCCGAGGGTTGCCGATGTTTGAGCGCTCGTGGTCTTTTCGAGGTTGTTGGCGGTATGGGACGGTGATGGCTCCTCCACCAAAGGCGTACCTGGAACTATTTGAGAGGGATACTGCAGGACGCGGGGCTCCATCATTTCAGATAAATCCAGGGTCCGGTAACCCTCCTCCTCCTCCTCCTCATCTTCCTCATCCATGCCCGGAAGTTCAAACTTGTCGTAGACACGCTTGCCCTCGTCATCGTAAACCTTTTCGTTTCGGTCCAAGTACTGATCTCTTTTGGCAAGCCGGACCCGAAGAACACCATGATCCTCCAGATTGATAATGATTCCCGTCAGGCGTGACACTTGGGGCGCCCAACTCGTCGCCTTGGACATCAAAAGTTGCTGCCAAGTAAGAATCATACCAGGCGCAGCACTTCCAGGCTGCAACAAGGGGAGAGTCGAAGGGTCTGCGGGAAGCGGTGGAAGGTCATCCTCTTCCTCCTCCTCACGAACCTCTGATACACTGCGCTCGGGTTGTTCCTGCGGCTCGTCATCGTAGTTCAGGGTAGTCTCGCCATATTCCGTGCTTGCCTTGTAGTAATATGACCCTCTGTCATCATAGCTATAGTCCCCAATGCCACCCACGTCTGACCTTCTCTTTTTCGTTTTCGACGTCTCTTCATCTTGAAGCTGATACTCGTCTTGACTACGCTGCTTCCTCTTCTTGCGGCCACCGTGTTGGTATTTCTGCTGGGGATCCCAACGTTGGACAAACGGGAATGGAGGCTCACTGAGCTCCACGCCCTCCTGGCAGCACTCGACAGCCCTATAATTGATCTTGGCTCGCCAGGCATCTGGATCCTCGTCCGCATCGCAGGCAGCGTCCTTATGGGGTGCCACAGGTGTTTCAGACAGCCGAGATGTTGCTTGAGCCGCTGGAGCCGCATCGTGAGCCGAAGCTGGCTGGCTGGGGGCATCGCCTTGAAACTCCTCCACAATCATTCCAGTCAAAGCTCCAATGCGCTCCAGCATCTGTGCCTTCTTCGCAGCGATAGTCTCAGTTACACTGGCAAGCTCGGTAGAGTCTGCCTCGGTCATGCCAGTACTCGGAGCCGTAGGAGCTAGCGCCGCTAATGCCTCAGCGCGAGCAGCAGCCTTTTTTGCCTGCGCCAGAGCCCTTCGTCGAGTGTTTCTTTTCCGAGTGGATGGCTTGCCTTCCCCAGGGCGAGGTGGACCCGCATCTTCACTTTGAACGGCCGGTGCTTCGGTGACTTGCAGGGTCCTAATGGGACTGGGCGCGATCTTTTTGGGTTCTGGGACAGCACGCTCTTGGTCAACAGAAGTGTCATCACCGCTTGAGGATTCGCCATCGCTGGAGGAATCATCATCGCTGGAGGAATCGATGTCGCTCGAGGAATCTTCACCGCTGGAAGCCGCCTCTTGGCTGGAACTTTCACAAGCCGAGCTGTCGTCGTCACTTGATTCACCGTTCGAATCATCGATTGAAGAGCCGTCAGAGTCCTCGTCGCTGGAGTCAGCTTCATCGGAATCACTTTTACCGCTTGAATCCTGGTCAGAATCAGGTGCACTGCTGTTTTGATCATCATCAGACTTGGGATCACCGGCAAGATCCACACCCTCATCACTACCGTCACTGGCGCCATCGCTGTCGGTATCATCGTGGTCCTCATTGTCGCTCTCACTATTGCTGCTGCCGTCGTCGTCATCGTCACTGTCGCTATGGCCATCACTGTCGTCGCCCCCAGATGGCTTGGTGTCGGCAGTGGTTTGGGCCTCCTCGTTATTCTCATCCTCGTCACTGCTCAGGTCGTCGTCGCCATCCGGGTTCGAGTCAGTGAGATCATGTTCTGAGGAGCCTGGTACAGGTGGGCAGACTTTCGAGGACGCCACTTCGGGTCCACTGTCACTTTCGCTGTCGCTAGTGCCTGATTCTTCAGAAGACGAGTGATGGCTAGCTTCATTGGCATCCTCTTCCAGGGCATCATTCTGGCCTTCATCATCATCATCCTCGAACTTGGTGTGCACAGGAAGGTTGACAGGTTCTCCTTTCTTGCGCATCTCCTCGACCATGTATCTAGAAGCAGTGCCATTAAGGATGGAACCGCTCGGGAATCCATGCTGATCGTAATGCTTGATCACGGACGCAACCGATTCAGCGTCGCTGTCGTCTTCCTCATTACTGTCCCTTGGTCGCTTGGTACCACGCTTTCGACCGTCGATGGGAGCCTCGACTTCCTTCGCCTTCCTTCGTGCATTGACGCCGCGCTCCTCACCGTATGTTATGCTGTTCCCGCCTTTCTCGGGTTCCATATCATTCTCCAGGTCCCTTAGTTCAGCCTCGAGATCGGACTCATCATCTTGAACATCTTCCTCGAGGTCTGCATCCTCGTCTGAATCTGAGTCCAACCCTTGTTCTTCCATGTCATCCTCATCGATGGGCTCCATATCCGACTCGTCCTCGTTCACATTCTGACCACCAAAATCGTTGTCTTCTACATCTTCGTCCGAGTCGGCGTCATATGGCGCACTGAACCTGACACTTCCGGCCCTGTGGGCTTTCTTCCGTCCCCGTTCGCCAGACTCGGTAATCATAAGCTGTTGAGCATCGTCGTCTTCTTCCTCGCCATGTGGATGGTAGGTAAGTCGTGGGCGTTTCAAGGGCGGTATATCCACTGCAGGTCTGCTGTAGGCAGCTCTTAGGCGAGGGCGGCCGAAAGGGATACCGTCGAGAAGATGACGGCCGTCATTGGTGATCTGATCGCGGCCGCTCAAGCGACGCTTCCTTCGATCATTTGTAACAAGTGGGCGAATGCTAAGAAAAAGTGGCACATGTTAGTTTGGATCGCTTCGTCGAGGACAAAGGCACGAGACGGAACAAACGTACTAAATCTCTTCATCATCTTTCAGTACATCGGCCACTTGCTGGAAGTGGAAGAAGTCAAAGGCGGTGCCCGTGTCCTTCTGTCTCAACTCGATGGTGTAGTCCTCCAAACCCCATTCGTTGCTCTCTAGGGGGATAATCTCGTTGACTTGTTCCAGTAAGTTTGCAATGGTCGGGTCATTCTCCGTCTTGCAGCTGAAGACGACTCGTACGTCAGGGAGGGCATGGCGGCGGACCACCAGTCGCAAACGCATGTTTCAGTTGAGTTGACTGGTATTGAACAGGTGGGATCTGGATGGTTGATGATGCGTAGAAAAGAAAATTCCGGGAAAAACTTCGTCGCGAGAAAAATAGACTGGAGCACGCAGAGAAGAACAGAAAGTAAAAATGAGCGACGGATTGACGGGATTGACGGATTGACGCGTGCGAAACTTTGGGACCAAAGCTGTCGCCAGGCTGTCGTGGGTGAACTGTGGAAAGTTGCCGCGTCTTGCAGCTTGCATCTTATCTTATCGATAGTGGGGTGGGTTTTTGCGCGGACTGCGATAACCCTGGTGCTAAGAACCATCAACTACGACATGGGCATCGTAACCCTGAGGGTGGCAGACCGAGTACCCCTGAGGGTGTCGAGCTTCAACATTCACGATGCCAATGCCAAAAGTCTACCCATTTTCTGCGGTCGCTAATCCAGGTATCTACTTTGCGAATATACAGATATACACGTGCTTCTTCTCCGAGCTTGCCACAATCCAATCGTCAACCATTTCCTCGAGTAGGATTACCTCGGCAACGCGCCTGGGTCTAACAGATGCCCCATCTTTTCGATCTGCGGGTGCCTCGCGGTTAGCATTTGCCATGGCGCAGCGTAGAAGCACAGAATATCTCACCTTTGTCTTCAGATATCCTTCCACCTCGGGCGCCCTGAAGCCGCCCTTGCCCTTCCACGACAGAGGCACCATGGCCACACGCTCCTTCACCACCACCTCCCTGTTTGGCCCCTCCACGGCGCGAATCTTGTCTGGGTTGTTGGTCAAGAGACGCACTTCTTTCTGACCGAGGTCAAGCAGCATGGCTGTTGCAAGGCCGTAGCTCCGCGCATCAGCGGGATGTCTCAAGAGCAGGTTTGCCTCGACTGTGTCCGACCCCAAATCCTGCAGATTGTAAGCCTTGAGCTTCTCACCCAGCCCGATGCCGCGACCCTCCTGCCGCAGATAGATGATGATGCCTCCTGCTTTGTTTGAAGGCAGAGACATGAGCCGCGCAGCCTCGTCGAGCTGCTCGCCACAGTCACAGCGCGCAGACCAAACGGTTTCGCCTGTGTAACACTCGCTGTGTATCCTGACCAGAGGTGGTTGGCTCTTGTCAGCCTCTTCTGGTTCTTGTCTCTCTGTTGCCGAGCCATCAGCCTTTTCCAGGCTTGTCGTTCTCCCTGGGTACAGTCTGCCCGTGTAGGCGCCCCGCACAAGGCGATCCATCTCGGTCTCGCCCTCGCGTACGGCATCGAGTGACTTGCTGCGGATCGTGTTTCCAAACACGATGGCCAAATGTTCCTTGTTGTCCACATTGTTGGTGTAGAGGTGGAGAAACATCTCGGCGCCTGTGGTGGTCGGGATACGCGCGCGGACGATGCATTCTACCTGAGGGAGTTGCTCGAGGAGTCGTGGGTGTTTGGATCCACAACCGCCGGAGGGAACCGAACTGTCGACTGGGACGCCGCGCGGTTCTGAGAGCAATAGGCTGGACGGAGTAGCGGTCCCTGGGGTGGCGGGAGGTGTGAAGGCTGGCGACAGCAGCGAACTGGGCGGCGGCGCATTTGATGGTGTCCCTGCGCCATCATTGCGGTCGCCGTTGCTGTCATTATCATTACTGCTGCTGTCTCCGTCCTTGGGCGTGGGCGGTGATGTGGCAGAAGTGCCGACTGCGGGGTCGGAAGAAAAGGAGAAGTCGGGGTGCGACACATCGGCATCACCTTGCGACGAATGCTGGGCGTCTGTTGGGGGAGAGTAGAAGGAGGGCAACTGGCTGGTCGTCCTCTCGGCGTGGTGTTGCCATTCGTCTGGCTGCTGGCCGGGCATTGCGACGGGACTGGAATGGGATGGAGGGGCTGGCACGCGCGTGTGGCTGTCGGTGGCCGGTGACGGGTGGTGCAAGGCAACGCAAGGCAACACAAGGCTATCCGCAATCACAGGCTCGGGCCGTCGGTTCCAGGGCACGTCTGGGTCGGTCTGTAGGTAGGGTAAAGAAGGTTGCAAGGGGGTCAATGGCGGTCAATGGCGCAATGAATGGAGAGAATCAATCAGTCAACACAAGACTCGAGCCCTTTTTGCTAGTTTCAAAAGATGACAGCTTCAACCGGGCCGGCGGGCGATTCCAAAGCGATTCACGGCCATTGGGGAAGCATTAGTCATGTGCTGCCCGCATCGCCTCGGTGCTTTGGAGTTCGGCAGGCGGCGAGACAACTTCCCAATACTTTGCGGGGTTCGGCCCCACTCCTCTCCATCTCTCTTCAAACTTGACAGTTGACACTGCCACTGGATTTTTGGCGACAGCGACAATTCATTGTTGTCTATTTCGTACCTGGGTAACCTGGATATGGTGAGCTTGCAGAAAGACCCCTTTCAAAATACAATATCACCGATTATTAAACATTGCATTTGTACAGATGGCATATTCATCATCAACTTACAACCGAGCATCTCCGATGGGTGATTGATTGATAAGCTTTGTCTTATCACGATCCTGTTCATCATCTTCCATCCAGTCACACAAGTCAACTCAGGCCAACAGGATGCAGGAACACATCTTGGCTTCCCCGGCTGGGGCCAACTGTTCTCCAAAATTAGCATGCTAAAGGCTGATGCAAAACGACCATTTCGATGCCAGCACTCACACGCAGCGGAGGCCGACATGTATTCTTCCGAGATGTCGTCAGTTCGGTTCAAGTGCGGCTCTTCAGTGCCCAGACAAGGCACTATATTGCGCCAGGCACCACGAGGTAGCGCGTGGCATGTCGAGAGCTCGAGAAAGGTCCAGCGAGGCCCTCATCAACCCTCTCGAGCATCTCGTCCGGGCTGGGCTCCCGATCCAATATATCTGCGTGTCCTTGGAAAGAGGTTCCCTTGACCGCTGGGAAATTGGCCAATGCAGCTTGAGGTCTTGTCGCTACCGTGAGCCCACATGGGCAACACCGTCTCCCATCACGCAATGTTTCTGTGTTTCCTCTTTGGGAAGTGGAGGAAACGGATCTTCGGGAGGGCAACCGGGAGCCGCACCCCAGGCCAAGACCTTAGCCTACCAGCGCGATGTGTCGTTCCGAGTGGGCCATCGCCCACTCTGTCCATGGTGCCGGCACGACGTCTCCTTCGACGCCGGGACACCCGTCGACATCCTGGCCGTTGCAACTTGGCTAACGGAGGCAGTGGGCTGTCATGGCGAACCGATTCGGAAGGGAAACCTGGGGGAGCGAGCCAGGTGAACTGGTATAAGAGGCATCCGACGACGACCTCGAGATGGGAGAGTCTTTCTTGCTTCTTCAGCCAGCCTCTCCAGCTCTGTCTCCCACTCCATCCAGCCTTCTTCTTGGACCTACCATCACCATGCGTGCCGACGTCTTGATTGCCGCTCTGGCCACCGGCGCCCTCGTGGCTGCCGTCCCTACCTCCCCCAAGAAGCCCACCCCTCCCAAGGGCGACGTCTCCAACCCCTTCGTTGGCAAGACCCAGTTCGTCAACCCCGAGTGGTCCAACAAGCTCACTCAGACCTACAAGAGCTTCCTCAAGAAGGGCGATGTCAAGAACGCTTTCCGCACCCTTCAGGCCCAGAAGGTCAGCACCTTCGTCTGGGTCTCCCGTCTCTCTGAGCTCTCCCGAATCGACGAGGCCATCGCCACCGCCCGCCGTGTCCAGAAGACGACCGGCAAGAAGCAGATCGTCGGTCTCGTCCTTTACAACCTCCCCGACAGAGATTGCTCCGCTGGCGAGTCCGCCGGTGAGCTCCTGAGCGGCGAGAACGGCTTTGAGCGCTACAAGGAGGAGTTCGTCAAGCCCTACGCCCAAAAGGTCGCCGCCGCCAAGGACCTCGAGTTCGCCATTGTCCTCGAGCCCGATTCGCTCGGAAACCTGGTCACCAACCTCAACATCCCCCTCTGCGCCGGTGCCGTTGACACCTACCGTGATGGCATCGCCCATGCCATCACCCAGCTCCAGCAGGACCACGTCCACCTCTACATTGACGCTGCCCACGGTGGCTGGCTCGGGTGGAACGACAACCTTCCCCTCGCTGCCGATGAGTTCGCCGAGGTCTTGAAGAGAGCCGACGAGGCTTCCGGCAAGAAGAACAAGATTCGTGGTTTCGCCACCAACGTCTCCAACTACAACCCCCTTCACGCCGTCGTCCGTGAGAACTACACCGAGTGGAGCAACAGCTGGGATGAGAGCCACTATGCCTCCAGCCTGGCCCCCCATCTCGAGGAGCGCGGCCTTCCTGCTCACTTCATTGTTGACCAGGGCCGTGTCGCCAACCCCGGTGCCCGCAAGGAGTGGTATGTTTCCCCTGGCATTTCTTTCGATGGACCTCAAGCTAACATTTTACGTGTAATAGGGGTGAGTGGTGCAACGTTGCCCCCTCCGGATTCGGACCCGCTCCCTCCACCAACACCAACAACACCGTCGTTGACGCCATTGTCTGGATCAAGCCCGGCGGTGAGTCTGATGGCGAGTGCGGCTACTTCAACGCTCCCCGCGCCGGCCATTGGCACGACGAGTTTGCCCAGCAGCTCGTCCAGAACGCCCATCCTTCCGTTTATGAGAACTGGTGGAAGTTCTGGTAAATACAAAAAGTATTTATCAACTAGGTGGATGGAGCAGGGTGTTTTAGAATTCTTGTACATACTTAATTATTTGCCTTGTCTATACAAACCATGGTTAATCACAAGACCTTTTGTCAATTACTTCGGCTCCCTTTTGCTTTTTGTTTCATGGTGATCTAGTCTCTGGACATCCGAAGCGTGGTTATGGCTTGCTTTCAGCGTCTTGGCAGGGGTAGGTTCCCAAGCAAAGACATTGGATGTTTTCTCCATTCTGATTGTAGTTGTTGAAATGTCCTCCTCTTCAGCCTCATGCCCAATGCTTTACCCGCAATTGGTATAGTGTGGATTTCATGACACTGTTGACATACCCAGAACAGAAACAGTTCAAGTTTCTGTCCTTGCGGTCAACAACTCCAGTCCTAATTCCCGGGGAATTACGCAGACCTCAAACTTCGAAACGGACTGGAAACTTTGATGGCGTTTTAAGGTTGAGCGCCTTGTGGAATTCTCTCGCTGGTGGCTGCAGTCAGGGCGTCATCCTCTCCAGCTTCGGAACCGGTGGGCAAGCCCCCCTATATACACAAACCCGCCAGCCTTGCGCTGTGCTCCTTGTTTTCCCCCCCTTTGCGCTCGCCAACCATTCAGTCGCACCCATGTCTCTCATTTAAACCACTTTGTCCTGGGTGACCCGACACTCTTTTGTCAAATCCAAAACACAGCGGCCACCACCATTCTGCATCGTTCTTTGTCTGCAGACCACACGAACATAAGGCGATGAAGCGAAGTATTGCCTGCCAGTGTCTGTTGGCAACAGGTCTGGTCATTGGAGAGGAAGTCTACCCGGGCCCACATAACCACCCACGTCGATGACCTCCCGGAGCATCTCAAGCCCGGGGTCGCCCAGCCCAAACCCAAACTTGGCTGCAGCGACGTGTTGACAATCTACCATTTCAACGATGTGTACCACTCGCTAAACCGGGAGCATGTCGCTCGCTTTGCCACCATGCTCGAGTCGGCCAAAAACGGGGGGAACCCCTTGAAGGTTGAACTCCGGGGCAATCCTAAAAACTCCTCCACCCCGATTGTGGTTCTCAGCAGTGGCGTCTTTGCCCCAGCTACCCCGAACGGGCAAGCCACTACAAATGCGGAGGGGATCATAACTGTTTTATCACAGCTGCCCATTGATGTAGTGTGCTGCATCTCTGGCATGTTCCCAACTCCCGTTGTCATTTCTGTGTGCCGTGTACTGACTGATATTAGATACCCCCAGCAGCTCCCCCAGAGAGCCTACCTTTCCCTCGTTCGGGCTGGCTTCTGCCTCTCCCAAACATCGCTCCTCAGAAGCACAGTCCTCCGCATTTTGCTTTCAAGACGCCGGTGTCTCCGCCCCCAAGACCAATCTCGTCGTGTCCCCCGCCGCCGCGCTGGTACCTCCTTCAGCCCAGCGCGTTTTTGATATCCGGCAGCAGGGAAAGTACAAGATTGGCTTCTTTGGCATGGTTAGCATGGACTGGGATGTCCACTCCACCAATGTGTTGGATGATCTACCTAAGGAGCACAAGGAGTTTCTTGTGAGTGAAGCGAAATCCAGCGCAAAGGTGCTGAGGACAGAGTACAGGGTTGATCTTGTGGTTGCCGTGACGAATATGAGACTGGCGGAGGACCTCCTTCTCAGTGGTGCGACGCAGGAAAAGGGGCTCGAGAGGGTGGATTTTATCTTTGGAGGTTATGACCGTGAGGCCGTGGGGACTTTTTACCCTGAGCTTGTGATGCAGTCCCAGCACAGCGAGGGGGAAAGCAAGGGTAAGGTGGGCAGTGGTCGATACGAGGTCACCAGTCCAGAGATCAGGGTCGTCAAAAGCGGCGCGGCGTGGGAAGGGTTGAGTGTGGTGGAGATGTGCGTCAAAAAGGAGGGCGAGGACTTGCCGGAGCTGGACAGTGTCAAAGGTAGGCCGCTTTCTTCAGATAGGAGGCTTGAGGGTGAATGCCTCACTGGCGAGGCCCGAAGGGGACAGAATTGTCTCTGCGAAATGGGTTCTCCCAAGAGCAGGTCAATGGCACGCGGATTGAAGAGCATATTCGTGATGAGAAAAATTACACCGTTGCCATGACTGAGTGGTTGGCCAGCGGCTGGGGAGGTTTCTCTATGCTCCGCAAGGGACAATTGTTGCGAGAGGGTGAAGCGCAAGGCATGACCGACACCGACCTCTTTTTCAAGGCTTTTGGGGAGTGGTCAGACATCGACAACGCGTTTATTTCCATGGCCACCGGGAACAGAAAGAAGAAGCAGGCCCCGGTGGCTGTGAAAAAGTACCTGAACAATCCGTATCTGAGCAGTCGGAACTCCGGTCTTTGGGCCGTCAGGTATAAGATGGTGCTTGGCAAAGACGATGAAAAGGGGGTCCCCATTGTCTCACCAAAGTTGATGGAAGAATCCATTTCCACAAAGACCTGAAAATCTCGAGAAATTCGCACAGAGAGGGGGTCCTAGATAGATAGGCGGGTCGGCACAACCCTAGAGCTTTATAGACTGAATATAAGCGAACCAGATTGCCTAGCTCGTAGCTTGATGATGGACAAGCCCGAGCAATGTTGTTGTACTGAACAGACACTGTCCTGTCCCTGCGCCTCAGCTATGCCCGGATTGTCAGCTTCCTGGTCCTCGAGATTCCCAGGCAGGTATTTGCTCGTGTGTGATGCAATTGCCGTCTATGATTTCCCAGCCTAGACCACCATGCTTCACCTTCTTATTCTGTATGTACACTGCAAGCCCGTCTTGTGATTCCTGTGCTCGCCAGTTCGTTTCCCCGCCGTCTTCCACCGCTCTAGTTACTCCGCGCACCTCCCTTGGCCTCTCTGAGCTCGTCCATCTTGGCCACCCGCTTCTTGAACTCGACGTACTGGCACTTTTCGTAGCTGTGTCTCTCGTCCTGTGGTGTGGTCAGTATTGTCAGCTACCCCGCGATGAGAGCGGTTCGGGGGCCAGTCGGTTGACAGGGACGCTGGGGTGGAATCCGTACGTTGCACTTCCAGGGAAGGTAGTATGTGTCCTGACGACAGCGGTTGAGGGGGATCAAGAGGTGGCCGCAGCTGTCGCGGTACGCCATGGGGAGTTTGGCATCACGCATCTCCTCGCGGGTCGCCTCTGTGTGCTCGTGACGTTAGCCAATATGACGGAGATAATAGGTTGCGAATGGGGGAAGCAACATACGCCGCGGGATCTCGGAAGCCGTGCCTGTCGCCATTTTTGCTGCAATTGAGGCGGGCTAGCGTCGACAATTGCGAGGGGGGTTCGAGGTGGTGATGCTTGCGATTCTGTTCTCGGAGCTCTGGCTACTGTCGCTGAGAAGCCAGTGGAGCTCCCACCTTGAGCTGGTCAGTGCTGACTGCCACTGTAAGTCTGAGCAACGGTCAAGGCACGTGTGGAATCACGTGAAGCCTATGGGTCGTTTTTTGTGCACGGGCTATTTCCCAGCTGTTGTTCCAACCACCAAGTAACACTAGCCGACCAAGTCTTGTCTCCGGCTCGTCATCTACAAGACGAGGCCATCCAGCTCGGACATGGGCGGGTGCAACACAACTCGCCGAGCTCACTTAGCCGGAACTCACTCACGGTCACCATCCCTTATTTCCAACCATACTGTTTGGTTTGAGTCGCTACCATGATTTCAACTCTGCACACAACGCCCATGGCTATGCTCTTTCGGTTATTTTTGCATTTTCCAGAAAACCAAGATGCTCTCGGCCCTGACTACAAATGATCTGCTGATCAGCCTCACTTTATCTCGCATGCTGAGGCACCTCTGGGCTACCTCTCAGTTCCTGAACCGACCCTGTGAGTCTGCCTGTATTGACGGGTTGCTTGAAGCCGGTGGTGTAACTCCAGATAGATAGACTGCAGCATGGAGGTATGGGTGTGTTTCGTTGCAATGCTACCTACCTACATGCTGTTCTGTCAAGTGGCTCAAATATACACATCAGCAATGCCCCGAATCTTTTGACTCTCTCTCTCTCTCTTCATGTCCAGTCTTTTCACCTTTTGCACTTGGGCTTCAAAATGAAGCCGTCTGTCCTTATTTTGACCTTCCTAGGGCGTGTCGGTGCGTTACTGCCCTTGCCTCCAGCCCCCCAGCCCAACATCGCAACACTCAGCCTAGACACCTTGATGGGCAGTGAAAGCAGGTTCAGCCAATTGATTGACCACTCTAACCCATCTTTGGGGACGTTCAGTCAGAGATACTGGTGGGATACCACCTACTGGGATGGCCCGGGCTCTCCTGTATTTCCTACGCCTTTCTTGTCGCCCGAGGTCAATCACTAAAGTCACGTACAGGTGGTGGTATTTTCTCCAGGAGAGGCCAGCGCCGAATATTACAGCGGTTTCTTGACAAACCAGACCATAGTTGGTCTCTATGCCCAGGCCATTGGAGCTGCAATCCTCCTGATTGAACGTAAATTTTCAACCCTCCCCTCAGGCACGAGATGGGTCGCCGGCTAAAATGACACAAAAGACCGCTACTGGGGCGATTCCTCTCCCTTCTCCCACCTCTCCACGGTCAACCTGACGTACCTGACCCTCAACGATTCTGTCGCTGATTTTGCTCATTTTGCCCGCCAAGTTCAACTTCCGTTTGATGAATCCGGTCGGTCCAACGCCCCCAAGGCTCCATGGATTTTTGTAGGAGGCTCCTACTCTGGCAATCTCGCCGCCTGGCTCGACCACCTGTCTCCCGGGACCTTTTGGGCCTACCATGCGAGCTCGGCACCCGTTCAAGCCATCCGACACTTCTGGGAATACTTCACACCTATCTGGGAGGGCATGCCGCGGAACTGTAGCAAAGATTTTGAGAAGATCACGGCTCATATCGACCAGGTTTTGGAACATGGCAGTGAGGAAGAGGTGAAAAGTCTGAAAGAAGGCTTTGGACTGGGGGACATCAAGGAGAAAGGGGATTTTGCGTCGTACGTCTCAGCTCATGGAGAAATCAGGAGACCTTGTGGCGCCTAACAAAGACAACCAGAGCGGTTGGGTTTGCGTTGGCAGAGTGGCAGTACATTTGTAGGTGTTCCGCCATTGCGCTTGCTTGTGCCTACCTCACCTGGCCTCACTGACAATGGAACCCTAACAAAGCCATCACCTCCAGCTACCACCGTTTCTACCAAATGTGCGACACCATTCAGGGGGTTCGTCCCGTAGATCTTGACGGATGGGGCACTGAGCTGTGGTTCCCAAGCGGAGTTCCTACCTCCTCGCCGGCAAGCAACGGTGTTGGGCTGCAAAAAGCTCTGATCAACTACTCTGCCTGGTTCAAGCACGAATTCCTACCCGATGCCTGCAGCAACTATGGCTATGAAGATTGGGCCCAGGTCAACTCGACTGGCTGCTACGACAGCTACAACGTGACCAGTCCGTTCTACACCGACTACTCGGTCAGCAACACCTTCAACAGGCAGTGGTTCTGGATGCTTTGCAATGAGCCCTTCTTTTACTGGCAGACAGGCGCACCAGCAGGGCAACCATCCATCATGTCCCGCCACGTTAGTCCCGAGTACTTTGAGCGTCAGTGCCGCCTGATGTTTCCAGACCAGGGGGACGCCAGGTCGGGTCTCTCACTGGGCAAGACAGAGGCCGACGTCAACCAACTGACCAGCGGCTGGTTCGTGAAAACAACTCGGTTAATATGGACGAACGGGTACGTCTTCCACAGAGTCAACTTCTTTCTCCTTGTTTTGCTAACGCAGCGACAGAGAATTCGACCCCTGGCGTTCTGGATCTGTCTCGAGCAAATCCCGCCCTGGACGACCTCTGGAAAGTACGCCTGACGCGCCAGTGCATCTCATCCCCGGAGGCAGGCACTGCAACGATCTAGACACCAGAAGTGGAGAGCGTAACCAAGGGTTGCAGCGGGTGCAGCTAGAGTCAATCGCCAGGATGGTTGACTGGGTGAACGAGTTCTATGACGGGAAGGAGGGGAGAACCAGGGGCAACGGAGCCACACACATCCTCGGACGTGCTGTGTGAAAGACCGAGAGGCTCCGTGATTCCCGGCTCGATCAACCATGACGTTTGCGAACTGTTAGCAAGTGACTTCGAGTTGCCCTTCCAGACAGCCGAACCAGCGATGTCTAGAAAATAGCCATCCATCCGGTCACACTCCGTCCTTGTGCATCGTGAGTGCCTCATCTACATTGATGAAGAGGGGTGACAGCCCAAAAATAAAGGGCGCCATGTCCCTGCTCTCCAAGGAACCCAAACGGAACCGATGAAGAGATATAAAATAGACATCATGTCCCAATCATGCTCGACTTTGGAAAGGATTGTGATCAGTGTTATTCTGGGCCAGAGACGGATGAAGGCAGCACAGAGCCCTGGCGCCAACAGCTAACGTCTGACCCCATCCAAAACTCCATCACAATTCATTGACGGTAGGATTGCGAACGAAACATTCGTCGAGGATGATGCACAGTTGTGGTTCAGCCTGAGCCGCGGTGCCACGAGTCCGAGCTGTAGAAGATGTTGGTTACCTCCCCGTAGGTACTCCACGGGCCCCGAACGGACGGGATTTAAGGGGCCGATTCCGGTGCTGCGAGTTTTGAGCTGCCGTACTAAGGACGGTCTTTCTGAGCTGCTGGAATCTTGTTGAGAAAGAGACAAACAACCAGTTTCGAGCTTGCCTTGCCCAAAGCCTGTGATCGCCGCGCTGGGAGCCATTTTTGGTGGTCCGGCAAGGGAATCGATGATAACCACTGACGTACGAAGTAGAGGAAAAATTCCAAATAATTATGTTCGCTTCAGGGTTATTGTAGATATGATGCAGGGCAAGATAGCGATTGTGGAGAGCCGTGGCCGATGCTGCAGCCAGGATGCTCAAGCTCGCCGGGTTGCAGCCCAAATGAGCGCTCGGTGAGAAATCGTTGTTATCTGTGTGTGTGTTCGTGGTTGTTTTCTGGTATCAGTCGGTCGGAGGGAAAACAGATCAGTCCCAGAGATGCAAGGCTTCCAATTGCTCCGAGGCCCCCCCACGGCGGTGTTTTTTTTTGGTGACGTGACACTGCTACCATTCGCTTGGTGCGTTGTTGAGCCTTATCGCCCGCGGCGTCAGACGGAACAGTTTGGCCGACAGGACGGGAGCTGGATCTCGCAGGAAGGAAGCGGCGAGAGTTGTGAGAGTCGCGATAATGCGGGTCGTGGATTCACAATCGCTTCATTTTTTGGTTCATGATACTGGAAGGGGTTACAGACACTTTCCTAATTGAGCAAGATGCACCTTGCTGGCCAACCGGGCTTCTGTGCAGCTTCCAAGCCTTCCAGTGGCCGGATGCCCGTCCGAGGCCCATCACCGCTACATCTGCGACAGTGACGAGGTAAGTACCCCCCCCCCCCTTCTGCCGGGCAGCCCCCGCGCATACCACAGGTCCTCCCGCAAGCCACCATGTTGCAAGCCGAGTGTTGAAGCTTTCACGGCTTGTGCCTGGGTTGCCGTTGTTGTCGTTGCCGCTCGAAAGATGATCACGGCAAGCATCGGAGCTAAACACATTTAGCGCACGATCTTTGCGGAAAAATAAACCCTGGCCTCTTGGCACCTAGTGGAGTCGCCTATCCTCACCACAGCTCTCCCTACCTTATCTCGAGATCCCAGAACCTCCTGTGCTCCTTCAACCAATGTTTTGCAAAGCGAACGGTTTTATCACATGCCACCGATGTCGTCATATCGCCATGGTTTGGCGACCTCAGACCTGTCAGACTGTCTCCTCTTTGATGGCAACATCGAAATCTATGGCTCCCCGAATCGGCAGGTTACCACGGACTCCACACAGACTTCGATGCTGTCTGTAGCAGTTGCAACCCGTCCCGTCAACATCAACCTCTCCGACTCCAAGTACCGTTGCCAGTCATTGGCATATCGCCGTAGTAAAAAATGTCAGCTCGCAGACGCCATTAAACCCACGTCGACGCTTCTACCTCTCATGGGACCCCGGCCCCTTGCGCTGATCACAGACGTTGCGTTAAACTGCTTACATTACTGACTACCACATCTCTGACCGCCTGCGATCCATGGAACACTTGCATAACGTCCCGAATTACACATGAATGCACTCTGCGCGTAACCCCTGTTATCCTGAGGCTGAGTTGGCTCACCACTAGACGGATTTTCTCCCGTTGCCGACTGGTACTACACGATAAAAAACACCAACATTTTCATCATAACGCCCAAAACTAGGATAACAAGCAGGTGCCATCGAGAAGACTACAACAAATGACCAGACAAGGGAATTCATCCGAACGGAACGATCTACAGCGCGTCGGCGTCCTCTACTACCGGTAGGGCACCAATATTCCCACGGCCTGTAAGTTTTCTCTGCATGGTGACATGCTACCACATGAGCACGCAAAGAAGCACGTCATGAACAACGATTGCTATCATCCTCGAAACTTAGTCACGGCCGTCTCCATCCGTCCGAACATGAGCCCCCCACATCGTTAAGCAAAACGGGCAGGTTGCGAGGCAGGTTGCGATACAAGGATTGCAGGTCACTGATCAAATCCTGCGTGGTGTTTGGGGAGGATCAGAGAAGCAGTTGTGTGTGCAGCAGCGGAAAGCAGCTTTAAATGTCAAAGGAGCAAAGCTGATACATGCTCAATCCCCAAACTATCTGCCTGCCGAGGTACCTAGGTAGTCTTGTTGGTCCATGAGACCGTGTACCCTCTTTGCCGGCTGTCACCCACACTTCGAACTTTTCCCCTTCTTTTTACTTTTTACAAATAACCCCCGTTTTGCCGGGGTGCTGGATACTTCGACACGTTCTTCTAGAACGCCACATGCAAAGAGCGAACAATGCGTCAGCCTCGTCCCGGAATATCTCACCAGGTACCTTACCTCACACATGAACCTTTCCAACAGGATGTGCTCTCGCACTACCCCTGCATTCCCTTCCATCGTCCATGCAGCAGAGCCGACCACGATAGGCGAAGACACATCCCACCTTTCCCGTTATGGATCTCGGGAGCCCCGAAGGTTGGTACAACGGGTTACACGCAGGCTCTATTTGAGGCGATCGCATACAGATAGTGCCCGGACCCAGTCCAGTTGTACCTATGTTTGTTTTGCAGACACCAGAGAAGTAGTCTACCTACGTCCAGAATACCGCAAGCCAAGCTAGGAGATAGTTATCACTGGACGACCTGACTACTTTGGGCAAAATTCCGACCTCCCGCCCCCCTATGCATCCCACAGCCGACAAGACCACAACCTAGGCTCCCTCGATAATGCCCAGATTCTCTGCCCCCAAGGGGGGAACGGGGAAACGCCAGGATCATGGCATGGTCCGGCAAGTAGCCTGCTATTGGATCTCGGGGAAGAGGAAGTCTGAAGATGCCATTCTGGGCGCTATGCGTCTTTGAAAGTACAAGATCCCCAGGTATAATAAGACAGAGTAGTTGCCTCCTTGCTTCTGCCTTTCTCTGAATCTCCACTTCAGATTACATGGGCAGTCATATAGGACACCGAGGTGCCTTACCCTGACCATCTCATTCTTGAAACTTCGCGGATCTGTTCGGCTCCAAGTTTCAAATACCCCGTCAACAAAGAGCAGTTTTCGGTATCAGCCCCAGGCAATCTGTTACATAGGGAGTGTAAAGCTGTATCAAGGTTCGCAAAGCATTCCAGTGTTTATTCATCTTGTCACCATCTTGAGACGCTAACTACCTTACCGTGTTGTCTGTTAGACTCTGACACGTACACACACACACACCCAACATCCACACACAAGCAACGTACAAGATGACGATGTCTTCGCTATCAACAACACAACGGCACGGACTTATCAGTGACCTCTCTCAAAACCATGCTCACCCCGGAACCCCTATTCAGACTCTCCCACAAGATATGGATATCTACGAGCCCTCGGACTGTGAATCTGACCACTCGGATGACGAGGAAGTTGATCTTCCCCGACAGCCTCCGGCCACAGCAATAGCTACTACGCCCCGCCAATTGGAGGATGGGCTCGCTAAGCTTGATTCTACTCCGTCTCCTAGAGTCACCATCATCTCCACCCCACTTTCTCTCACTGACAGAGAGGACGAACCTGATTGTCCTGTCACACTTGCTGGGCTGGATCCGGGCCCGTTGCCCCCGAAGAAAGGGTCCCGAACCTATCGTTACTTTCGTTACAATTTTGGTTCTGTCTACCGCCGAATCTTCTGCCTGGCCTTCTTGGGCAACCTCTCGGCCCTCGTCGTCCTCGCTTCCAAACACGGGCTGTCAAGTCAGGCTGAGAGGTTCACCTATCAACAGGCCAGTATAGCGGTCACGGCCAACGTTTTGGCCGCGCTGCTGGTCAGAAATGAGCATGTGGTCAATGCTTTCTTTTGGGTCTTTGCCGACAAGGCTGTCACCAAGTACCTCCCTCTGAGAGCCAGGAGGTTGGGGGCCAAGATCTACTCCTACGGCGGTGTCCATTCCGGGTGTGCCATGGCTGCTACGGCGTGGTACATTGCGTTTCTTGTGCTTCTGACGCTGGAGTGGACTGGTTCCGACATCGCCGAGGAGCAAGGGATGGTGAAGGGATACATCTACCTCGTCAGCTACACCATCCTCGCACTCTTGGTCAGCATGCTCGCGACCGCATGGCCCGAGTTCCGAAGAAGGTGCCACAACTGGTTTGAAGGCGTCCACAGGTTCATGGGATGGACGGCGGTGTTTTTGTTTTGGGTGCAGGTCTTGCTTCTCACTTATGAGAACTCCTCCCACGATTTCGGCACGGGGCTCGTGCAGTCACCCAACTTTTGGATGTTGGTGGTCATCACGGGCTTGGTCGTCTACCCTTGGACAAGGCTAAAACTCAGAAAGGTCGAGGCCGAGGTACTATCGAGCCATTGCGTCAAGCTCAATTTTGAGTACAGGGATGTGCACTATGGGCAGGCAGTCAAATTGACCGACAGCCCTCTGAGAGAGACGCACGGGTTTGGGGTCATCCCTCATCCCTATGCTCCAAAGATTGAAGATGCCACCCACCAGACAAGCAGTAGCGGCAGCTCCATGGTGTCGGTCGAGAGAGAGAAGACGCAAAAACAAAACAAAGGGTTGTCGCATGCCGGTGAAAAGGGATACTCGGTCATTGTGTCCAAGGCGGGAGACTGGACGTCCAAGATCATCGCCAATCCGCCCACGCACATCTACACGAGGGGCACGCCGCAGTTTGGCGTCATGAGAGTCGCTGGCATGTTTGAACCGTGCGTCATTGTTGCGACGGGATCTGGAATCGCGCCGTGCCTGAGTCTGTTTGTGCAAAAGCCAGACCACCCTGTGAGAATCATTTGGTCCACCAAGTCACCCTTGCAGACGTATGGGCAGGACATCATTGATCTGCTCTACGCCACCGACCCGCGTGCCATCATCATTGATACCTCCAAGGGCGGCCCCAAATTCAAAAGGCCAGATTTGGTCAAATTGGTCTATCGAGTTTGGGAGGAGAGCCAAGGAGAGGGACCTGAGCAGTACGCGAGACTGGAGGGGAGAACCAACTCAACTGGACGGAAAAAGATTGTCGGCAAGTGCGAGGCCGTGGTGATTATCAGTAACCAGAAGCTGACCGAGAAGGTGGTATATGGGCTGGAGAGCAGGGGCGTTCCTGCATTCGGAGCCTTGTTTGATTCCTGAACCTTGTCTTTTAGAAGCTGGGTACGGTACCCTTTATTTGTTTAGTCACGCTGATGCGTTGCAAGTTGAAGGATTCACTTTATGACTGGACATGAGAAATGTGGACATTTAGAATTGCGTAGGGGATTTGATGGCTTAGAGGGGGTAAATAGATGTGTCGGGGTCATGGGCATGCATCTCTTTGTCCTGATGGGTAACGTATTTGATAAGCGAGCGGATCGGACAAGCGAGTGGATCGATTTCCACTACCCTATTACAACCATCCTCAATTACAAAACAACAACACTATTAACCTACTACAATTACATCAGAAACAGTTGAATCAGACTCTTCTGTAATCTCCTGGCACGTACGGATATTATGGCCAGGCTTGCCGCACACACTACAGCACTGAACCTTCGTACGCCCTCCCCCTACACTACCACCACCCTACTCCTTTCCTTACGCCACCTCTCCACCCACAGCCTTCTGGTCCAGTAGATCCTGTGTATCTTATATAGTAAGTGATCCTTTAAGCTATACATATGTTTTTTTTACTTTCCGGCGCTTACTTAGTACCTCGGTTCGCTTTACGGAACGAAGATACCTTTAATTAAAGGAAAGTTATTTAATATATTATAATTATTATATTTTTAATAAGTTAGTTTATTATAATTAATATTAAAGTCGGAGAATTATTTTAATAGTTAGTAATATAAATTTTAATAAATATTAATTATAAATTAGTTTTTTAGGAGTTTTATAGTATTTAAAATACTTAGGATAGTACCGTACCCGGCTTTAAAGATAAGGGTATAAACGTATAAAACTTTATATTTAACTTAAAAAATACTTTTTTTAAATCGTATAGTATAAAACTAATACCTATAAAATTATTTTATATATTTTTCTTTATTATAAAAGTAAAAAAAGTTTTACGGAAAATATAAAGAAATTTAAGTTTATTTATATAATTAATATATATATATATTAAACCTTCGATTTAACGACTATATATTTATTTTAACGGCCTAAAGTAATTAATATTAAGTAATTAAAAGAAGTAAGAGGAATATAAAAATATATAAAATATAATAATATTATTTTATTAATAATAATATTTAAATTTAATTAAGTAATAACTTTTATAATTATTAAAGATTAATAATCGGTATTTATTTTTCGTACGGGAAGGCATATAAATAATTAAAATATTAATTTAATTTAAATTTATTAAATTAATAATT